AAGATTTTTTTCTCAATGTTCGCGTCGCTCTGCGATGTTACAGTTTTACAGGTCGTTTAATAGTACAAGCATCGTCGGATAATATAAATTGCTTTACGTATAACTGAAACGCACTAATTGTAAGCCAAAGTAAACAACGCTCCGTATACAGGCTCGTATTTGCGCTAAATATCTGCGTACATTCATTCAGCTTCAAGCGAATAGATTTTTTCACAGTTACCGATTTTTTTTATCACGATAATCGGGCAAAGTCAATGTTTCCCTACAACAGTATGCTTCTTAAATTATCGTAGATATCGTAGAAATCGATACGGTATATCCGTTCCACATCTATTCGAGCTACTTTTTTATTTGATCAAGAATGTGTCGTCCGCGCCCTATTTACTCTAGATGCGATTTAGTATACCATTTTAGTAGAAATGATAATCCCTGATTGCGCTTCTCTCATAACGTAAGCGGTAGTTGAAGGTACAAAAATGTACTGTTATGCCTCTTAACCGATGCAAACTCTTGCAACATTATAAATGTTCGGTATAAACGCTAACATAATTATTGTGCAATGTTATCGCGCGAGCGCACGTCGATATCAATGCGATATAGGCAATGAGATATAACGTCGAGTGCCAAGGGTTAAGTTTTAAGCGTCGATGAGATTAAACACGATTCCGCGAGGTATTAACAAACTTTATTACCTTGATTACGCGGCCATATTCGCCTAATCGGCGCGCTATGAAGTCGTACGAATTGAAAAAAAAAAGGTAACTATACTCCGCGATGGGTGGACGTTGCGATTCGAAGAAGAAATTGTCACGCGAACATTTCTCCAAGCTCGAGAAAATATTGTATCCGCGTTATGCAAACAGATAAGGTAATACTACCTTAGGAATCTGATTGTGAGCAAACAGGATGTGAATAATCGAAAATTGTTACTTAGGCTCGATCTGCTGAAAATGGCATCGCAGTATAAGATAAAAAAAATAACGTAACAAAAGGTTTGGGTTTTCGATTCCGCAATTTGATTGGCTTACGCACATCATTTCTGCAAAGCTTATCGCTAAAGCGCATTCACGACTCTCGTTATCCTGCACTTATCTTGCTAAATGCTAAATGCGTTAGTGATGTGCAATACCGAGGAATGTTGTATTCAAAGATGTTCGGGCTATTCTGAAAAATTGCTGAATCAAAATTAATGTGCATTTCCCGGTAAAAAATCGCTCATGCATGAACGTGAATAACTAGACAGAATTATATAAAAATATACATCAAATATGTCCATACACATTTTTACACATTGTATATTTCTATAATAATTTTATACAATGCTACACATTTCTGTGTAATTTTATAGATTTATACAGGCTTTTATAAAAAAAAATTTTCACGTAAAAATTTATAATTATGTATAATTGTGTGCAATTGTACCAAGGTATTACAATTATAAATGAGCAATTTTTCCTTTTTAAAAATGTTTTATATATTATAAAAGCATGTATAAATCTATAAAATTTTATAGAACTGTGTAGAATTGTATAGAATTATACAAAAATATGCAATGTAAACATATGTATGAACATATTTAACGTATATTTTTCTATAATTCTATATATTCCATACATATGTAATTCTAATTATTTATGTTCATGCATGAACAATGTTTTATCGGGCTACCAGTCGTACGCTTACGTTGAAAGTAAAGATTGTTTATATTACTAATTACATACACATATGTTTAAATAAGTAAATCTAAAGGCAGAAGAAGAGAGAGAGAGAGAAAATTAATGAACTTGATGTATTATAATTGCGGTACGTTTAATGAATAAAATGCCAGAATTAGTTAAAATTAGTATTCAAAAGAAGTAGGTAATTTTATATAATACAATACTGTACACAGGGAACTTTGTGTGTGTATGTGTGTGTGAGGGTCATAAAAAGTTATAATATTTTGTTATCATTTTAAACATTTAACATTCTTTTCGCATTACAGCATACATGTGCTCGCAAAGACCTCGCGAACATGTATTTAATCAACAAATATACCAATTAAGCGCAGCGATCGCTTATTAAATGGCAATTAAATGACACGTTTCTCGCGCTTGAACAACGCATATTTCAACGTTAAAACTCGTCGATGGCGTCAAAAATGATTTATATAACAATCCGTGTGGTCTCTTATGTAACAACGCGTATATCCGAGGTGCCATCCATAATTTTCGTTTCGTCGGGTTTTTCCATTCGTCGAAACGCCGCGCCGGCCGACTCTCATCGCGCGGAAAATGCGGTCTCGCGTTAACGTCACAGTAATGCTTACTGGCGAAATTACGAGTTATTAATACACGAGTTATTAACCAGAACGCATAAATCGCGACGACTAAATTGTCGGCTTGCGGATTTTCCCCTTATCTTGCGTATTTCATGATTGCGATAATGTACAAGAAAAGGAAAACACTCGATGCGAAGTCGCGCACCGTCTGGTTATTAATTAATTACCTTTGTACGCGGAGAGAATTTTCTCTTAAAACTTATTCTGAAAATCGTGTAATCGTGGGACAACGTGGCATTTTGAAGAACTTTACGAGTTTTTTGAAATTTCACCATACATTTTACTAGCAATTATACTTACAATTAATGAAGTCCCCTATTATGAGACAAATTTCTAATACGAGATAGCGAGGTTTCTGTTAAATGAACAAGCATCATCTATTGGTTCCACCATGAATTTATTGCTCTTGAAGTGAAATCTGTTTGGTGGAAAATTCATTGTTGGATCGTGCAGTCGTCGCGAAAAAAAGATTTGTGATTGAATTTGGACGTTGAAAACCCGCTATCTCACATTAGAAGCCTATCTCATGATAGGCAACTTTCCTCCATACATTTTGTACCAATGAAACGTATGGTAAACTTTCAGAAAACTAAAATTCTTCAAAATGCCACGTTGTCCCACGATCGCATAATTTTCAAGGTGAATTTAAAAACGTTTCTCCCCGCATAGATTCATATATTTTCATGCACTCTCTTATGCATACAGAGAATCAATATGAATAATATATCCTTGTACTCACATTTACTTATCAAGAAGTATCATTCTGTTCTGCATTGAACCAAAAATGTCAGAAAATAGTGCAATGGTTATGCGAATTAATCTTAATTACTATGTTAAATTGCGACAGGTCTTTCGCTTTATGACGGCCACTTTTAAATGACTATAACTCACGTCAGATTTCAGAACACGATATTATCCACTTGCAATTTCATAAGCTATACGTATCGATGTGTCTTTTAGCATGTAATTTACATATGCACATGTTCCGACTTTGAAAATGTTTTTTACGCAGAGGGAATTCTAATCTAAATTATAGCACGAATTACAAATAAACTAAAGAAAATGACGCTAATGCGAGTGTTTAAAAGGACTCGCGAGGCAGGAGACACGCGACGCGAAGAGTTTGTAAGCGTGCACGTCGATAACGCGGTAACGCTAATTTTGAAATGTTATTTTTTGAAGTTGCACGTGTACGCGGCATTGCATCACAGTATTACATTACGGAAATAAAAACTACGACCTCGAATTTGAGTGTGCGTGTTTTTTTGCGGAAATAAGTGGATACTCACCCGCTTAATTCACTGTTATCAATCTTTATTTTGTTCATTCGACAAATGCTCGCGTCGCTTTTTACCGTGTCACGCGTTTTATTTTAAAATTCATCAGGCCCCGGTAAAAAAAAGTTTCATGTATATGCGAACGTGAATAACTAGACAGAATTATATAAAAGTGTACATCAAATATGTCCATACGCACATTTCTATATAATTTTATACAATTTTACACAGTTCTGTACACTTTTGTAGATTTATATGAATTTATATGAATGCTTTCGTATGAAAAATGTTTTAAAGTGAGAATTGCTTATTTTTAATTATATATAATCGTGTACAATTGTACGAAGTTATGTATAATTATTAATCAGCAATTTTTCCTTTTTAAAAGTGTTTCGTGTAAAAGCATGTATATATCTACAAAATGTTATAGAACTGTGTAAAATTATATAGAATTATATAGAAATATACCGTGTTAAAAATAAGTATGGGCATATTTCATGTATATTTTTATATAATTCTGTACATTATTCACGTTCATGCATGAAACCTTTTTTACCGGGGCTCGCGCGACGTATCTTACTTTTAAACGTTCAATATCGCATTGTGGGTTTCTTCGCTACTGATAGCTTTCACAATCGAATTTAATCTTTAATCGCAAGAGTGTCCACACTGCTCGATAAACTGGAGACCAATAGAAGCGCTCTAAAACGCGATCTTAAATTACACTGTATTACACTTTACCACGTCCGAAGCAAGACACGTGAATATGCGAAAAGAAAACGAGGGGAAAAGGCAACGTAGCGTAGAGGATCCGAAAAGAATTTTTTTTATTTTCAAATTATGAAATAAATTCTTTTGCTATCCCACTTTCGCTCTAAAAGTATTCTTGAGAGTTCAAAAAGAACTCGCGCTTTTATGCCACCAATCTGAACACTCTTTAGGATAAGTAATATATATATTTTTTTTGCAACGGTCAGAAATTTTCTGAGCTAAGATTATTGTTTTAGAGGAATAATCCAATTTCAGCGCTTCCAATAGTTGTAAAAAGTATTTTGCCAAACGCGACCAATGTTAACTCAATGAATGTTGAATTGTAACGTTTACAAGACATTGCAATTCAGCGGACATCGGATGTCTTCGCAATATCAACGTTGAAGCTACATTTCGTAACATTGATTGATACAACAACGTTGTAATGGAACGTTTCTGAGATGTCGATTCAACATTCGTGTGCTGTACGGGTGAAGAAATTGAAAAGGAGGGAATCCTTTTTGAGTTCACTACGACCACCTGTTGCCGTTTTGGCAAGGCGAACGCGCTCAAGCGAAAAGAGATTGAACGGATTGACGTTATCGCGCGAGGGATTGATTTAGCGAACAAATTCTAAAACTTTTCTTACGCACCGTAAACTCGCTCCGTGCTCGTGCGAGACCTCGGTGGTCGGCGGACCCTCGTCGGGGTGGTCGCGGGCCTTACGGAGGGAACGGCGGGCCGTACAGATCCGAGCTTAGGCCGTGCTGACCAGCGCGTGCCGTGGCGGTACGACGGAGTATGCGGCGGAGACCCGCTGCGCTAATCACTGGCCCCGGCAAGAATTCAATTCTTATCAGTCGCATGCGGTGTGTCGAACGCGAAGATATACGTACGTGTATAACTCGATTTAATTGGCGCGGCTGTTTGCGCGCCGACGCCGCGCAAACCGGAATCTTTCGCCCGCGAGAACAGGCGACACCGTGCTTCCCCGTTCGCATTGTCCCCGCTCGGTTCCGCTCGGAATCGTCAGCCCGGTACGACTGTTCGCGTCCTCGCGGGCTCCGTTCCGTTCGACGCGCGATACCGTCGCCTCGGCGACGAAGCGACGAAGCGAACCGCATCTCCCGAGAAACGCCGAATCGCGATATACATCTGCACTGTAAAAGAGTATGTAGAAAATTACATAAGTGTAGCGATTACACCGTTAATAACAAGGAAATACCGAAATTTATGTACACTAATAAAAAATATCTTAATAAAAAAAAATATTACTTTACTCAAGAAAATTATTCATTAGGTGGCTCCTAATTGCTTATCAACTTGAATTAAAAAAATGATAAACAAATTAAAACATGCATTTCTTTAATTTAGGTATTTATTAAATATTAAACAGTAGGTAATTTTAAATTTAAAATTTTACTTTAGTTCTATAATATGTTTACTAAGATATAAGTTTTGCAGCAAAGAAAATTGGATTTCTTATTTGACAAAAACAATGATTTTATTTAATAAATAGTATTCTCTATCTCATGAAATATTTAGTTGAGTGTAGAAAATGTAATGATTTAAATTAATTTACTTAATATAATACGCGGATTTACTTGAAATTTGATATGCTCATTTAAATAGAATAAATATTTACTTTAGTAAAAAAATTATTTTAAGTAAATCTATTTACTTGGTTAAACATTTTTTTTCGTCAGAGTACTTTAAAAAAAATTTTTATTCTTTATTGTGTAAATACCTGTTTATACATGATAAAAAATTATGAAAAATTGTAAAATTTACACAATTAAAAGCGAGCAGTTTACTTATTATATAAGGTAGTAATTTTACCTACAAGGTGTAAACTGACGTATAATTTTTTTACAGTGTGTGCCACGAGTTTCGCGACACCGTCAGACGTGGCAGCGAAACGTCAGAAATAATCAAGATGAGAGTATTCCAATGTTCGGTTTATCACCAAGGGAGGTTCTCTCTAAAGTTTTTCAAGTGAAAATACAGCCACGGGGTGAAATATTTATCCTATTGGAGTGAACGTCTCACCCCATGGCAGTATTTTCGCAGTGAGAATTGATTCATCGATCGATGTCGAAACTGTCACTCCAATAGGATAAATATTTCACCCCGTGGCTGTATTTTCACTTGAAAAACTTTAGAGAGAACCTCCTTTAGTGATAAACCGAACATTGGAATACTCTCATCTTGATCATTTCTGACGTTTCAACATCTGACGGACGTCTCAAACGATGTCCAATCGACGTCAATTTGACGGTGTCGATGTCGGCTCGACATCGTTTCGACGAGTCATTTCTCACCGGGAATAATAATACATTTCCGCGTCAATTTCGTACACTTTCCCTCGTCAGTAAACTGCGCGCCGACTGTATACGGCGATTACGGGGGCGGAAGTAGGTCGCGCCATCTAGTCGGGCCTGCCGCGAACTAGCCCCGGACGGTCGACTTCCGCCGTGGCCGGTTTACGCAACAGACAGATAACTCGTCCCGGGTCTCACAGGCGTTTCTTCGTGCGAGGATTCTCAGCGGACAGAAATGTTGCGCGTCGTAGCGACACGCGTGGCCTCGGCGGCGCGCACCGCGATGCTGCCGCGGGGACCGGTCGCCGTTGTCGGCGCGCAGTGCACCAGGGCGTCCCACGGCGGCCCCAAGGAGACCGACGAGGAGTTCGATCAGCGATACGTCAATTTCTTCAACCGCAGCGATATCGATCACTGGGAGATCCGCAAGGCGATGAACGATCTGGCCGGTGAGCTCGCGTTCGTCGCCTCCGTCCACCTGGAGGCCAATTCTGTATCCTGCAACACAGTGAAAACTGCCAGCTTAGGCCTGTTCTTTATTGCTGCACTGCTGAACTAGTGCACTAAGTTAAAATGAAAGATTACCTCTCATTCCAACTCATTGCACCAGTGTGCACTAGTTCAGGGGTGCAGCAATAAAAAATAGACCCATGGTCTCTTTTCTTAAGGGGACAGTTAGAAAGAGACAGGGCTACTCAATTTTACGCTCAATCTACTACATGCCCTTTGCGTCTAGAAATATTCGGTTTTGTATAAGCAACTCGAGACGCTTTAAAGAATCCGTCGACAACGTGCGATTGTACAACGTATAGTGTACATTTTATCAACTTGTGCAGATTTTGTAAACGTATTTGTGGGCTACAAGGTAGAATGTTTCCTGGAGCACATTGTAGATTAGGCTTTAGCAGTTTCGCTATAGAGTAAGATGCAGAATTGACCACCTGAGCAGATCGTTGGTTCGCCTACGCTGCGACGAGTCGCGAGCTAAGAAACGCGTTTTGCTGTACGAGCGTATGAATGTTTTTGAAACCATCGAATGTCCCTTCAACCGCGGCTTCTATTACAGTTTTATTGAGGTTCTATTAAGATTCTGTTGAGGAGTTCACTTCGAGTTACGTCGAAGGCACTTTTTCGTTCACTCAGGTGACAATAAAAGCGTTTCATTCCTAGTCGTCATTTGAAAACGTAGGAAAACTTACGTTGACAAGAAAGGAAAAAAATCAAGGTATCACGACAACGATAATCTGTTTAATTGTCAAGATTAAACGAGACGCAAGCATTTTCAATTACAAATAGCCGCGAACGCTATCTCAATGATATTTCCCTTTTATACTGACCTGTTATGTCCGCGCGCCAATTGTAGAGATGAATAATTTCCTTTCCTTTCGCTCAGGTATGGATCTCGTGCCAGAACCGACGATCATATGCGCGGCGCTAAGAGCATGCAGAAGGCTAAATGACTTTGCGCTGGCTGTCAGGTTCATAGAGTGCGTGAAAGAGAAAGGTGGGCCACACGCCGGCAAGATCTATCCTTACATTCTTCAGGAAATCAGGCCCACCTTGGATGAGCTGGGTATCAGCACGCCTGAAGAGCTAGGATACGACAAGCCAGAATTAGCCTATGAATCGGAGTATCATATGTAATGAACTAAGACCTATGCTGTGTAAATTCTAGTATTTATATATTCTTGGCTGCTGCCTCGGATGCAAATGTTGAGAGAATCATTTGTCAGTAAAACTGAACTGTACATGTATCTGCGTAACCAGCAGCATTGTTGAATAAACAATCACAATTGTCTTAATGCCTGTTGTCCGTGGAGAACTTAAAATAATTTAGAACGCGCTCCAGAATTTTAACTTGACGCTCGAGTCCAAAGATGTAAGATTGATAAAAATTGTGACGACATTACCACCTTCGACACCTTCCCTGAAGGACAAGATTGCCGCAACTTTGTTTAAAAAATTGCTCGTGTTTAAACTCGCTACGTATTCTCCAAGGATTGCCGAATTTCCTCGTTCTTCTGCGCTTCATGGCCGCGTTGTAAACGATCGGAATGTACACAGTAGCAATTATATGGCACAACCGGACTAATTCTCGACTTGTGTAACTGGAATAGAGAGAAGTATAGGTAAAATTGAAGACTACGATAACGTATTTACAGACTATATGACATGGAGACTGGGATACACATCAGCAAAGTCATATACACATATGTCTATAATTATCTAAAGTCGTAATACACATTTTTTTTCTTGCTTTTCAAATGACATCAAACTTAATTTATGCTCGGTATGTGCTTTGTTACAAACAACAGAAGGAAAATATAACATGTTTATCTTACACGTGAGTACTGATATATTACATCATTAAAGTAGTGGCCCTGATATGAAAAAAAAAAAAGAAACGCAACAATTAGTATCTAGTTATTATGATAAGTTTTTAATAATATATTTACCACTAACTTCAACTACTTTCCCCTATAATGTTATAAAAATCTCTTTGGTATTATTACACATGGTTTCGAGGGCAGTTTGTTGTTTCAATGTTACGATCTTCGGAGACAAGTGTCGCATTGTCCAATTTACAATTGGACGTAAATGCCAAGCTACAACTAAAGAATAGCATTATGACGCACTTGTCTAATGTGATATTTAACGTGGAATTATGCCCAAAGAAAAGTCGAGAGAAGTGCAAAGTTGAAAAAGTAAAATTTACTCGAGATGAAAATAATCCTAGCTTTTTGCTACCGTAAACATTACGTACATACCGTAACATTGAAACAAGATTGCACGCAAAAAATACGCTTTTCGTCGCTTTAGATACATTATATAAAAATGGGGGGGGGGGGCGATGATTTTAAATATACCATGACACAATTTGACTATTTAATTTAAAATAGAATCGATTAGTTTTGATTACCTTCAAGTGGAATGAAGGATAATAGATATATGTGAATCCTGATTTTTACAATTTATCGCATCCTCTTTAGAAAATTAGTACACACAATTGCGATTCCGCAATAATCGAGATCAAGAACATTAAAATAATCTTTCGTACAAATACGATACTCTAAGCTTTTCTCCTTTACCTCGTTGGTGAAAATCAAATGACGGTCCGTTACTGATTACGCTAATCGAAGCAAATACACAAGTGGTGCAATATAATTCGCGTAAAATAAAACTATGGACACACGCCTCTCGTTGGTGCGTATTGAAATTGCAAATTCATATATTCTGTATTATTGAAAAAACATACATCTTATATCCTATTTGTACCCGTCAGAAATGCTTAACTCTTTTTTTTTGTCATTATTTCTACTATCGCGATACTTTATATATATATTTATATATTATATATACTGTTTTGCATATCTTGACTATTTAGAAGAAGTTCCAAATGGTCAAGATAAATGAGAAACGCCCATTGTCTGTATTGTTTTATGTATATAGTTACATAACTTTGTGATAAAAATGTTATCTTGATAATCTTTTTACTAGTACAATTCGATCGAGATCGAGCTCAAACGTCCAAACAGATTGATCGAATGATTTATTCGACTCTATGTCTGAGCCTTGTGTTCTTTTTAATCACAAAAATAAATTCCTTTATACAACCAATTTTTTGAGGAATATTATTTAAAAATTGTAGCTTTTCTCATTTTTCATTTTTAGACACCTGCGGGGAAGCTTTGTGTCTTTATTGAATTTTGGAAAAAAATTGTGCTGTTAACGAAACTGAACGAGTTATTTTTGCTACTATTACGGAACTAATCGAGCTTCATACTTTGAATAATTAACGAAATTAAATACAAACATGTCCATATAAATTTTTTTACAGAAAATATTAATAAATTAATAAAAAAATAAGGATCTTTGGTGTGTATATTCCCACGCATCGATCTGGCTCTAAGACTAGAAAATATAAGCCTTACCTCGTAATACAAAGATCAATGATCTTCGATTCCAGTAAACAATGCGCGATTGATAATTATCGTAAATTATCTTCGAAAACAGACGCGTTCGTCTGACACGACAATAGACCTCTTTGAAAATTAATACTACATCCGAGAAATTGGATTGTAAGTGAATACCCTCAAGCGTCTATGATGAATCTTGAGTACAAATACGACTAATTCTAATTCAATCAATTTCACACTCATTCATTCTCACTTCTCAGATAATTGTCGTTTAACGACGCATTCAGCGAGACATACTACACAGTACAGTGACTCAAAGAGAAAAAGAAAACACAACACCAATCGTTACTAATTCTTTTACACGCTTATCTCTTCCGCGTATCACCGCGATACACTGACAGCGTGTACAGGTGGTACGGAAGTGATTTCCCTTTTTTTTTGGATTAACTAGATTACACTTAACGTGTTTATTCTGGGCTAGATACAGTTTGTTGTTGTTGACTGTCCTCGTCCTTGACATCGGCCTGCATGGCCTTTGTCAGAACGTTGGCGTCTTTTAACGATATTACTTGAAGAACCTGATGTTCCCCAGCGGCATTTATCATAGTCATAGGGTGGCCCTGTATAGTGACAGCCTCGATAGTGGTGTCCCCGTTTCCTGACTCCACCTTGGGCACCTGAACCATCGGCGTCACCACTTGCATCGTACCGTCGCTCTGTATATTGGCCACCATAGTTTGATACATACTGGCAGACACTGGCACTGTGATCACTCCTGAGACTGAGACAGGATATCCTGAAACAAACGTACAATGAGCGCTCTACGTTCGGCCCGCGACGAGACAATCTGTACTGCCAACTGGAAAATGATAAGAGAAAATGATAAACAAATATCTCAGATAAATTATACTCACAATGCGACAACGTCAAGAAGCTGTTTGCAAAGCGCTAAAATCGAACCAATATGGTCTGTGCACGATTAAAAAGTTGTGTCGTTCGCACTACGCATTCTTCATTCGACAATTTTAGCCTCTATCGTAACAGTGAACTACTAGTTTACGATACAGTCGGACATCTATTGGATTACTAATCCTTAATTAACGAGGCCTTACAGTTTTCTTTAACTGGCATGGGCGCGGTCCGTCAGATCGCTGTAGTTTTTCACGAACGAAACAATAGTGATAAATAAAATTGCTCGTACTGTTATTAAACGGAAGGTAAGTAGCGGGCAGGGATTTCGGGCTAGAGGATATAAGGAAAACGAGAGGAGTGGAACAGAGGTCTGTGAGACCGCTGCGTGCCAGTTAAAACCTTACAAAAGCGAAATCGCACACTGCGTAAATATCGAACAATTTAAAGACGCAGAAACAGTACCATTTAAAATTAATCGGAGGGTGCGCTAAGAACAGATGTATGTACTACGACTCGATCATTCTTTGGCGCGCCCTTTCAATTGTGAGATGATCGAAATATCTAGTTCACGTTCTATCTAAGAAAATCAAGGCGTTTTATGAGGGTCAGCGAGTGTTTAAGCCGTTTGCAGAAATCAAAATTTCATATCACACAATCCACATGACACTTTTGAAAAGCGTACAAATGTTAGCATTGACACGTTACATACTTCAAGCAGCTTAAACACAGGCTGCTAGAACATAAAAAATAATGGTACATCAACAAAAAATACTCTATGTACAGCAGTTTATTTCTCTTCGTTTAATTGAAGTCGGTAAACCAATTTGTAATCGTAAGTATAATCGTAGAACAGTTTCTCCCGTCATCATATTAAACTACGATAACGGACTGCTTTTAGCAATTGTTGGTTGAGTCGAAAATTTTAAGAATCCAATGGCGTTATGCCTTTCACAGTCATTTGTACTTTGTATAGTTTTCATTGGTTGCATTGTAATCACTTGTATAGAAGAGTACTGCAACACGTTTGCATTTTTACAAATAATCCTAAAATAACTATACACCAATACACGTTGCTGAACAATAGTATCTACATGCATATTACATATAAATAGATACCATTATAGATCTTACCTAGACATTTGCAAAAGTAGAATAAATGGTACGAATTTGTACATTTTTTAGTGCTTAATACTTTTCACACGTTTCTCTGTGTTACATGAGTTATACGTAAGCGCACCATGGATTCTTAAAGAACAAAGTTTTAAATAAAGCTGTGCATAGCTCCACTTAATGGTATTTATATAAAATTACTCTAAATATATACAATACGGAAAATACATAAACTAGTCCAGATCCTACTTCGTCATATAAAGTAGTATAAACACATAGAAACATGATTTCTGACTGGAGCATAGCAGACAGCATGCAAAAAAGATCCGGGACCAATAAAAACGAGTCACTGCTCAAGTAGCTCCTGGCCGGCGACAGTGCAGAGCCTATAAAAAACTGTTTTACCGTGTCCGTCTTCTCCGGTAAGGATGATCTGGCCGTCTTGACCTAACGTCGCTTCGGTGACGGTGTTCAAATCGACGGCCACGCTACCTTCTGTGCTACCAGCTACTTCCGCTAATGCTTGCACATCTCCTTGACTGGTGTGGATCTAAATCGCAAATAATATTATTTGTGTATTTACTGTTTATATTACGTGCCGTTTATATTACTAATGTTGTATAAATTTAACTATTCCTATGTGAATTCTGCTGACTTTAATTTTCGAAAGAAAACAATAGAGATTAAAAATTTAGAAACAGTTCAAAATGTTAAAAATTACATATTAAACGTTGCTGCGAATGATATTATCTATTCAGTGATTATCATAATCAGATATTTTGTTATATCAACATCTCTTGCATTAATTTTGATTCTTTAAGCTGTGAAAATGAACTAGAGGTATAAAAGACGCAAGATTTCTACTACAAATACCAATCTCTAAATGGTATTTATAACTCCTCACTCATACATGTACTTGTATCTTGTATTGATTTTACATCTACATTTGTACTCATTCCATATTGACCTTTAGTATTTCTCCAAGTATTATTTCTGTATGTGTGTGCCTATCAAATTCGTTTTCTGTTATATATAGATTTAATGTATCAATTCTCTCTTTATAATTTACGTGTGTTACAAATACTATTGTGCCGGACGTTGTGTGCACTGATCTCATGTCATTTTGTAAAAAAATTCATATCTTTAAAGTGTCTTAAAACAAGGTCTTTAGAGACTTTTTTATATTACATATTTGCGATTTTCGAGAAGACTTACAGTAGCGACTCCTTGAACTTGCGCTGTTGTACCATCTGGTAATGTTATAATCGGTGTACTAGGATCCACCTGTATTATAGAAACTGTCCCATCTGGATTGGTTATTGTCTGCAATACAGTTGTTGGATACTGGGCTGTCATCTGTTAAACAATTACAAGTCGATAAATAAAACAAGCTCAAACGATTATTAAATCAACCGACGAAAAAGGGCCACAACTGAGCCATAAGAGTGTTTGTGTCTCGATGTTTTATTAAAAAGATTTTACCAAATGTTTCTGTAATTAGATCATCCTCTTGTGCCTATTTGTTGACACGCATGTTGACTATCTTCTTAACATTAAAAGTTATAGTTTTCCAATATGATGTTACATAGTAAATATTGGAACTTTCATACAGTTATTTTTTAACTTTAGTACCTTTTATCGTTTTCTATAGTCAAATTAGTTTTTTGTGCTAAAGTTGGTCTAATGACAGACCGAAAAACATCTAATAAATTTTTTAATAAAATATTACGACGCAAATGCTCTGTTGCGATTTTGTGTCTCCTCTTTCGTCGGTTGAGATTATAAGTCAAATTAATAAATTATGTATATTATAATGTACATAATACTATGACTGCATCTTCAAAACTCCAATGAAAATTGAAGTAGTGAAAAGTAAAGTGTATCAAAGAAAGCAAAGTAGATTTGTTACTTCTCGTTTCTAAATGACAGCAAATGATGCTTTCACAATGCAGTTCTGAATAAAAGGAACATTGTTATACATATAATATTAATTTTAAAATATAAATAAATTTAATCTACAAATATTCCATTGCAAAAGATCAACAAATTAATATACTTTAATGTACGTCTAATTTAATTATAAAATATATGGTATAACGAAAGAAATCCGATTCAACTCAAATAAGGGAAACCAAACACATTAATAGAAATACAATTTTGCAAAGAACATTCCAGATCCAAATTTTCGATTGATTCTTTTCTAGGATACAGACTGTAGAAACAAATGAAAATCAGGTCTTAGAAAATGGAAAATTAGATAATAAAAATGATCAATATTTTTCTCAGTACTACAACGACCAGAAAATCATATTGTTTCATAACATTCTATATCTATTTTATTTTCTTTATAAACTCTATCCACTCCCACCTGAGTGGCAGTGGCAAGAGCTGTGGGAGACGCGGCAATGATTTGTGCTGGCGAAGAGTTTCCCTTAGATGAATCCGTGCTGTTGAGACGAACGACTCCCACCGTCTGCTGCTGCTGCGATTGTCCTCCTGCATTTTGCCCCTGACTCGATGATGGATGCGACGAGGAATGAGGCGTCGCTTGTTGTATCAGAACATTGGACTTGTCGTCGTCTTCATTAAACGCTGGTAGAAGATCTTCTCTTCCGTGATACTTATAGCAATTTATTACAATTTGCCGTAACGCATGCGTCCAGGAGATCTGTAATGGATCGCACTGTCCCAATTTCTCGTTTAACATCCAATCAATACATTTTAAAAATAGATTATACAATTGAGCTACAATATTTTTATTCGTTACATCTTTTATCAAGTGCATGAAGCAGTAAAGAATTTAAGGAATAATTTAATTTCTTACAAGAAAAAAATTCAAAATTTTAATTGTTTCTCTGAATCATCAACATATATTTTGTATTATATTTTTTACGAGTAATATGAAATTTATAGTTGTTTGAAAATATCTCGGTAACAAAATAATAATGAATGAATTGAAAATATTTTATTGGCTTTACGTACTTTTTGTTTTTCGTCCTCCGACCGAGCATCCATCCGGACGTTAGCCCAAGGCAATTCCTTTGGCCACCAAGGAGGCCGCGTGCTATCTCTACCCCAACCAGGTTTGCCTCTACCTGTAGAATACTTTAACATCAACGGTATAAACGCCCTGAGTTGCGCCTGTGTCATCTTCTCCACTGGGGTCGGTATACCGTCGATTATAAGCGGTGGTAATTCAAATAATGACGGATCGTCTTGCACGGGCGGCGGTGCTTGTTGCGCAAGTGCATTTTCCAACTCTTCCATGATAACGTTTCTTAGATTTTTAACTACATCTTCTAATGGTTTCGCTCCAAAGACTTTGTAACTACTATTTGGTTTGCCTGGCGTAGCCACTAATACCACTGCCTGCTGTCCTACTCGCGTAGCAAATTCATCAATAGTTTGCTGCAAAAGATTCGACAAAAATATTATAACATTCCAAAGACAAATATACTATTGTCAGAATAGATATGCAAGAATGCACATAACAGTGGAAATGCGATATCAATTATACGAGGATTTCACTTACTCTAAGCTTTCTTAAAAGCCTGTTTTGTTGTCTCTTTCTGATACTGGGATTGGTTTCGAAACTGTGAGGTCGTTTTCGTTTCTTGGCTGATACAATGGCAGCAGCTGCAGCAACCCCTACCGGTCCTAAAGATTTTTCAATACAGAAAGAATGTTTTAATTGTTTCAACCTTGCAGTTTTTGATATGCCAATATAATAAAAAAAAATCGAAAAAAGAGCTTCAAAAATATTTTTTAATTCCGCTTTTTGATAGTAAAATACACGTTTATTTATAGAGTAAAAAAATTTGCGAAGTTACAATACATTGACATATCAAAAATGTACAGTGTATTTTCAACACACACAAGACAAAAACGTAAAGCAATAATGAAATGTAAAATATCGTTAGAATCGAAGATAATGAAATATTACAAATTAAATATTACAAAGCTGAATAGTTACATCAAGCTGTATTACAATATGTTCTAGACTTTGTGCTGACTATGCTGTGAAAATAATCGTATTATGAGGAGACGAATTTTATAAAACTGAGAGAATACCAAGAAAACACATAAAAGAAATTTGTTATAGAGATATAATAGTATCTTAATATAAGATATTTCACATTTCATTTGGGTGAAAAACAGAAAAATATTGGACTGTATTTATTGTTTCAAAAATTGAGAGAGGAAGAAAGAGAAAAACATTGCCCAAGTTATTTTATTTCTCTAACTAAACAAATGAATTTTTGTAATATTGGCTGACATATTCTGACTTATATTATAACAAACAAATCTGCTTTATTTTGAATAAGATTAGTATAACAATATTCCGCTTTTTAACTTCAACTTTCATAATAAAATCTCGTCTCTCAATTATTAATTATAAATAAAATTCATTGGCATCCAACATTGATAACGTAAAAATTGAGACGGGAAACTTATAGTCAAACAGTTTTGATTACACAGTCATATATTACATTTAAGTTTTCGGTGTCTGTAAATTTAGTGTGTTATCGGTCTTCTTGATAAAAAACATTTCATCGATGTCTCTTTTTCTCCTAAGGCGCTAGCTATGTAAAATTCTTGGTTCCGACCAGTAGAACTCGTGATCATGTGAACAGTGCTCACACGTATACATATATTTTATAACTCGACTCTGTCTTATTTGACGACGATGACTGACTTAGGTGCGTTACTTAACGTTCAACTAAATCTTTTTTACTTATTAACCTACATTATTTCATAACTGCATTGTTGTTGTTGATTTGCAGTGTCACTCGAAAAGGACCCAAAAGAATAGGGTCGAAACGTTGTGTAATAAACTGGTTAAACAATTAGCCAGTTGGGTTGACTAGAAGTTTCCCGTCTCAATTTTTAATCATTACTGGTGACAATATGCAAACTCTCCTTTCGTTGATAACGTAAAGCAAGTAAACACAGTAAAACGCGCAATAACGAAGTATGGTCACATTATTGAGCCATAAATCATAAGTAAAAGTAAATATTAATTAGCAAAACGGGAAAATATTATTGTGCCGGTCTGTAGTGTAATTGTAAATATGTATTTTAATTTATAAGGTTTTTCCGCAAACGTGATACGATTTTGCAAATAGCAAAACTCAATTGCAAATCATACGTGTATGTGTCTAAAATATGCACTTTGCACTGTGCAATTACATACTTTGTCTATTAATTAATTGATATCAAAGACAATGTTTTTAATATCAATTATTTCATCTCGTTATTCTGCGCGCAATATTATTAAAATAAAAAGTTTTTAAATTAGCATTTTAAGAGATATTTTATACAAATATAAAAATCTTTCGAATTAAAGTACAAACTATTTTACGAACCATCCTTGGCCAGTCTCTTGTGTATTTTATTACACATAATGTTGTCAAAAGCCACTTTATATAAAAAAATTTGCAAGATTATTTTAATGCTCTAAAATATTCAGAATTAAACACAAAGGATATTAATAATTAAAATACTAGAAAAGAAAGAGACACCAGGAGCAGTGGGAGCCGACACTGGATAGAAGGTGATAAATCACGATAGATTACGCGTACGTAAGTTTTCAAGCTCATAATCTGCGTATATCTTAATTGACGTTCTATGAATTTTTTTATATCTTAATTCCAATTGACTTCATTCGTAACGACTCATCGCCGCTCAAACAGTGACTTAGCGTTTTTAATCAGATTGTTACCGAAGAGGGTCACTTTCGCGACCGAAACGTTCGACTCTTTCGTTTACTTACGATACCACGTCTGTAATATACAGGGTGTACTAAAACCACCGGATATCCTTTTAATCACAGATTCTTTAGAAAATTTCAAGAGGAAAATTCCAATACACAAATGTCGAGGCTATAATAGTTTTTAAATAATAAGCGATTATATTTCCCAAATGACAGGCCTGAGATTTCGCGCGCTCAGGCACGGCGACGTGACGAGTGGTAAAAGCGCTCCTACGAATGTCGCCCCTTTTCATTTAATTCAAGTAAAAATTTGCAACATTTTGCAACTTCAAAGTGTTGCAGCTGTCAAAGCGGTCGATCAATATCAGTTGCCATGAAGGTTGTTACTGTGCTAAAAGGGGCGACGTTCATAGGAACACTTTTGTCACTCGTCACGTCGCCGTACCTGAGCGCGCGAAATCTCAGGCCGAGGGGTTGGTTCATCACTAGCGGTTATAGTGTACAAAAATTACCCTTGATACGGATTACCCTTAAATTACCTCAGATTACTCAAGATTATCCAATACTACCTCAAATTACTCCAGTTTTTTGGAAAACAGTGGTCCATAATACTTGACATAATCTTCTTTATCTATTAACAAATGTAGTTACTCCCTTGTAAACTTTTCTATCTCTTCAATGTCTTTTTCATCAATCGTAAGTAAACTTGCACTACAGTATCCAGTTTCTTGTAAGACTTTGATCAAATAACTTAGCAATTTACTGTTTATCAATGTCTTTTCCGTGCCGTTTTCAACCAGTGGCTCCCTCGATGATTGTTCAGAATTTTCCATTTTGCTTAATTTCAATAAAATAATAAATCACAAAGAAATGAAATCACAAAAACTGTACTAAGCACAGAGCGAGCAGCGTCTCGAGACTCTTGAGACTAACTGATCGTGGCACAGCTGAGATACGAAAATACGAGCGAAAACATATGAAAGGCAGCGCTTCCGATATTCGGTTGTCACTCGGCGGTTAAGCCTTGTGTCCACGATCCAAGAACTTGGTTCAAGTTCTAGTTTCGAGAAATGTGTAGCCAATCAATCTGCAGCTATTCCATAAAAGCTGCAAGGTGATTGGCTACGCATTTCTCGGAACTAGAACTTGGACACAGTTCTTGGATCGTGGACACAAGGCTTTAGATGTACGGCGGGTATACATATGTGCGAAACAAACGCGGCGTCGCGGCTTTAATCGTCCGATTGCGCTAAGGATACAAGATCGAACTGTCCCTCACACATGTTTGTTTCGTGCATACGTGTACACAGTATATCTAGCTGTCGACGAACACTATCCTTAAGTCAGTATATCTTGCTGATGCGTAAAATATTATAGATTTTTAGTACCGGCATTGAATATAGAAACGTAGATAAAGTTTCTCGGTAAATTTTACTTTTGAATATCTAACCGCGACAATTACGAGACTATAAAAGGTATGTTTTTACAAAGCGTCGACTCCAAAAATCAACTGAAAACATATGTTATTGTACAACAAGTTTGTCAATGACGTTCACACTAATTTAAAAAAAAACAAAGATTATCTCCGACTACCTCAAGAATTCTTATAATTACCTACAGATTACCTGAGCATACTAAAAATTATATAAAATTACCCCAAATATACTGGATTACTCAAGATTTCGTTTGCTGCTGAATTACCTATAAGTCCTTGTACAAAGATTACGTCAGTGACCAACCCCTCGTCTCAGGCCTATCACTTGTGAAATATAACCGCTTATCATTTAAAAACTACTATAGCCTCGACATTTTCGTATTAGAATTTTCGTCTTGAAATTTTCTAAAGAATTTATGATTAAAAGGTCACCCGGTGGTTTCAGTACAACCTGTATATACATTTAATCTTGCATTTATTTACCGCCCTCTGTACGGTGACGGCTCCCATTGCCCCTAGTGTCTTTCTTTTCTATTATCTTAGTTATTAATATCAATTTTACAAAAGAAGATTTCGGTGTCTGTCCAATCTGCGATTAGTGATGGAGCCAGTGGGTCAATTCTGTATCCTACGCTGTAGTGAAAATGCTGAAAGTAGGTAGCTTTGTCCCTTTCTATCTCCCTAGAAAGAGACAAAGTCGCTCACTTTTGGCATCTTCGCTGCAGTGTAAGATACAGAATTGACCCCCGGGTATATCTTTTCTCTTACGCCGATATTACACTAATTGGAATAATCTTCAAAAAGCGGCGCGCGCGGCGAAGATAATCGCGGGCAAACGGGCGAAAGGTACGATCAAACTGGCGAGTAATCCGATTGAAAAGTTCGCAAACGAGTCGCAGAATAGTTTCGCTAAACGAAAGGCCACTCTCAAATTGCCGCTTGGACGCTACTTCGGTACAAAGTGGAGAGAGCAGCGGCGAAGGAAATTTAGGAATTTCGTCTCCTTCGAAAGTAACAGTCGAAAAGAGACGAAGAACGAATCAAACTGTAAAGTTAGACAACTTGGGGCCCGGTTTCACTTAACCGCGCCTATTAATTTAGCGGGAACTCCGCTGTCTCATATTAGGATCCTACTTCATACTAGGGGATTTTTTCCCCACATAGGCTACTTTTTTTTTGAGAACACAGTCGACATTTCTGACACAGATCCGACACATGTCGCTTCCCATCTAGGTCTGGTTTCACCGAACGTCGCTCAACTTTAAGCTCAGTTCAATTCGTTCTTCAGAGGCAAACACGAACTAAACTTAAAGTTAAGCGACGTTCGGTGAAACCGAGTCTTGGGCTCGGTTTCACCAACATCGCTGAACTTTAAGCTTAGCTTAATCCGTTCTTTGTCTCTTTGCAACTGTTACTCTAGCACGAGACAAACATGATTTAAACCAAGATTAAAGTTAAGCGACGTTCGGTGAAACCGGGCCTTAGAGTTTAACCCGAGCTCAATCGACACTTCTCGACTCCGCTCCGGGGGGGGGGGGGGGGAGGAGAAGCCGGAGTGTTCTTGATCGAAGAATTATCCGAGTATTGCGACAGAATCTCTTTTCGGCCGGACCTCTTTCTAAAATCTTGTTATTCGAATCTTTGCCGTTTCGCAGTGGCAAGCTGCGAACTCGGGTGCGTTAGCTCGCGTCTCCTAAAAGGAAAGCAGTCGCAATAAACTGTCTCGCGCGTACAATGAGCGCAATTCAATTTAATTAGTCGCACTGGACGCGAATTTGCGCGACGAGTATCTCTTCGGCGATATCAAACGGTCGAGAGCAAGTCAACGAGCTCCCCGTGCATCTCTCTACACAAATGTTTTCCTCTCGCGTACAACGGGAGGCACCTCTTACCTTCACCCTGCGTGAAGGTACAAACAAAGTTTCTCTTACTACAGTGTCAACTACAGACGAAGGGCTACCCATTGCCGGTATTAAAAAATCGTTTCTCGAAAAGTCGGGTGCCGGGCTCACGGAGGGCTTCCTGCGTGTCGCGTCCGATCCGCAAGCAGAGGTTGGTTTAAGCAGTGGAAGCGAAACAAAAAAACAAAAAATCACCATTAATGTGTTTCAATTGCGAACCTGCTGCAGCGAGTTGAGCTGTCACATCGTCATCCATCGCAGCCGCGAGGAGGTCCCCTTCCTCATAGGTCTCGGACCCACTGCTGGGCTCGTCATCGTCGTCGTCCGAGAGCCTGCGCAGCGTGCTGGTCTCCGCGTCCTGTACAGACACCATCCTGATCCGCTTGCCACCCGTCTCGGTGCCGCAGTGTGTCGCAACCGTGCCGCAAAGAGTCGGGACGTCGTCCAATTCGCTGGCGGCTACCGATCTCCTCTACATCACCTTAGCCTGAAGTAGACGGAGTAGCGTTCTTTAGCGGAGGGTCGCCGCGTCGCGTGGGGCAACACCCGGGGGTCCAATTCCGCGTCTTGCTCACCGCGGCGAAAATGCCGAACAGCCGTTCGCGCGCGCGAGAGACGGCGGCCGCTCACTCGGAACATTTTCCACTGCGTCGCGAGGCACAGAATTGACCCCCGGGGACTGTTCTATTCACTCGAGGTGTCGCACATTACGCGTAAACAACCCGACGTTTGCGTTCGCCCGGGGTCCGGCGAGGATGAGAGAGGAAAAAAAAAGGGAGCACGTGCTTGCTCCGGCCGCGGAGATAGAAATCTGTGTACATCTCCTGGTGAGGAGCCCGTCGACGAGCACTCGCGACGACGGCGGCGGCGGCGGCGGAGGCGACGGCGGCGACGGCGGCGGCTGGTGTTGCCGCCGCGTCTCTCTCGTCCACCTCGTCCACCTCGTCCATCCCGTCCAGCTCGTAGCGTCGTCGCGGCCGCAAAGTCCCGCGGCGAGACGCGCGCGTATTATAAGTGGCGGCGAGCGAGACGGGGAGAGGAAGAGAAAGAGAAGAGCCGACGGCACACACGTCGACGGCGGCAGAGAGGGAGACGCGGGGATCTGCGCGTTTATTCGGGCCGATACTTTGGGGGGGCAATGAAAATGCGCAGGGCACACGCAAAAGAGACCACCACCTCCGGGTAGCCGGGGTAAGCGGAGCCGCTCACGACGACTGCTCGGTAATCGCGGAGCCGAGGGAGCAGGCCCAGTGAAGATCGCGAGTTGCGTACGCACCTTGGTGTGTTCCCGCGGCGTGGATTCAAGGGAGGGCTCGGGGCTCGGGGCTCTTCGCGTCTGCGGGGAGGCGGCCGCCTCGGCTACGCTCTCGCACCACGCCCCGCGCACGCGGTCGCGCCCGCGCTTATCATCACCGTGGCCGATCGTGCTGCGGCGGCGGACGCGGACGCGCGGTGGCCACTTGCCGACTTGCCTCTACCTCAGGACGCGCGACGCGCGACAACCTTAGCCGCCATGGCCGGTATTCGGCGGCGGGCGTATCGATCGGCACCGAGCGGCCCTCCATCACCCACCACCACCACGACGGCGGTATACGCGGACACGGGCGCACCGGCCATCTTGGGCGAGCCTGCGCGATACAGGCCCGCCCGAGCAGACGATGCGAAATTCCGTGCATTTCGCGGACGGTGCGCGAGCCAAGCGCCGCCGGACCCACGAGCCAAGAGCCAGGAGCCGGCCGAGCGAGCCCATCGTCCCGATACTCACCGGTTCACCGTCGAAATGTCCACGCGACGAGGCAGCGGTCCGGGAGAACGCCAACGCCATATACATATATACAAGCTTGGTATGGCGCGATTGGCGGGAAGAGCTGGGGCACGCGTCATGGCGGACCGACCACGCCGCCACGCCATTGGTCCGCCGGACACGTGACTGTCGGAGCGAGGGCTCCGCTTTTCCGCTTCGCCTTCGCCCGCCTTGCCGCGAGCGGTTTGACGTAAATGTCGCGCTCCCGGGGGGGGGGGGGGTCCGACCATAACCTCTCCGCTCCGAGCACGGCCAAGGATCCAGTTTTCTCACGAGAGCACCCGGTAAAACTGTCAGGGACCTTCCAGTTCTTCCGGCCACTCTCTCGGTATCTTCGAGTAGACTTAAGGAGGTCTTCAGTGTTTCGTAATATTTGTTGCAGCCCCTAACTTTTAGCAGCACGCGATATTTCGTACACCCGTAGAATGTGAAAACATACGTGTATGTACGTGTTATATGTATCTGACAATAGTTATAATTTAGCGGAATAATATAAGACAGAATTCGCAGGATACGCCCCGAGGATCGGAATCGATAAACAAAAGTCGAAGATGTGCGTGCTAACCGTTAGTGTATGTTTGCGCGCTAACGTGGCAAAATAATAATAGACCTCTTCCGCCTGTCACTGTTTATCTCGAATACGAGCTCCGACTGTGTACACCGGTCGTCGACGCAGGCTCCGATTAATTTACATCGAGCAAAAATCCGGATAGCCAAATCCGTCGGACGCACATTTTGAAGGCAGACCGCAGATTGCATGCAACAACTGATGTATTCGACACGTTGCCAGCGTGTCAGCGGAAATGCAACAAAATCTGCTCGCATAACTGGACCCCTTCGGTTTCTGTCGATAATTTGCTGACTGCGTGTTTCACAGACTCTGTTGCCAAAACGAAAATCAAACGCGGACACGGATGGCTTCGTTGCGGGTCTCTGATGAATCTGTTAACACTTTGCTGACTGGGAACCTGCACGGTATCCAGGATTGGGAAAGTTACTTTATAAAAGTATCAAAGTTACAAGTTACCAATTCTGAAAAGTAACGCGTTACGGTTACAGTGACTCAAAAAGTAACGAATCGTTACTTTGCAGTTACTTCCTTGCGACGAAAATAAAAATATCGAATCTGCATTTGAATCGTAAAGCGTCGATAGAGGCGTTGGTGCGCAAATTCAAGGCCTAATGCGATCTGTGGAGGTTTAAAAAATATATAAAGTAACTCTTAAATTAGTTACTAGTTATCGAAAAGGTGTAACTGAGTTAAGTTACAGTTACAGATGGAGAGAAAGTAACGAAGTTAAGTTAGAGTTACCAAAAAAAAGTAACTAACTGTAAACTCGTTACCCTCGTTACTTCCCAACCCTGACGGAATCTCACTAGAAACTTGCAAAGTACGTCATTATTTTGACTCTACGAGAGAACACGGGCACAATTATTTAACGATTTCCTTTGCTTTTCGTCCCTTTTGGTCGTAGTTTCGTACGCGAAAAAGAAAATGCAGCTGCTACAGCTAAAAACTGCATGTGGTAACTGAACTTCAAAATACGGACAGCTAATATTCAGTTGCAATAGTTAAATATCTGGCTACTATTGTATTAGATGCGACAGCAAAACGTTTGCTGTGCTTTCGCAATTCTTTGCAAACCATGATTAGCTACGGTAGTAAACATTTTCTTCAGTGTATAATGTATGAATGGACATTTTGATGTTATTTTTTGCGTTCTGTTTTTCCGGATTTTGCATTATTTTGATAAGGTTTTTGGCGTGGTCAGAGGTGGGCAGGGCTTCAATAAGACGACTTGGGCCCGGTTTCACCAACGTCGCTTAACTTTAAACTTGGTTTAATTCGTTCTTTGTCTCTTTCCAACTGTTACTTTAGAAAGAGGCAAAGAACGAATTAAGCTAAGCTTAAAGCTAAACAACGTTGGTGAAACCGGGCCTTAATGTTTCGATAGAACACTTTACGACATTTACTAAGGCTAAACATATGTTAAAAAAATGTAACATAAAACATAACATTAAAATAGCATGGAACAAATTACTCAAATTATATATTATTTTCGGGCTATAAAAGCAGCAATACATATATATCTTAAAAAAAGTAAACAAAAACCAATCTTAGGCATAAATCTCTTTAGTTTAGGATACAACATTGACGTTAGAAACGTTTACTAAGGAAAATTGCGATTTTGGACGCTATTTTGCGTGTTGAGGATTAGTTTACGTTATTTTGCGTTTTAAAAACGTATTAAAACGAAGTTGGGGACTCCAAGATGTAAATAAATGACATTAAAAACGTTTCTGGGGCATTTTGCGATATTTTGCGTATGAAGATAACATCAAAATGTCACACCTCTACGTATGAAACATTAGGTCGGGTAATCTTTGTGAAAAAGTGTTCAAGGGATACATTAGTTGGCTTTGCGAATGGTTAAAATCGATTTTTCATCGAAACATTGGTGTATTAAAAATTCTTCCGAAATTAGATCAATTTTTCAAGAGGGCGCCAAAGACCGTCAGACTCACCACAACATTCGTATCCTTGTCACAACTTATAAAACGTTTATTTAATCTATATTCTATATCTATGATATACACAGAAAAAGATAGGCAGAGGAGTCCATCACAGGCACACTACTACAATGCTGAATTATTCCATAGTTGCATGCTTTCTAAGACCGTTACGGAAAATACATTTCGTTCCTATTTGTATTTTTACAATTGTTACATCTACAATACAAAAGTATCATAATAACTAAATATAATATAATAATGTTGTAAAATGGCATAAAGCAGCTCTTTACATATCACATCTGGGGCAGAGTAAATTAGAAGCTACGAATTTTACATCATACGCCGCCAATCGAGATTTGGATCTAAATCTTGTGAGAGCTTTAATGTTTGTCTCCTCGTCGTCTCGCACCAAGTGAAAATAAGAATACTATTAACCCTCGAGTCGCTTTAGCATCGCGAGAGTCCCTTCTCTACGAACGCGTGGACTTTCTCCGTACGATTCAGGATGATATCGTGGGACACAGTCTGCCGTAATTCCGTCGGGTGATTTTAGAATGGCCGTCGGTTTTTCTGGAGGATTCAGAGTCGGTATGGAAGATAACAGGTGTCCCATTGGTTTTTAAGCCCATGGCTTGTTCTTGTGACAATACTTTCCGTACCAGCCGCTCTCGCAGACACACGTGTCGTTCTTTTGACAGCTCCCGTGTTTACACGGCTTGGTACACATTACCGCTGAACGTTGGGCCGTGCGCGTCGTAGTTGCGATCTCACAGTGATTGCCCTTGTACTCATTCGAGCATCTGCAGATGTTGATGCCCTTGCACTTGCCTCCGTTGAGACAAGGAATTACGCATTTGGCTGGAAAGGCAAAATTACGGCGTGAATATTTTCTTCCGGATTTTACATGATTTCGCCACACACCCTGTTTAAAATATTAGATAGAATATGATCAGATTACATTAGATTACATGCAATTTCAATAAATAACGCCCGGTTTCACTAACGCCGTTGAACTTTAAGCTTAGTTTAATTCGTTCTTTGTCTCTTTCTTTCCAACTGTTACTTTGGTAAAACACGAATTGAGTCTAACAAATTAAAGTTAAGCGACGCTGGGTGCAGCCGGGCCTAAGGCCTGGTTGCACCAACGTCGCTTAACTTTAACTGTAGCTGAAGTTAAAGTAAGGCCTATGAGTCTTAGGTCCGGTTTCACCAGCGTTGTTTAACTTTAAGCTTAGCCTAATTCGTTCTTTGTCTCTTTCCAACTGTTACTTTAGAAATAATTAAACTAAGCTTAGAGTTATGCGACGTTGGTGAAGCTGGACCTTAGGCCTGGCTGCACCAACGTTGATTAACTTTAACCTTAGCTTATTTCACTCTTTGTCCCTTTCTAAGGGAAACAGAAAGAGACGAGGAGTGAATTAAGCTAAAGTTAAAAGTTATGTGACATTGGCGCAACCGGGCCTTATTAATTTACATCGAAATTGCATGTAATCTGATGTAATCTAATCGTATTCTATCCATTGTCTTAAACAGGGACGGTTGTTATACTCACAGATTTCGCAATGCATGCCGAAGTAGCCCTTCGGACACTCGCAGACATCCTTCTGAACGCACTTTCCTCCGTTCAGGCACTTATCCGTGCAGATACCTGAAATTGTTCGGTGTAGTCGGTTTTGATTAGATAACAGCAAGCGTTTCTCAAATGTTATAGGAAAATGTTGCGCGCCGGAGGACTGGGAGTACGACTGGCCAGCACGTCGGCAGCCACGAGCGCGTCCGGAAAGGTGCTAGACTCGATAATAAGAGTCGACCATGCCGGTGAACTGGGGGCTGACAGAATATACGCGGGACAAATGGCCGTGCTGGGTATGCCTACCCGAATACACGACGTACAGTGTACAAGGAGGGAATTTTTTCTTAACATTTATCCTGAAAATCATGCAATCGTGGGACAACGTGGCATTTCGAAGAATTTAATCAGAGTTCTTGGAAACTTTACCATACATCTTACTAGTAATTATACTTACTGTACATTTTAGTAGTAGAATGTATAGTAAAATTTCGAAACACTCTTATACAGTTCTTCAAAATGTCTTGTTGTCCCCACGATTACATGATATTCCGGATGAATTTTAAGAGCAGAATCCCTCCGTGTAGATATGTAGATTAGAATTCTGATGGACCTCTGTCGAAGCGCAGGCAAAACGGCGGTCGGGCCGACCATACAGCACATGTGGGATCAGGAGAAGCGACACCGCGCGAAATTCGAGGAACTGATTCGCAAGTACCGCGTCCGACCCACCGTCCTCAGCCCGCTGTGGAACGTGGCTGGGTTCGCTCTGGGCGCCGGCACCGCTCTCATGGGCGAGAGAGCGGCGATGGCGTGTACCGTGGCGGTGGAGACGGTGATCGTCGAGCACTACAACGATCAGCTGCGCCTACTGATGGAGCACGGCGACAGCGTGGACAAAGAGATACTCGAGACTATCAAGAAGTTCCGCGACGAGGAGCAGGAGCATCACGACACCGGCATAGATCACGGCGCCGAGCAGGCGCCGTTCTACCAAGCTCTGACGAGCGTCATCAAATGCGGCTGCAAGACAGCTATCTCCATCTCCAAAGTGATATGAACGCGTTTCCAAGACTCTTCGAGATGTTTATACATACACGATGTTATGCTACACAATCGTTGCTTGTACATATAGTATTTATTGTGTATATAATAATAAATTAGATTTCACTTTTTCTACGTGGCGAATCAGTCTAACAGTACACGGGATATCTCGAGAACAACCTCCAATGACTGATCTGTTTGACGAATGTAATTGAACTGTCTTTGTAATATTTCCATGGGAATTTTATTTTTGTGAGCTTATCTAATAAAAGTAATTAAAAGGTTTAGGTCTCGTTTAAATAGAACGAATAAGAGAACTAGGTAATCAATTGCCTATAGCTCTTCATGAATTTAACACTGTAAGATATGTACTGACGAAAATCGACTCGTGTAAGTGGTTGGTGTATATGTATAAGAGTCCCAAAAGAGAGAGATACGCTTGAAATAAATTATAAATTTGTTTTAATTTTGTTCAAAATGTGTGTATAAAAAAATTAAACTTACCATCACAAGTTATTTCTTTACATGTGTAATCTCCCAACAAAGATTCAAACATTTGTCCCATTTTCTGACATTAATTTCAAAATATGCCGAGTCAGTTTTATGTTACGTTTTCCACTTTTCGATTTGATGTGAAATGTTTTCTCTTGACAAAAGCGTTCAATTTTCCTAAAAATATCGCAATCAAAACGTGCGAGATCAAAGAAATGACAATTATGTTCCAAGACATAAAGGAACTCTTGCTTGTCAATTTTATTCACAAAATTGAAATACTCGTTCGTGATGTTTCACTTTTGTATAAATGCGACTCCCCTCTACGGGGGAAACTTTTGAAACATATGTATAATGAGATAAAATGAGCTGAAAAATTCTCGAACGCGAACTTTACAATCACATCCTGTCTCTTTTATCTTTTTGGAAAGTTGAAAGAACACTTATCTCGGATCAAGAAGTGAAACACAAAACTGACTCGGAAATTTGATTTCATATTTACATACAAAATTTGATTTTAGATTTGCGTACAGACCTGGAAACTAAACATTATACATGTTTAGATAAACACTCGAATCTGTTAGGAGATCATGTATGGAAAACTAAGTTGACGTTTCATTTAGATTTTATTTTAGTATATTATATATATATATATATAGGAAATTAGAATAAAATTTTAACATTTAACGTATCTCTTTCAAGTGGACTTTACTTTTGGAACTTTCTTCTATATTCCTATGGAACAAATTTCGCCGTACATCTATGTAATCTATTATACCTCCTTCGCAGTAAGGACCTTGGTATCCTGGCGGGCACGAGCACACGCCTGGCGCTGTGCAGTTACCGCCATTCATACAATTCGGATAACAAAGCGCTTTTTTACAATGAGGCCCTAGATAACCATCTGGACAGGGGCCAGGATTAGGCTCTGTAAAAATAAAATGCAGTTAAAAGATAGCATTACTCCGATGTCTGCACACACATATCACACACACACACGTATGTACATGTATTTAATAATTATCTTTGTATACGATTAAGAACGAGGAATATTTCGGTAACAGAACCGAATTCCCGTTATTAATCCAATAAGATAATATCGTTCTAATGCATGCAATCTCACCATGCAGATTTAATTAAATCCCTTTTCAAAAACCATACCGTAAGCCACGGAATTGAGATCAATATTGCATTTTCATCTCCTACGTCTTACGTCGAAACAGAATTAATTTTAATATTTTCCTTATATTAAATAAACGTATTCCTAACAGAGACGTTTGAAAAACGGATTCGTCAAAATAAAATTCTAATAAAAAAATTTGTAAAAACGTATAGCGACGGTATTAACGTTTACAAAAATAATGTGAATCTAATCCATTCTCTTATAAATGTTTTGATACGTCTTTTGTAGTTTTTTAAAGATAATTACGCAGAGAGATTAAAATGTTACATCCCGCGTACATATTTTATCTCATTTCCATGGCGCGTGCAAGCCGTGACTTTCCTTCCGATTAAATTTTACTTATCAAGAGAGAAAGCCTCGATGCCCAAAACGTATTTGATTATTTCACGTTTGCACATTCGGCCGGCGATGCTGCGAATTATTGATGCATTATCGCAGAAGCGATTATACGTTCGAGAGCGTCTCGTATTCCGCTACGCCCATCTGAATTCGAGTAGATGAAAACAATTACGTGTCACGTGGATCGTTATTTGCTAGTCTTTTTCTCATCCGTGATTTGTGATGGTAAATTCGACCGATCGCACATGCTGTGAATAACCCTTTCGATCCTCGATATAATCGGAACATGTATGTAAAACAGCGGATAAACACATACTCGACTCGATGATTAACAACTCGAGTGCACAGAGATTGAGAGAGCTGAAAACAACGCTAAGAGAGGGACAGCGAGAGAGAGAGAGAGAGAGAGGGCAGAGCGCGGACTCGTGCGTTCTTTTGCATTAAGTAGGCAATTAGGCACTTAATTCATAATTCGCGGGCGAACAATGACTCGAGGAAGCGTAGTACTGGGCCAACGCTTAACAAAGTGCCAGGCAGGACAAAAAAAACCATACGAATGCTCACGTAGAAAATACAAGCGCGCGAAACGTGGAAAAGATGACCGATCTGAAGTAATATTTTGGCGAAAAACAAAAAGAAAATAAAAGCGAGTGCTCTTCGAATGGCGAGTACAATGAATCGGACGACAGTTGTATGACGTACTAAGATAGCGTTAATAGAATCCAGCTCTGAATGCGAGAATGCGTTTACGCAAGACGTCCCTTAAGGACAAGAACCGATTAGTTACGTGAGTATCCGATGACTAATCGGTTCTTTTTCTTAAGGGATTTTCTTCAGCCTCAACAAAAGCGGTCCACGTTACCACCTTGCGAGCGGCGATGGGTCCAAGCGCGAAATTCGAGTCGCGTTATTTGCATCGCGATGCCCAGATAATATAAACAAACCCAAATGGAGGGATTTTGCTCCCAAAGAAATTTCTCAGTTTTCACGCCCTCGAAACGCTTCGAGGATTGGACGCGACGCGGCGGGAGACGAGTAGTACGCGTGTAAAATGAACCGCGTGCAAGCTCGACGAGGGCGCGAGGAAAAAGGCCCAGGCGGAAAGTTAATCGATTCGCCACTCCCTTTGACACCTTGACAAACGCAGCATCCCCGTTCGGAGCGGGACCCCGGGACCATCTCGTCGCTCTCGATGATCGAGGCACGGCGCAACCGTTTAACGACGTAACACCCATAAATCTGCCGGACACCGTGGAGAGGAGATTCGACGCGCCTCCCTCGCACAATTATCGGACCCATCGTTCCGGCCGGCAGGGGCGGGCAGGTACAGGTAGATAATCTTTCTCTTACAAAGTATCAAAACGTGCGCGCGCGAACGCGGGCGCGCATCAGGTACATGCCACGGCTGTCGATTAAATAAAAAAAGACGGAGAGGCAGTCGGAACGAATGAGCCATGAGCGCGCGAACCGGATTTCGTGGGCGCGGGTTTTACGCTGCCGCTACGCGACGCGGCGTCCTCGCGAGCGGGCGATCCTCCTCCCGACTACCTCGCCTCGCAATCGATCAAGAGCATGCAGCAAATTAGGCGATGAATTACTGCTGATACAGAACTGTATGTGCGAGTGAAGAGGTGGTGATCGTGGGCGCGACTGACGCACTCACCGCGCACGGTGCATTCTTTTCTCAAACTGAGACGGAGGGGCGTCCCGTTCAGCGGTTTCCCCTTGCGGGTCTCGATCATCAGACTGATCCCGAATTGCGCTATGCCCGAATTGCCGGCGCAAGGTAAGAGAATGCTGAACTCTGCAACACAGAAAGCAAACAGGGGTGAGTATGCTCCGTTCGATCGTGTAACTGTCATTCTCAATTTTCCTCCCACAGCAGAGAAACCGAGGGGGTGAACCGCTCAGGGCATTGTGGTGTACAGAGATTTGTGGCATTACTGCGCGGAAAGACCGGCTAAGGCAGAATTAGCTGAAATTAAAATGTCGCCGCATAAACAGTAGAGGCATCTACACTGTTTTGTGATGCAACCATAGACATAATCCGTGCTTTCCAGCAAGCGACATAAGTCGACACAAATGTCGTTCTGTCTTTCTTCGCATTCAATGAATAATAAAGACAGAACGACACTTGTGTCGACTTGTGTCGCTTGCTGGAAAGCACGGATTATGTCTAGACCGAGCATCGAGCAGTGGGGGTATATCTAACTATATGCACTTTGTGCAGCAAACTTAGTGAATGTTGCAACACAAAACAATGTAGAGGCCCCTACTATTTACACGGCAACATGTAAAGTTTAGTTATTTTTGCCATAGCCGGTCTTCCCGTGTAAGAAATCTGATGGGACCATAAATGTACGCATGAAGTAGACCAATCAATTTTTTTTATACACATGTGCAAGTTTGTCTGAATAGACCCTTATCCAGCCTAAAGCACGCGACACAAATATTTTTCCTACTGGATTGCTTGCGAGAGCCAATCAGGATTCAACCTTGGGTCACCTGATCTAAAACTCTGCATCCTTATTGGCTCTCGCAACAAGTCCAGTAGGAAAAATGGTATCGTCTGCTTGAGAGAAAACTAAAAGAATATTTTCTTCGAAATGCGCGCAAATCTACGAACGTTCTCAGACATTATCGGCGAAAGTGCGCGTAGAGATAAAGAAACTGCGTTACATAATCGCAAACGTAAAAGTGATTTATGAAAAAGTAGAGAAACAATTATCTTCGTTTACGATTGAACGGGAGGAACGTGGGTAAACAAAATCGCCTGTGTAGTTAGTCCGATAAGATAACATTGTTCTAATGCAATCTCACGCGGATTTAATCGAATTCCCTTTCACAGGACACGACAAGTAGACGAGTTATCCGTCTGAGATTTAATAAACAAAGAAATCCACTTCCAACGAGTCTCGCGCGACGGCGAAAGAGCTAAAGACTGAAAAATCGGAATGTATCTGTTCAATTGAAGAGTCATAGCGCCTCAGCCCTCGCACAAGCGTCACAACGGCTGCGTGTTCAGCAGAAAAAAAAACTACTTTCCAACAATTGTAAAATTCGTAAATTTGATTGAAGTATGCTCTCAGATTCTGCCGTAAATAGGAGCATACGCCAATCAGATTCGAGATTTTTGCAACAGTTGCAAAGCAACCTTTTCTACTGAACGCGGCTAATAACTCGCTCCACTTGGACGAGATAATCTCCGGACAAACGGGAGCGACGCGGCGTATTTCTGTATACGAGGAACATCTTCGTCTTCTCTTGGATCAGGTAGATCTCACGCAGCGCACCGACAAGAGGCGTCTTCACCTTTGACTGTGTAAATAAGGACCGTCGGCACTTATGCAACGCCGCGTGGAGAGTTAAAAGTTAACAACGGGACGAAGCGTATTTGCCAGCGAGCGCGCGTGTACCGATCTTAACGCGATTTTAACGTTAGAAGATAACGATAGAAACGTTGAAAGTGGCGCGAGAAGGCGTCCGAGTACGAACGCGACTTCACCAACGCTGTTTAACTTCAAGCCTAGCTTAATTCGTTCTTTGTCTCGTTTCAACTGTTACTTTAGAAAGAGACAAACGTGAATTAAACCAAGATTAAAGTTAAGCGACGTTTGGTAAAAACGACCTTGCGAAAGAGATCAGTCGAAATGAAGAATGCTTTGAATTTGAAGCGTTTGCAGCATCGAGTGGACCGCAGCCTCTATCGTACGATAAGAGTCAAACTCGGTCGTTAGCGTTAGATCGACGTTGAGCCGATCCGGAGTCTCCAAACGCGCACCGAACGAAAACGCTGTTAGCACGTGGACGATCATTGGCGCTAAGTAACCGCGCGAGAAACGACGAACGCCTCCGCCACAGTTACGATGGTTCGAACGTTCCTAGATTTTACCCCGTCAACCGTCGAATGAAAAATCGCGGACGTATTCAGGTCTCGACGCTCTTTCTCTTTTTAAATTTCTCCTCATAAAGTTCCAACAATTTAATGTGAGACGAGATTAAAGCAGGCCCAGCGGTAAATACGCCCCACGCTAAATCTTTTTTTTAACATTTATTATACGTAACTGTTGCTGGGCAATTTTGCTTCTAAATGACGAAATAGTTGCGCACGATTTATCCCCTAAATTGAGAGTGTCAATTTTTGGACAGATACCATTTAGAAATTTTATTCCTACAGAACCGCTGCGTTTTGACGAATCACCTCAATGCGGTCATTGTGAAATTTCCTCCTTTGGATGATGCAGTTATTACACAATATTTGAGACGTCTTCCTATCGGGGATAATGCCCCAGCAGGACCTAATGCCCAGACTGATACCCCAAAAATGACTATCCAGCGAGAAATGACTCGTTGATCGACGAAGCATTTCTCGCTGGGTGTTACCCTAGCGGAAAAATTTCTGTAAGTAACTACAAAAATTGAAATAGAAATTTCTATATCTTCGTTGAAACATTAATTTTTTTCTGTAAAAATATCTACGAAACAGTACCACAAATTACAATGTTCTCAAATCAAGAAATTATGGCAAGTAGTATTTCATGAAAATGTAAAATTTTGTAAAAATTAGTACAAAACTTTACTAGTTTTAAAAATTTGAGGAACCACGAAATCTTAAGAAATCATCTGCTTGCTTGTAGAATATTACAAAAATTAACAAAAGTGTTCCAATTCTAGTGTTTTCATGTAGATTTTTATAACACTTTTGAAATTACGTAGAATTTTTTAGATTCGGACAGTTATATTTTATAGTTTTGTAGAATTTTGTGGAATTCTTTCCGGCAGAGCAATGCCGCAAATCTGTAGACCACAGTGCGCCCGGCGGTTTTACTCGTCGGCGTAGACCGAGGGACGAGGGTCGATAGTGATATAGAATGTTTACCTTTCGGTCGCTTGGGCACCCGTCCTTGCGTCTTAATCGTGATGGATGGCGTTTTCAAGATGCTCTCGTCGTACGACTTTAAACGAAAAAAGTTGTAATAATACTTCTTCACCCCTGACTTCCACGTGAAGTTCACGTGCGACACCTCGCTCGGTATGATCGGCAGTTTACTCTCAAACTCCGGATCCAACAGATAAGCGAGCACTTGGCCCTCCGCAATCGCGTATATTTCCATTGCCAGCCCTGCGTTAGCCATGAAAAACAGTTTCAAGACTTATAACATTTCATGTTTACCGTCGTTTGCGACGGATCAACGTTCGCGCGATACCGCGTAACTACAGATGTTACCATTCCCTCTCATTTCGTGCTATTTAACATTTTGCGCACCGCGAACTTATCAAAGGTATACAATACAATCCCGAGTGGGGGGGCATCGGAGCGTCGCGGCGTCGCGGGGCGACGATCCGAGGAAAAGGGGGTCACGTATACATATATCGGGCTAGGGGGGAGGAAATCCGGAGGGGATCACTCAACATCTGCGTCAACTGTACCGCTGAACATCTTGATTTGTTGCTGGTCGATCCAGAGGGAGATGTCACCGGACGGCTTGTGGCCGGGGTTCCCGGAGCGGTGCTGCTGCCGGGCGAGTGCCGCGTCCAGGAGAAGGGCCAGCGCCGCCGCCGCGGCCAGGGCGGCCGCAGCCGATCGCATAATAATTGCCCGCGACGTGCCGCTGCCGCCGCTGCCGCCGCCGCCGCCGCCGCCGCCAGGTGTTGCACGCACACCGGTGAGGAAAAGACCGCCCCTTCCCTGGCAGATCGCCGTGCGTGCACTGGCGGTTAAGCGCGTTCCCGGCCGGGCCCCGGGCCGCCTCTCCCTGCAGTTCAACGTGCCGGCGCGCGGCGTGCGTGCCGTTGGCGATCCGACGCGTGAAATCGGAGGATTTCACGGGACGCGCGCGCGCGCGCGCGCGCCAGCGCGTGCACGGGACACGATCGCGCGCGCGTCTCACCTCGCGGCGCGGCGCGGCGCGGCGCGGTGGCGGAGATGCCGGAGGGATCCGCGCGGTGACTTCAACGCACGGTTGTCCACCCCCTCGATCGGTAAAACAGAGGGGTCGGGAGAGCGAGAGCAAGCGAGAAAAATCGCGGGAGGGTGAGAGAGACGCGCGCGCCAGACTCTCCGCTCTCTGCCTGCGAAACGGCGCGCGGTGCGTAAACGATGCGCGCGGACCGCGTCGCTCCGGCGGACTGACTGACTGACTGACTGACTCTCAATGAGAGCCGAGGCACGCGGAGCGAGTAGCGAAGCCTCTCCGCGGAGCGAGATAGAGATCTCGCAGACGGACCCGGGGCACGCCGGGGAGCGTGAGCGGCGCGCTGCGAGTTAAGGCTGCGTGCACAATGTGCTCGGAATCCCTGCCTTGCGATGCCCCTCTTCCCTCCCCCCCCCCAACCCTCCTCTCTCTCTCGCGCTCGCGCGCGCCACGTGTGCTTCTTATTTTACTGTCTTAAGCTCGGTTTAGACCATCTATAATTTGCAACGGAATTGAAAATAGAATGCTATTTATAATTTCACGCGCCGCGTATTTTGACGAATGTGTGTGTGTGTGTGTGTGTGTGTGTTTTAACATACATATCTTAGATTGCGCGCGTTTATTGTAATGTTTTTTTTTTGTTTTCTCGCAACCCCTAGCAGAAAAAATTTCTATAAACAACTGCAAAAACTGACTTGAAATAGAAATTTGTAGAAATTTTTATATCTTCGTTGAAACATTTATTTCTTTTTGTAAAAATATCTACGAAATGGTGCCACGAATTACTAATGTTCTCAAATTAAGAAGTTATTGCAAGTAGTGTTTCATGAAAATGTGCAATTTTGTAAAAATTAGTACAAAACTTCACTAGTTTCAAAAATTTGAGAATCAACGATATCTTAAAGAATGCAAACTGCTTACTTGTAGTATATTACAAAAACTAACGAGTGTTCCAATTCTAGCATTTTCATGTTGATTTTTATAACACTTTTTAAATTTACGTAGAATTTCTTAGATTCTGGCAGTTATAATTAATTTTTTTTGTAGAATTTTGTACAATTATTTCGGCGTCCAGAATTATAAATGTACATTCTAATTGTAAAATATAATTGTACAACTTTATGCCGAATTCTATGCGACCTGCAAATCTTTATTAAAGTTCCCACAGTCCACCTATTAATTTTATACGCTCAATTATAATTAAGCGAGATTACAAAAGACGCAGTTTGCTACGCCTAGTTGAGCGACCACTGTAAGCACACGGGCGAATTTTAAATACGCGAGAAGCGAGAAACGCGAGTTCGAAAGTAAACATTTACTTTAAACGCCAAATTCTGATACGAAAGATTCAAAGCTGCATTCAGCTTGTACGACTTTCGCTTGGTTTAACACGGATTTTTGCACCACTCAACAGTTTTAAGAATGTAACATTTATTTGGACTCGATTGAAATTTTACAACGCGGTTTTCACAATTTCCCGACTTGGCGATTTATTAAACTCGCGATTTATCGAATCGGAGGGAAATTGAGACCTAATCCCTTTTAATCTTCAACTCGCGAACGATCGTTTTTCAAGTAAATCGTTTAATATCAACCTTGCGCCAGGAGCTGCGCGCGTGTAGACACGCGGAAATCGAAATTCGAATTAACTAAAGAGGTGATAAGAAATCTTGACGGAGCGAACCAGTTTTTTCACATGTTTCGCGTCCGATCGCGCCGGTTCTCTGCCGTCTCTCTCTTGCGTTTTCCCTCTCTCCCATTCTTCATATCTCGTCGACAATTGAATTTTACTTCCGTGTCGTAAATTCGCCGCATCACGCGCTCGCATCGTTATTCCGCTCGACGCGCAAAACGCTCGAGTTACTACGAACGTTCCCGTGTACAAAAGATCGACCCACGAAAGAAAAAAGAAGAGGGAAAGAATCGAGACAAATTTTTACGATACTTGAAAACTGAATACGACTGAAATAGGCCAAGCTTTTCTCTAACACAATGTCGCTTTCATCTTTCGCGTTTTTCTTATTCCAGAATTTTTTTTACTAACTCCCAGAGTTATTTACAAGCTGTCACAAAAAGGGCGCTGGTGTTTTTCCATTAGAAAACACCTTTTAACGTACATTCTCGTGTTAACTTTAGTTTACATAAGCTTGGTTACAATTCCTGGGCCTCTTAGTCTCTGCGTCGATTTAATTTATTTGAATCTCTCTTGGTTATCCAGTGGTTCGAATCTCTTTAGTCTTCTTTCGCCATGACTTCCTTGAAATGATCCACTCGCTAGCTGATTAGGACGATTGTCTAGTCTGTTGACGTATACTTTACAAAGTCGTTTATTTCCTCATTCCAGGATTCAAAAAATGAAATTTTATTACATTTCTCTACTGCCATTACATTCGATGATATTACCGCGGATTAATGAAGCCACAGAGTCCCGGGTCGCGGCGGATACACGGTGCACTGTCACGTGAGAAAGATCCGCGACAGTTTTCCCAAGGCTGATAACAAGGTTTGCATTCGCCGATTATCAGAAATAACTGGATCAGATCTATTTCTAGAGCGATCTGCCGAGAGAGCCCGGCCTCCACGAGAGAGAGAGAGAGGCCCCCCCTGATGAATAACCAATAGTATCCGTTGTATTCCCGGTGTCGAGGGATGGGCTACCTAACAAGTGGTCCATTGTTATCCTACGCGGCTGAGGTTTCCGTCTCTCTCGTCTCTCGTCTCCTTCCTGCTCCGCGTCTTTCTTCTTCCGGTACGCGCAGTACGGACCGTGAATACTCCGAAGACACCCCCTGGAGACCGTAACGAATTTTCTAAACGCCACGTGGAACGTCGAGATCCAAAATCTTGCCTGCGAGTGTCACTTGTAGAACAGCGAAACGTCCCGCGATTAGTTAGCTTCTAATTTCAAATCGAGGGAACCGTACTCTCGTTTCTTCTAAGAAAAGTCAGCTGACAAACGTACGCGGAGAGAATTTTCTCTTAAAATTTGCCCTGAGAATCATGTGATCGTGGAAAACAACGTGGCATTTTGAAGAACTGTATGAGAGTTTTCTGAAATTTTGCCATATTTTACTAGTAAAATATCTCATAAAGTTCTTCAAGATGCCATGTTGTTCGGTGAACAACAACATGGCATTTTGAACAACTTTAAAAAAGTTATTTGAAACCTTACCGTACGTTTTACTTAAAAGAACATAAATACAAGTGTCAAGTAGTGTTAATTAATTAACATTTATAATTTGTCAAAAGGCAAACATACGCGACGAATGTTGCTTAAACTTAAAATTTAGCGTGAACTTTTTGGAACATGTGAAAAACGTTAACATTTTATTTCTTACCGTTTATATAAAAAAAGAAGCACAGGCGCAACATGTTGACGGAACGTCGTGACTTTCTACATCCGAAGCAGAGATATCGCGCGGATATATTTTTAGATAATTCGTCCCTCGCGAAGCATTCGATATCGTCCCTGCGATTATCACCGGCGAAAAGGCCTGGAAGAGAGAATCCAACGATAAGATCACGTTCCGTGGATCCCGTTTTGAGAAACGCGGAATGAAATTTCGGTCACTTTTGCGAAACAGGAGGAAGACAAATTTCGCACGAGGTGCCGCTACCCGCTGCCGCCCTCGTCCCGCCTTCCCCGTCGCGGGGGGATTACACGACGAAACATAAATTCGCGTATACACGGCGCGCGATTCTACGCACCGCTCACTCGGCGCGGCTCCGCGAGAGCGGCCGACAGCGAATTCAATTAGGATTGCGGCGGCCGTGCAAAAACATTCGATCAGGAATAAACCGGCGCGCTGCCTGCCTGCCGGCCTGGCTCGCGGACGGCTCTTATAGCTCGTCGCTTTCCAGTTCGCGAGCCCATGTATAATGCGTATATGGGATCGAGGATCAATTGTACGCTTCGTCGTCCGCGGACGTCTTTCCGCGTGGCAGACATCTCCCGATTATACCCTCGACAAATTTTCACGGCCACGCACGGCCTCTCTCGCTGAACGCGCCTCCACCCGCCCGGCGAAAATAATGTTTATTAAAAGTTTATAAGAAGTTTGTTTAAATGTTGAGTCAACGTTTTGTTTGAGTTTCGAAACATTTATTGAATTGTTTGCGAGATATAAATTTGAACGCGGAGTTGTTTATGACATGTTCACGGTTACACGTGTTCAAATTGCGTTTGATGATACAACGTCCAACGTTTCCATCATAGTTTTCCAAGTGTTTGTAAAATGTTATTGTCAGTAAAGAATTAACCAGGTGTTTGCAACGTACTTCCAAACGGTGTAACCATCAATAAAACTCTTCATAAATAAATATAAGCGTCATCTCTCACCTAAAATTTTCGCCAGGGCCCTCAAGCTAGATTCTTCAGTTTTTCTGCCGACTTTAATATTGCTATTTTTTTTCTTTAAAATTTATCGCAACAGCCAAGCATATCGGTGAACGATGTCGAGTCACGGTTTTTGCAGAATCGAGATTTTATACTTCTCGAATGACTTCGCCAAGCTGATTCTTCAAACAGTTTTTCTGCTGATTTTATTTTAATACTTGTATTTTTTTCTTCAAAACTCATCGCAACAGCATCTTACGTCAAGCATCAATGCCTCAGAAGTGAACAATGTTGAATTATATTTTTTGCAAGAAATGAGGTTTTGTTTTTCGAATTAGTTCGTTAAGCTGAAAAAGTTTCGTTTTTGCAAAAAAAGCGACTTAACATTGCTTACTTTTGAGACGCTGATGTAAAAGTACAGCAACCCCCACGAAAAAAAATTTTTTCATCTTTCTTTCCTGTTTTTTTAGTAATTATTTTTTTGTTAGACAGAGAAGGATGTATACAATCTCTGTATACAAATTGTTTTTGGTCCTCAGATTAGATAACACTCGTATTGAATTTCATGGACAACCGATGGACTCTCCAGCTTCGAGATATCTTTGTCCGATGCTAAATGATACTGCGGCCTCGAGCGATCGAAAAGTTACCGTTCGATGCACGCGTTCGTTAGCGCAGTTATATTTCTGTGGACGTGGCTCGGATTGTGCCTCCCTTTATTCTCCCGCGATCCTTTATTCGTCTGTAACCGCGACGAGGGAGAGGAAGAAAGAACCCGTAGTAGCTCACAGATCGAGAACACGGGCGCAAAAAACCTGTCCGGCATAATCGCATTATCGGTCACATCTTGCTCGATTTCTGTCTTCTGGCTTAGTGGAATTAAACCTGACGATTGTTCTAGTCTCGAGAGTAATGCTATTGTCCTCGGGAGTAAATAAATAAACTTGGGAGAGCTCGTGCTGCCTCAACTCTCTATAAAAGCAAAATAAAAAGTATGAGGACACATAAAAATTGTGTATACATTAAAATTGTACATAATATATTTATAAATACTTTAATGTATTATACGTATTAACAAGTTATTCAAGTTTTAATAGAGTAAAATCGAAGGGAGTAAATATCGAACCAAGCTAGTTATTTTATTGTTAAATATATATTACTTATATATTAATATATAGAGCAATATACCTTGCAAATAAATGTATAAATTACATGTATAATTTAAAATTAATAAATTCTTTCATGACACATAATAAAAAAGTAGAGTTATAGAATGTTCTTTCTTTTCATTGCAGAGCTGGTGATGCTCGATAACTTCAAAACGAGCTTCAAAATAATAATTTTAACTGTGAACGCGCTTTAAAGCGACAATCTGTATCACAAATTCAGTTTCATTGTGTCGGGACGGGAGTGACTAACCGCAATCACCATCGGCTAGAAATATTATTGGACGTACATCGACGGGTGGAGTGAACTGTCGTACTCGTTTTTGTGTGAATTTCCTTTGTTTTTTTTTATTCTCTTTTCCTTCTATTTTACTGACATGGAAATTATGCGGGCAAATGTCGGGATGCGCATCAATGCGATTACGTTCGTGATGAGTTAACTTAAAGATTAAGAGACATAATTATCCGCCTAATTATCATACAACGTAGTGGTATCTGGTCTCGGGTACTCGCTGCTTTACAGGGAAAAGGATGAGGAGATTCGGTACAGGACGGCCCATCCGATCGCGCGCGCGATTAGACGATAACTCGCTTTCTCGCTCGCGGATGAAAATGTTAATGTGGAAATCAGTAGGCCATTCGTGCCTGTTTCGTATTGCTTCTGCGTAAGCGACTTCCGATACGAGTCTGACCGTACAATGCGCCACGAGTTGGATGGACAGCCCGGCGCATCATCCGTAGACATTCGCATTTCTAGACTGCCTTTTGCCGGTTCTTTTTTATCTCGTAGAAAAATTATCTAAAAACGCGCAATGCCGATGCTGAGAACGAATTGCGCTCACTGTAGCTGCGTATATCATATATAAACGGTGAAAAACACATCGGCATATTAATATCAGGATAATATACAATGAAGGATTCGCACGGTAAACGGGCACACGTTTTCGGATCATCGAGATTCATCGTTCCGAGGTCGACTCTTTTTACAGCAGTCGCTCTGGAGCGGCGACGGTATCGTTTAAGAAACGAATGTTCGACGGATGTTAAAAGTCGGAAAGTTGAGAGTTAATAGGAACGCTAATTGGCGACGACTTGACTATCCTCGATTGCTTCAGCTATCGCTTAACAGTAAGACAGTCGATACGATGCAACATGACAGAGATTGAGCTAATCGAATGAACACATTGTACATTACGAGATGATTGAGATTCGCTATAAAATGTACTGTAAAGAGAGTCGAGACTCTGTTTGTTTGTTTTTTTCGGGGTAACGTGTGCTCGTTGTACAATGAACACTCTTTAATAAGTCACGAATCGTTTCCCTTGTTAACGCAATCTAATTATCAAGCAGAATAGCAGTAGATATTCACATCCTCCGCTGAGGTAACACAAACACCTCGGAAACACACAGTCGAAAAAGCGACAGCAGCCGCAAAGCTCGCGTCCATTATAGATACGATCGCGTAAAAAACGCAAGTAATTTTCTATACAAAGTATAAAATTATAAAAAAAGAGAAAAGAAATACAAAAAAAAATAATACGACGTACGAAAGGGTACGAGCTGCTCGTGCGAAAGTATTGGAAGTTTGTATATATATATGTATGTATACAACATTAGCTTTCAACGCGTCTAACTGATGGTTCAATGTGCAGAATGAACGAATCTCGCCATATTTCGATAAATATCAAGAGGCTAGCGCAATAGAAAAATACTCTAAAAACGTGTAAACGCGCTCGTGTGCATGTGTTGTGTATGTGTGACTTGGACATCGAGATTCGAAACGCTTTGTCAATTTCGTCACGTATTGATCGTACCCAGCGGTCGTACAAGATATTAATCTGCAAACGCGATCTTGTACTTGTCTATGTAATTGCGGTTTCGATTGCAACTTTAGAGATCGCACGGTTTTACTTATTGGTTGTGCGCCGGCGATATTAGATCGTCTACCGTATCGTTAGTATCGGCCGTAATTACATTCTTCATTTATGATATATGGGTATACCATGAATCAACAATATCGGCTGAATTAATGAACAATTCGCTCGGTTGAAAACATGACCAATGTTTTGTCCAACATTTATCGCCGTAACCGCCTAGAAGTTTATGTTCTATCTAATTAGCGCAAGCTTTCTTTAACGTCAGAAAGTGACAACATTATAACGGATATATAATAATACGAAAACGCTTTCTTATTACGCTAAACCAATATTACGCATCGGATCGAGTCACAAGTAACTCCCCCCTCTTTTCTTTTCCTCTCGCATGGAATATCTATTTAGTCCTTTTGCCGAAGTATCCGGATGACATGGGTCTTGGTCCTTTGTCAAAGTCATTAAAATTAGAAAAACGAGCTACCGTTGGCTCTTTCAGTCGTATCTTTGGAAAGAAACTTTCCACCCTAGTCAACTTGTCGCTAAATATTTTTTCAGCCGTTAGCGTAGCACTAGTCTTTCGCTTCAACTCCCAAAGTATCACATGGCACTTCTAGTCTTCCATCTTAAAATCACATTTCACGCCTCCCTTTTTCCTTTTCCAGTAACGATTCTCTAACACCGCTGGGGTCGCAGTGTCGTCAGTTAGCTTCGCATATTGCTGACACAAAAAGATGAGACGTTTACTGCTAATGGAAAATGCCACGGCTCCGAGAGTATTCCGAAACAAATGAATACTTGGTGGAAATTATTTATGACTCGATCACCAATAAGAAAGAAATCTTAATTGTGTGACGTCCAAGTCACCTGTACAGGATGTTCGGCAAAAAAGACCGTAACAAATATAGTTCAATTAGAAGATAATTCTGTAGCATAAGGACGTCCTTTGTAAGAATTGATCGTGAAAAAATCCTGTTTGGTATAAGATATATCATTTAAGAATACTATACTTCGTGATTCTTCGCACATACGTATTATAAATATTATACACTCTTTGTACCTATCTTTGTTTCACTTTATCTTTGTACCTGACATATTTGCTCGCGACACTTTTGCAGACAACCTGTACATCGCATTGACTACATTAACTTAACGGTTATCTAAACAAATTGTACAAATTGTACTTAAAGGTCTAAACAAATTTTAACATCCCATACACTAAGTCATAATAATTATAGTTGCTCTGTTGTGATCGTCGCGTCTTTTTAAGAATTACTCGCATAATAATTCATAATTAATATATATATATAATGTCTCTCTCTCTTTTTTCCTCCCTCTCTCTTTCTCTCTCTATATATATATATTTATATATTTAATATCTTCATATATTAAATAATCATATAGCATTATCTTATAATTATTGGATTATAATAAAATGACCAAAAAGCAAAGTAAACTCTCATAAAAATAAGAGGGTCTTCGTCGAAGCATGTCTCACATACAAAAGCAACAGTTACTTATAGAGGCCTTGCGATTTTTTGTTACCTACTTATAGTGCATATACAATCTTCTCTTTAATAGTACTTTACTCTTTACTATCTCTCTGGCGTATCCTTATTGTTCGCGCATACACGCGCCCACGTGTGTGTAGAGTGTGTTTGTTAATAATGAAAGTGTGAGAGTGCATGATAATTATAGATTATTATTCGTTCATTTAGATTTGGCCCTTTCTCGGCAGAGTAAAAATTGATCGCGACTAAAGGTTCTTAGTGTAACTGTCCATTACAAGATTAAAGTTAAAATCAGTCGAAGCCAGATTGCGACACTACCTTCTACAATATATACTTTTACTTTTCAAGATTGCATGTAAACAGCGGCACTCACTAACTTATTGAGTCTTTCCTATTTTTCAAATCAGATCAATTTCAATTTTATATTATATAAGATTCACACATTGTATTATAGTTATTTTTAATATTAATAATTGAATTCTATTTACTCGTTTGAAATGGTAAAACATTTTTTTATCGAATTCATTTTCTTTTTAACGCAAGCGCGTTATGTTAACTTAACATGAAGATTACATTTCGCCACTCTGCTCCATTTAAAGCGATCACTTTTGCTAATCGCGTGTTAGAAATAAGTCATTGTTGCAGATACTTCCAATATAGGCATTAGGATTTAATTCCTTGTGGACAAATTTTAATATAGTTGCTCGGCATAACATGTTACTGTAGTAAAAGAAATTGAATTTTGCAGTTTTAAGGCTCCTGGGTACTAGAGACCCTGTAATCAGAAACTGGCCACAAGAGTTCGTCAAATTTCCGCGGGTGAGAGAGAAACATTGGCTATCTCACTCTCCTACGATCGTAGAATCGTTTCTGATTACAGGGTATCCACTGGGCATTTACTGCAGCCATGTTGGAATCATGATGTCAGAACCGAGAAATGACACGCTGAGAATTCTTGCGCTTTATAAAAAAAAATAACAAGATATTTAAATAAAAAGATACTCTAGATCGGTTCAGTATACATTTTCAAAATACTCCGGTAACTAACCTTTTCCCTTGGCAGCTGATAAACAGCCATAAAATGTAAATGTAACAAGGTTCCTAAAGCCTTGTGTCCACGATCCAAGAACTGTATCCAAGTTCTTGGATCGTGGACACAAAGCTTTAGTCGCGCAAGCGTACATTCACATTTTATGACTGCCAAGGGAAAAGGTCAGTTACTGGAGTATTTTGAAAATGTGCTGAAACGACACTGCAGTGAGTACCCAGGAGTCTTAAAAGTAATTGTTTTTCTATATAACTTTTATGTCTAATCTTCTTATCACGGAAGATATCTTATTTTTAATAAGTAGTTTGAAATGGTTTTTAAACGTTATCTTTTTTTTAATACATATTTTGAAATGACTTTTACGTGTTATTATTCGTATCTTGATTAGATTATTTCAATATCGCAAAACGCTTCTCTTGTTAACAGTGTCCATAAAGGGCAAATTCACAAATTTACTTGAACAAAAAGAAAAAAGCAAATTTCTAATGACAAAAAATAAAGAAATGACTTTGGCGTAAACAAACAAAATATTTTATAAGTGATTCTTGTATCGCAATAAGCGACGTTTTTTTACTTTTAACAAAATTAATTTTCAAATAGTTGTAATTGTAGCAGTGTATTGGTCATTATATTAAAATATGTATATACACACGTTAAAAACCAACGCGTGAAATTTAGTAACTGGATTATAAAACATTGAATACTACATGCAGTCTTAAAAGCACTTCGCATTTGCACGAGAGTTTGGAATAACGAATGCAATTCGCATAGTCACCAATCGGAGTGTCTAAATCCAACCTGGCTTTGTCAAAGATATTACGGTCAATGCTAGAATAGTTCTACAATACTATTTCCATAAATAGCTTGCACGCTATGAAACACCTATAATGTTCTTGGGTTTTATAATTAAAATAGAGATATGGTGTTGATCGTCAGCACTTGCAATAATGTATACAAGGTAAATAATAATTGTTACAACCATAACTTAATCTTTTATGTACTACTTCCGTTGTACACCTAAAACAAATGTATGTTGAAACAAATTTGGAATGTAGTGTATTAATTCGATTTACGTTTGTTGCTTATTGACGATCTACAGTGATCTGAATGATTGTGAAGTACAGTCGCGTGGCTCCTACAGAAACTATAAAACCCAAAACCCAGAGTCTAATTGGCAGTATAGTGTTGGACATTGCGCCCAGCGCAAGGTGCATAGCAGAGCTGCTGCAATAGCCGAGGATCGGGAGGATCCTTAACCGTAACGAGAAAAAAAAAATTTTTTTATGCGGCTTTGATTAAGTTAGTTGCGGATGTTACACATACGTGGCCATAGTACCAGTCGGAATAGGTGGTGTCTCCTCTGGTCTACCTTTAGGTCCGTATTGTCCAATGAAGGATCCATCCTCCGTAAAACGCCCTGGAACAAACGGACTTTATTACTTATGCAGAAAATATATACAAGTATGACTGTTCATGCGTTTGCATACAGAGGTTCCTTGTTTCATTTTAAAATTAAATAACAATTGCTCTAAACATCAGTATGCAGTTTTATACAAGAAATATGTTGATTTCCGAATTAATTCGCCGAAGCATAGGTGCAATTTAAATGTTGAAAAAAACGTGTGCGACGCGTGACTCCGGATTCAGAAGATCGTCGATTCGTCGTCGGCAGATCTTGACGTCTCACTCCATGCACGCCTCGGTTTTATATAGGATCGATTGAGGAGAGAAGAAGTTTGCGAGTGAAAAAGCGTGAGGTGAATGATAATCCGTTTCGGAAACTTGTATTTCGTATTTCAACCATTTCGTCTGAAGAACATGTTTGTTGGGCTTACCTTAGACTAGAGTGGCAAATGCCTGCGAATTTGGTTCCTGCTTACGGTGTCGGCCATACTGACCAATGAAAGAACCATCTTCGTTCATGCCCTCTGTATCGAGTCAAGCAATGAAGCAAATAAAACATACATGACAAATTGAAAATAAAATAGTCTAAAGCGAACGGATAAACGAATACGACTTATGCAACTGCGGCTGCAAAGTGTTCACAAAAGGGAAAAGCAATCGCATGATGTAAAAAAAAACTTAAGTGTTAAAATAAATTCAGCTGTGTCCACATGAAATATGAGACTCGCTGTTTCATATTGTGCTCTCTATGTACGAAGATGTTAAAAATATTATGAAAGTATTAAAATTTGATGCATCTGTCTACGTTGCAACAATAATACGTACCCTGTTTTATAAACGTCAAATTCTTTCAAACCCCCCCCTCTTTGAACTTCTCTATTCTCAACCGATATCTACTAATTCAATTTCTCCTCTTGTAATACTCTTTCTACTATCTGTTTTGTAACTTTGCAACGCACAAATTATACATATGTGTAGTATATTCAGTTTCATTCGTTTCTTCTACATGGATTCCACGCTATTAGAGTACGAGTGGCCAAACAATTGAGAATAGGGAGTTCACTCAATCCCGACGATACAAAATTAGAGGGGCTTGATTGTACATTATAATATGTATCTACTAATCAGTTGTCACATAATACTTGACACTGGAAGAACACGTACTGCAAATATCCTCAAGTACATACTACTTTTTTATATCAAAGACTTCTTACTGCAGATATTTTTAATAATTCCACAGAGAATTCTGAGCCCATTACCTGTATCACCATCGCCATACTCCGCCATGGAATCAGTATCGGACTCAGGATGTTTACCATCCTGATGGGAAGAAGACGCCAAGGACGCGCGTCCGCCGGCCGATTTGGTGTCCAACGGTTGCGAGTATTCGTGGAATCCACCCTCGTCGGGATAATCCCCGCGCCCGGCAGCCAATTCGCGCTCGTGCACCGCGTACTTTCCGCCTCGGTTACGTTTAATCACGCAAACGATTATCAGCACCAAAAGGAGGATAGCGATTGCGAGCATCATGCCTGCGAAAACGCCATAACTTTGACATATGCCAAGTCGTCGGGAAGAGTGGTCTAAAAATATGATTAAGAAAAATAGCTTTACCTATGAACCAACCGGCCGTCGCAACATTTTCCTTCGGTTGAATAATGGGCCCTTCGCTACTCGTCTCTACTTCCTGGGGAGCACTCTCGCTCATGTAGTTTCCGTCGACGGCGACAACTGACATCACATAGACCTCACCGCTTTGAAGACCGGGAATCTGCGTAATTTAGCAATAATCGTATTATTATATTTACCTTAATTAAAGATTAAGATACAGTTAGGTGAAATATTAAAATGCGAACTTAATGAATACAATATTAGTCACATCGCTACGAAGATACCGAAAAGCCTTGCGTATAAATTTATTGTTGCCGTAAACATACCACAATACTGTTTGACTGGAACTCGGGGTCCGACATCAAGGATATCGTTTCGCCTTTCAGCTTGTACTTAACGAAGAAATGACTTCCCGGGTTACCGTTCAAATTCGGCAACCAAATGATCCTTACGTTTGAATATCCATTCTCCACCGGTACAGTTTCCCACGTAAATTGTGGGGTGTCAGGTTGTTGAGACATCCGCGTCTTTTGCTCGATAAAATAGCTACAAAAATGTATTACAACTATAAGTAACATATATAAAATGCTATAAGATAATGTGACAGATATTACTGATATTTCACTTCGTTCTTGTAATCCACGCTTGACACTTACTCATTGCCTTCACCGACCCTGGTCGTGGCACGTATGTGAACGCGATACATCGTATCAGGCGCTAACGCGGCTAATTTGGCACTCGTAGCTTGTGAATCTATAATATGCGGCTTTCTCTCGAGAAACGTTCCCAACTTTGTGCCGTTGACAACCTGATAATAGATTCTGTACCCGGTTAAAACACCATTCGGTTCCGCGGGCCGCGTCCACACCAGGAACAACGCACTGGATCCCATGGGGAAGGCTTCTAGACTGAGCACTGTCCCTGGTGTCCCTTCCGGTGTGTCAAACGACAGAGTCTCGGACGAGGGACCGTTGTACCTGTACAAAACAAACGTTATTTAAAGACAAACTAGCTACATGCAAGCAAAATACGACAGCGATGTACAATCGAGGTGCTATTACCTGCCGTTGTAAGCGAGTACTCTCACGAAGTTCTTGCTGTATGGAACCAAGTTTGTGATTTCCGCGTGCGTTTTATCTCCACCGCGAATCTCAACTTCGCGCATTTCCTTCTCACCGCTCTTCTCCGTCCACGTTTGAATCTTATATCCTTGCAATTTGCCTCTTACCGATTCCTCGGGCACCGGGCTCCACGACAGCTCAGCCTCTGTACCCGATTTAACTTGATTCAACGTAAAATTGCCGGGTGCTTGCATGGGTACTAAAATGGCAATATAACGTTTTTACGAGTAAGATTGATGTCTTAATAATTAATTTCAGCGTATCATGATAATAATGAAGTTAAGCAATTCCATGAGTGAATTACCGTCTTCTCCGGAGTATCCGGTTACTTCATTGAGTGTAGCGTTACTGTCACCGACAACATTCGCAGCCTGGACCTGAATTTTGTACCTTTGATAAGTGGGTTGATTTTCCACAACCAGATTATTTTTCCTCCAATCATATATATTCACAGATTCACCAAAATTCTCGCCCGGTATATCTCTTTTGTAATATATTTTGTAATAAAATTGGGGACCATTGTGATCTATCTGCGGCATAGCCGTCCACGAAATAACCAAATTTTGCGGCGTTGTACCCCTGCCCATAACATTGCCTGGATTTTTATAAGGAACGACAGGCTTATTGCAGTTGCAAACTTTCACGCTGTGTGGTGACGGTACAGAAGGGCCTGCATTAGAAAGCGAAACATCGATACATCAGTTTAACGCATTCTAAAGAAGAGACGATCAGGAGAAATCATGCAATTAATATCTGAATTACAGTACCGGCCAAAATTAAATCACCTTTAGATTTTCTGAGCATAACTTTCGTCAAAGCGCATCGAATGTTTTCAAAATTTTACAGCAGATACCCGATAACAGGTATTATACATTTTGTACACGACGGGTAATAAAATTGGACAAATTACAAAATGATTTTCGAAGTTTTCATTCGTGTACTGTAAAACTAGTTATGCTCAAGAAATCGAAAGGTAATATAATTTCGGCCGGTACTGTATACAGGATGTCTCATTTTAGTGCTCCAATTGGTGAAATTTTTTGTGTAATGTAACATACACGAAATTTACATACACAAAACTTTTCACTAATTAGAGCACTATTGGTAACAGCATATTTCTGAGACTAAATCAAGTAAAAAAAATCCTGTACTACTTTTTCCGTATCTTTCATATTTTTGGAGATATTTGCGTGGATCATTTAAAATGTGATACCCTGTATATTTTATATATGATTGCAATTCACTCGAAATAACTTAAATTTTCATAAGTTTCCTCACCTATTTTATTCTTCGCAATTACGCGGAACGTGTAATTAGCCCAAGGTGACAAAGCCACTTTGTACTCTAGGTCAGTAGATGGGATGTACTCCTTGGCTACTTCCCAGGTATCGGGTGTAAAGGTGGTATTGTGCTCGATCGTGTAGTGCAGAATGGGAGATCTGTTGTCCCCCATAGGTTGCCATTTAACAATCGCATCACAGGATAGGTTGGTATTGCAAGCGACGTCAGCTAATTGCGGCTCGTTAGGTACGTCTTGAACTGTCAGCGTCGCGTGCACCCGCACCTCGTCGAGATCAGTGCGAGCGACGCACGTATATTCACCGGAATCCAATTCGGTCGTCTTTGTGATCATCAGAGAATAATCGGAACTTCGTACGAATCTCGGCTCCATCTCGAAATCTATTGGTTGGTCTTTGATCAGCCAGTCTATAGTCAGAGGTAGACTGGGATCGGTAACGGCGTTGCACCTAGAACAGACAGCATAGATAAGAAATGAAGCGAGAATTCCTAATTGTATACACCGAGATATTTACTTTCGCTTCTCTATCAAGAGTTCGATGTGTCGTAAAAAAATTTTACCTGAACGTGGCAGTGTTGCCCGCCACGATCTCGTAGCTCTCCGGCTTATCCGTTATCCTAGTGTGCTCCTTCACGTCCAAGGTGGCGGACGCGTTCACCTCCCCGAATTTGTTAGAGGCGTAGCACGCGTAAGTACCGCTGTCCAGGAATATCACGTTCTCGATCTCCAAATCGCCAATATTCAAAATCTTGTAGCGACCGCCGGTCAACTCTTGTCCGTTTCTGACCCACTTGACCTCGGGAGTAGGCGCGCCGAAAACGCGGCACGTAATGCGGACAGTTTTGCCGTCGACCGTGCTGAAGTTCATGGGCGGTTGTGTGATCTCCGGGTGGAGCGCCAACACGTTCACGTAAACGTCCTTGTAAACGTATCCCAACGAGTTGGTGGCGTTACACCCGTAATTCCCGGTGTCTGCTTTCACCAGCCTCGCGATGGTAATGGAATTCCGCGTGACACTCCTCCTGCTGTTCGACGGCGCTTCAGATATCGGTTTACCGTTGTGGATCCACTTGATCTCGGGAACGGGATCTCCGCTGGCCTCGCACGTGATCGTGGCAGTCTCGTCCTCCGCGGCGCTCACGAACTCTGGCTCAATGGTGAAATACGGCACGGCATGTACTTTCAGGTTTATGGAATAGGACTGGGCTGTTCCCACTCCGTTGGACGCCTCGCAGGTGTATGTCCCCTTGTCCTCGAAATTGACATGTTTTATAATGAGAGATTTCCCGTAATTTCCTTGAGTTATCCTATCGCTCGGCCTGATCAATTCGCCATTTTTACTCCAAACTATCTGCGGCAAAGGCGTTCCTCCGAATATGCAATACAACTCCACCTTCTTGCCGCGCAAAGCAACTTCGTTTTTCCTGGTGACGTACTGTCTTACAGGCGGGTGCTTGTTCTGGCTGGCGGACGCGCCTGTAGAAATTACTTCTAGCGTAATTTTATTGCCTATTTTGTATTCGTTTCTGAACACAGATGTGGCGGCACAGGCGTAATAAAAGTCATCCGAAGCGTCGTTTCTGGTGACGTTGCTGAACCAGAGATTACCCTCCGGATCGAGCGTCATCCTCGAGTTATTGATTGACTTGATACCACCGGCGAAATCCTGAATGAGCCAATACACGTTTGGCCTAGGCCAGCCATCGGGTGGTTGGCAGACAAGTTTCAAGGGAGAACCCTCGTTCTCCCTTACACGATGTGGAGGTTCATCCTTGAACGAATTTAATTCGGCCTTTCGAACGAACACCGAATTCGACGTGGCTATGCCCCATTCGTTCTCGGCGAAGCACTGGTACTGTCCTAAGTCTTCGTCTCTCGGTCTCGAGATTACCAAAGTGCCCCTGCCAGGCTGTTGAGAAATGCGATCATCGTACGCCGGCCACTCAAAGTTCTTTCCATTTTTAATCCAACGATACCTAAATAATATTATTCAATATTAACATCTCCTCTCTGATACAACATACATCAAATCACGCACAATAATGGTAAATATAATAACAAGTACACCTACACGGAGAGCATGATTTCTTAAAAGAACAAACCGAAAATATGCCCGTTTTTTCTCGAATACAGCAAGTATACTTTGACTTGATTTGGTCTCAGGAATATGCTGTTGCAATAGTGCTCCAATTATTGCAAATTTTTCTGTGTATGTAAATTCTATGTGTTACAATACACAAAAATTTTCAATAATTGTAACACTATTGCAACAGCATATTCCTGAGACTAAATCAAGTAAAAAAAGTCCCGTACTACTTTTCCCTCCGACAAACAGATATCGAGATATCATAAGCTAAAAAGTTACAAATTTTCTCTTGAATATCTCAAAAGGTATTAGACAAATCAAAAAATGTTTCGGACAAAAGTTGTCCACATTAATTAGTAGAATAAGACAGTATAATAAACACTAGGGGGTTCCATTAAAGAAAAATTGAAGGTGATTCTTCACGTGAAACCAAAAAACTTTTGTTCGAAACGTTTTTCCGTATCTTTCATATTTTTGGAGATATTTGCGTGGATCACTTAAAATGAGACACCCTGTACATTCACATATAAAGTATCGAGATTCAACACGACTCGACGCGCAACATGACACACAGATAACGTGTTTCCTCATTTGCCGCCTCTCATTTCTAAATAAATTTCTTTTCATAAATAAAAACTACATACATATCCGTCTGTAAAAAGCGCTGCCAACGCCCATACGAGTGTACAGATAAGTCAAACGTGTGTATTAGTGATGACTATTTCACGCATCCTGAAGGTATGAGATCATCTTTGCAATTAAGATCGGCCGGTTGTAACGGCTTCCCTGTACCGCGCGAGATGAATAAGGCCGGCGCAAGTGCAATGAAACCTCGTGAATGAGATATCCCGAAAGTACATTCTCCGTTCTTGAGCAACTTAACAAGTGTCGCACAAGTCATATTTACATAATAGCCGTTTCCTCGACGGCACTCGTAGGCATTATCCGGCGATGCCGACGGGCAGCGCAAGAAGTAACTTCGAGAAACTTATTCTACATGTAACGAACGAGCTTTGAAAAAGGAAAAAAAGCGAGAAAACGCAGATACGTACGTTGGGGCTGGCTCTCCCTCCGCCTCGCATTCAATTACAAACGGCTTATCATTCTCATTGACTTTTGCTTGCGCCACTTGAAACAGCTGCTCGTCCGTCGGCGGCTGCTTGGATATTCGCGGCGGCGATTGGACTAATAAACAAAAAATGTATTAGATCGAGAACAATCGCGCCATTGAAGTGTAAACCGGTAAGAGGAACATACAAATATATAAATCTAGATGAGAAGACTAAAGCCTAATCTAAAATGTGCCCTATGCGTCTAGAAACCTTCTATCTCGTAGCCAATAAATACGTTTAAACAATTTATGCAACTTGATAAATTGCACGTTATACGTTGTACAATCGTACGTTATCGACGAATTTCTTTAAGCGTGTGTGATTCGCTTATATAAAACCAAATGTTTCTAGACGCAAAAAGCAGTTTGTAGATCAGGCGTAATAGGACAAGACATTTATGATTTATGTTCAATGTGATGGAACTCCGCTATGACAGATAATCCTGATGATTTTCGACTTGATTGCGGGTAAGGGACAGCCACAGCTTACTATTAATAAAAATAAATATGCCACATTAAGATTGAAAGAGAACAGACACACGGTGGGAGAAAACCAAACGTTCTTTCAAGTCTATGTACAAATACATACAGACACTTTGAATGTAATCTGGGATCTAATGGTAATAAAATTCTACAGTTCGTACATTGGAATCGTGTTGTTTATGTTGTATTGTGTGTTGGAATGACGTTGCATCGCACGTGTGAAATAATATAAAGTATTCACATAGAAACGATTCAGAGTACGTTTACGTGTCTAACGTTTCGCCGATGTATATATTTATGCTTTCACAGCCAAAGGTAAATCTATACACAGGTGTAAATGTACAAATATTGCATGAAAATATCGAGGAATTTATGGTCTGTCTGTGTGTGTATGAAGAGCATATGCGGGCACGGGTACAAATACATGTAAAAATGTGTGACTACATGAAAAACACAGCAGCCCCGTGTAAAGAATTTATTCTGTGGCGAAATGGTCTTGCGTGAATGAAACGATCGCTTGTAATAGAAAGCACGATTATGAAAAGACGCTTTTCATAATAGTGTATTTCACCTTCTACATTATCCGGGACACGTACTATAATTGAAAATAAAAAATCACAATTTTAATGGCGAGATTCATAGAAATTCGTAGCGTAATAGAGTAAGAGTCCCGAGCCTACGGCACAACAATGCTATTTTTTCTACTGGATCGCTTACGAGAGCCAATCAGGATTCAGCCTTAAGTCACCCGATCTAAAACTCTGTACTGGCGCTTGCAAGAAATCCAGTAGGAAAAATAGTATCGTGTGCCGTTGGCTTCAGTTGTACGTAGAGGTGTGACATTTTTGTTATCTTTATACGCAAAATATCGCACAGTGCCCCCAGGAACGTTTTTAATGCCATTTCTTTACATTTTGGAGTCCCCAACTTCGTTTAACAAGTTTTTAAAACGCAAAATAACGCAAAATAGCGTCCAAATAACGTTAAAAATCGCAATTTTCCTTAGCAAACATTTCTAACGTCAATGTTGTATCCTGAACCAAAGAGATTTATGCCTAAGATTAGTTTTTGTTTACTTTTTTAGACATGTTACTGCTTTTATAGTCTCAAAATGATATGTAATTTCAGTAATTTGTTCCATGATATTTAAATATGTTATGTTTTATGTTAATTTTTTAACATAAGTTTAGCCCGAGGAGGAAACCGCTGACCAAAATCTTGTACACCAATGCCCACTAATGCCCAGTGGGCATTACTTTATCTTATTATCTTCTTTTATCGTATTTATTTTGTTTTATCTTATTTTATCTTTATAATGCCCCAGCAAGACGTAATGCCCCAAAAATGTCCTAGTAATGCCCAGTAATGCCGCAAATATGTACACCACAATGCCCTCAGCGGTTTCCCCCTCGGTTTAGCCTTAATAAATGTCGTAAATTGTTCTATCAAAACATTAAGGCCCGGTTTTACCAACGTTGTTTAGCTTTAAGCTTAGCTTAATTCGTTCCTTACCTCTTTCTAAAGTAACAGTTGGAAAGAGACGAAGAACGAATTAAACTAAGTTTAAAGTTAAGCGACGTTGGTGAAAACGGGCCTAACAATAAGTCGTCTTATTGAAGCCCTGTTCACCTCTTACCATGGCATTATCAAAAACATTATCAAAATAATGCAAAATCCGGAAAAACAAAACGCAAAAGATGCCAAAAAACGACATCAAAATAACGCAAAGTTCGAAAAAACAAAACGTCAAAAAAAATGCCAAAAAAATTACATAAAAATGTCACACCTCTAGTTATAACGTCGACCATAATTCGCAGGGTATTCGGGGGGCGATTAAATTGTTTATACTCACCTAAGGCCGATGCGCCGAGCACCAGCATGGAAACAATGCACACGGCAAGCCTCATTGTCACTTCGTGTTTAGAAAGCTGAAACGATTATATTTCTTTCATCAGAAAAGGTTCCTCTCGATCAGAATTAGAAGTGGTAAGGGCGGCTTCGGGTCAAATTCGGATCAACTTGATCGCTTTAGCCAGCACGATTGCTCGCGGCAATTCTTATGAATCTAGCGTAAACTTCCAACAAGACTGATAGAGTCCCTGTAGTGAGAGTCTGGCAAGGGTTGACGCAAAATGGCGTCTGGTCTGTTCGTTATCGCTGCATTACTGCACTAGTGCAATTAACTAACTGCACTAGTGCAGTAATGCAGCGATAACGAACAGACCAAAGGTAACCAAATAATAATAATAATAATAATCCCGCGTTTAGAGTACAGATTCGAGACACCTTATTGGTTCCGCCATTTTGCGTCAAACCAATCAAACGGAGAATATTTCTTGCCAGACTCTTACTAGACTGATTCTCCGAGTGCTACACGCGAGACGTAAAGTTTTTAAGTACAAGAAAAAAAGAGAAACCGTCCTTCGACTGAACTTCGTTTACGACACACTTGGCGAGCAATGTACGCCGAGCCGTGTTCAATGTGAGTGACGAATGAGAACTAAAGGGAATTTACACTCGAAACGGAGCTTCGCCGGCTGAGAAGGGTCTTCGTAAAAACAATAAATCAATAGACCCTAATACTAAACAGTGATTAGTCTGATTGTGACAAAGGGTTCTATTAAGCCTGACCTACAATGTGCTCTTTGCGTTTAAAAACATTCTATTTTATATGAGCAAATCAAACCGCTTGAAAAATGCATCGACAATATACGCTTAAACAATATATTATGTATCAACTTGCGCAATTTTTTTCAAATGTATTTATTGGCTATAAACTTGAATGTTTCCAGACCCAGCACATTGTATTATAAATAAGGCTTTACGCTGTCTCCGAGGGAAGGTATGGGCAAGGGTCAGCAGATGTATGAAAAAAAAGCAGGTTCTTCCGAAATATCTAGAGAATAAGAGAGTAGTAGTAAACAAAAATTGGGTATTAAAAAAACTTGGTAAAAAAACCGTGTTTCTCACTCCACAAAAATAAGTTCAAGTTTCAAAAATTTAGCAAAAATCTAACTTTAATGTTTATTTATTAAAACGTGACTTAAAAAATCAGCACCAAATTTACGAAAATTAGATTTCACATTCCATGTTTCGTCTTGTCACTGAATCTCTTTCAAAATTATTAAAAAAATTGTTTTACTTACAAATATCGTTTTTACTTGATTTCTCACTCTATTTAAAAAATTCGATTTTTTAATCTCTAAAAATATTCCCTTGAGTCGGAGAGACACGAGATGTAAACCGCTGACCAAAATCATGTACACTAATGCCTATAACTAATGCCCAAGTGGGCATTACTTTACCATTTTATCTTATTTGTCTTGTTTTATCTTATTTTATCGTGTTATTTGTTCTTTCTAATGCCCTAGCAACATCTAATGCCCAGTAACGCCAGGTAATGCCGCAAGTCTGTACACCACAATACCTTCAGCAGTTTACTCCTCGGAGAGACATATATAGGAAAGGGGGACAAAGCAAGATTTTAAAATCATAAAACGTAAAGTGCAAAAATGGAGATTTACGTATTGCAGTAAAGATTAATCGGTGGTCATAAATAGTTTATACATTCGCTAATTTTACCAGAGTAAAATATTAAAGGACAAGTAAAAGCGTCAAAAAACAATTGATACTTTCACCGTGGCAGAATATGCACTAGTTCTTTCAAAAGTTGCAAGCAACATACACGAAGATTCAAAGTGGCATTCTAGTTATTCGCAATAAATGAAAATCGCACTTCAAGTAATATAAAATTTGTTCATCTTCTTTTGTATTTTTGAGAAACTTTCCCCTCGACTTTCGGTCAAATATTTATTTTATCGCAATCCCAGAGATTATATATTGTTCATACTTTTGTTTCAAATAAAGAAAAAAAGGTAAAAGCGTCATCAAATCGCATGCATTCAACAGCGAAATATGTAATCTGCAAAGAATTAAGTGTAGAATCACAATTATTGAATTTTACTCTTTTACTACAAGATATCTATATACCGGAATGTCGCATTAGACATTGCTCATTAACACTGGAACAGCCCCGGCGTTGAGTGTACATCTAATTTACCGCATCTGTCAATTTCACGCGTATTTAAAAGAACATTTAACCTGTTACTTCTAATTTCTTTAATAATTTAGCAACTAAGGGCCGGTTTCACCAACGTCGCTTAGCTTCAAGCTTAGCTTAATTCGTTCTTTTTCTCTTTTCAACGGTTACTTTAGAAAGAGACGAATGTGAATTAAACTAAGATTAAAGTTAAGTCTAACAAATGCAGCTTTCGTTTGCAAAATTTTTATGGATTCATCTACACGAGAAAAAAAACTAAGTCTTATTGTGGTCTTCTACGTGCTCTGAAACATGTGCTGCAGTTATAGGAACCAACGATAGATTCCGCAATTTTATTGGCACTCACGTGATACGCAATTTTACACATTGTCGCTTGAAAAGGACCACAACCCCGTATGGTCGAAACGTATAGCGAGTTGTAATTTTCTAATAACAAAGCCAGGCCAGTTGGATCGAAAATTATCCACGTATTAAATTAAACATAAATGAAGTTGCTCGAATTAAACGTTGACCACGGGCTGCCACAAACATAAATAATTCACTCAATCGTATTTGCTGTAGATTGTAATTTTAAGTATCGAACTAAATATCTAGGTTATTAAGGTAGTTTTTCGTAAAGGTAAATTTCGTAAAATCATTTGTGAGAATTGTTCCAAATCTTTACAGTTTTGCAATTTGTTGTAACTTTTGTAATTTTTACCCAAGTATTGGACACACAATCGACCCCCCTGATAGCATATCCTAAAAAAGATTATTTTTCAAAATTTTTATCAGCCATATTGGATCCGTCATTTGAATTTTGAAAATCTGACACCAGATTCGTAATCAGCGGCCCCAAAAGTCCCTGTAAACCAATTTTCGTGATAAACCGATAGCTAGAAAAATTCGTGACTGAAAGGATTAATATTGATGTTGTCTCAACGATTTTATTTCAATTACACCGATTTTGTTGACACATCAGTTTCTTTCCGTGTATATTTAGTTCCATAGATATTTAACATTTTAATAGAAACCTGTCCCATGGTTGTCCAATTTTATCGATAGAAAATAAATAAGTGCGAATGCATTTTGTCATAACATTTTCAAACTACTGCTACCTTCTGGAAACTGTTAGCCACGTTTTAAAATAAAGCCTCAATTAGGCGGTAGATCGATAAATACTTGGCACTAATGAAGAAGCATATACCTTTCACTAACACACAACAGGCGCTTATTGCACGAGTTTTACGCAGCAGAATGCATCGACAATGCAATTTTCCTAAATTGTTATGTATGGAGATAACGCACCATATCGCGGTTGTTACTATGAGTAAGACGGAGCATGAATAATAAAAAAAAATAGATAAGCCGAAGCTTATTTTTATGTGAAATGCGTGACTTTTCAAACAGCTACCTACTTAAAATTCTGGAATTATTTACACGTAAATTACGATCATTTCGACAAAGTTGAGTGTTTTATGAATTGACACTATAATTGCGCGGGAAGACCGATTAAGGCAGCAATAACTAAAATTAAAATGTTGCCGTATAAAAATATCAGCATGTTAAGCTGTCACCTGGCCTAACCACGATTACTTACAAGTCCCAGTCTACAATAGAGGATTTAAGCCCTAAGCTTTAAGAAATTGACCAATCACGGTCAAGTACGAGTAGAATACGCGATTGTGATTAGTCAATTTCTTAAGGCTTAGGGTTTAAATCTCTATTGTAGACTGGGACTCAAGCGATATTTTAAATTTCTCTTCGTTCTTTATACAAAGTCGTGAATCCCCCGCTTTATTTTCATGCGTACTACAATCGTGTGGAGGAATTTTGTAATTTTATAAAGCCAATTTTAAATTGCTCACGATCAAAAAATTGAAACTTAAAAATACCAATATCTTTTTCATTGGACTTCGTACCCCGAGTGTTTTAAGTATGAAAATGTTCTGCTACGCAGTCCGCAACTTATCCTGGCATTATTTTGTGCATAAAAACTAATTAAAAAATTTGTAAAAACTCTTCAAATGTGTCGGTAAAACAGATGACTTTAGGATTCCCTTATTCCAACAAAAAGGCACGTTGACAATCTCTGTAATTTGACTCTTTCGAGGAATTATCCATTTAAATTTTTTAAACGTCTTTTCCCGGCAATAAAATGCACACAAATCATTGAACCTGTTTACACAATGCAAATGAGATTTACGCGTCACGAAAGGGTTGAAATCTCAAGTCCGCCATCTCGAGGGGAGACATTTTTCTCAAGGTTCTCGAAATTTTCCGCACATCAGCTTGAAGACCCTTCGCGAGCAGCCGGCGCGCAACGGTACTCGGAGTCGCCCCGATTCCGATCAACCGAATTCAGATAAAAAAAAAAAGAGCAGCGTTGCTCGTAGAAATTCGAGCCACTATCCGCGAAACGCGACAACGAACGCGGGCTACCGTCCCGACTTTCCTCGATTAATCATGCATCACTCCCGCGGTCGTGAACCCCGTGGCGCTTTTGCCATTGCGGTAAACACAAAATTACACACGTACGCGCACACACAAACACACGCGCACACGTACGCGCGCGTGCGCTCGAAAAGCATCGGCGCGATCAGCCGCGAGATCGAAGCTGACCCAATTATCCGAGATTTTCAAATTCGCCGGGATGTTGTGGGACGTCGGTTGCCAATGGTGACGCGAAAAATGGGCGTGCACCCGGCGCCGATGGGAAACTAGGCGCAGGAAGGAGACCCGAGGAATGACACACCGGGGCGGCGTATTTTCTCACGTACGCGCGAATCTGAAGCCGGAGGCGGGGGGGCGGGGGGAGGGGAGAAGGGGGTCGGGCTGTATCGACACCCGCGGGACCGCTCGTACGTCGCCGGGACGCGTCGGGAGGACCCGAGGAGGAGGAGGAGGACTCGGGCGCTCGTCAGCCGATCAGAGCGCGTCGTCGCGCTCGACAAAGTCGCCGCGATGACCTCACTCGTCGTCCTTCGCGGGTTCTCGCCGAGCGGAAACGCGGCCTCGCCGATCCTGGCGAGTCGCGCGCGGCCAAACGGGCGCGTCTCGTTCCGGCCTCGCTGCCGTATACCTGCGGCTCGACTCGGCGCGGCGCGGCGCGACGCGGTAAAACGAGCGGCGAGCGGGAACGGGAACGGGAACGCGCGGCAGGGCGAGGAGCGGGCACACCCGCGAGACGCGAGATCGCATTGATCGCACCCGGGCGCACCTCGTCGCGATCGGAGTCGCGTGCGCGACGCAACGGCTTGGTCGCAGACTTACCGGTCCCGATGGGGCGTTCGGTGGCGCGGTCACGGTGCCGAGAACGTCGCTATCACCAGAGCATCGTCGGAAAAACTGCGGAAACCACCGACCCCGCGACACGTAACGCGCCGTACGGTACCGCGCTGTTGTGCGTGCGAACGTCTTACTTGTGTGCGTGCATGTGGGCGCCGCTACGCCTCGCGCCGCACACTCGGTTGACTCGGTATCCCTGGCCTCCTCTCACCGGTCTAGGAAGACTAGATAGAGAGGCACGTCGAGTGCGCCACGTCGGTAACGTTACCCTACCGCGTCCCGGAGGGTAACTCGTTACCGACGACCAGCTAATGTGCAGTTTCAAATCCTCCGTGGATAAAATTACCGATAATACTCCGCGTTAAAAATGTTCTGAATGTTAGAACTGTTTTACGCGTAAAATATGCGTGATAATTCATATCCACGTGTATCGAATGCAAATTATGTTTGACGTGTCGTGTAAGCGATGAACGATTCATGGATCATTCGTCAGAAATATCGGTTTATCTTCTGTTTGCAATTTTATTTTTAGTTACTGTTATTTAGTTTGGACACGATTTTTAGCGTGCCACGAAAAATTAACAGATCGGCGCAAACAATATTTCTATTTACTTATTATTTTTTCGTTATACTGAAGATGGTCCAATAAGAACCGAAACGTATAATTTGCTATTAAAATAAAGTAATTTTATCGGACATTACAACCTTGTTCAGGCTCTGAGCCCCTTCTATTATTCTTTGATTTTGTCATACGAGCCACTGTTATTTATAATATTTCTATGTTAGTATCAAGTATCTTTCATATCACTAAATATACATATAATTATTGGAGTGCACCTAATTTAACCTAGCCTAAAATTATTTATTTTTTAGGACTGTGAAAAAAAGTTTAAAAGATTAGTTAATTAATCAGTCAGTTAACTTATAATAATTTACGTTGCTTACATATTGTCTACGTGACAAAGGTTCGCGTAAAAGTAACGCAAATAATCCGTGTAATCCTGAAATTTATGGCACAATTTTCTGACCCGAATGAATATTGCGTCCGCCTCTCGCGACATTATCTTACAATTTCTGGTCTTTATTATAATTTAAGGATCTCTTCCACGCACTTGCATGCTTGTGAAAAATAAAACATAATTGACGTTCTAACTCAAATATCTTTCATGTAACTTTAAGATGGTAACGAATAAAATATACCTAGCAACTATGTTTACACAGTTTACATACAGAACATAAATTATTATGTTCTACACGTAACACTCGAATTCATTCTCATATTTAGGATATACGTGTATATATTTTTGACGCAGAGAATTATTCGTAACTATCCATAGAGATCTTGTAACCGCATTTATTTAAAGGTCTTTAATATGTTGAAAAGTAAAACAGAATCCATGCATACGAGATTCGACAAAAGAAAAAGCGGGATTCAATTAAAAATAAAGATCCGGCTATTGTGTCCGCGAATGAGGAGAAATATTCTTTTGTTTCTCGTTTATTGGGTGTGTTTTGAAACGAGAGAGCATACATACACCTCACATAGTAACTTTATACACAATTAGCTAATCAAAAACTTTTCTTCATAATCCTTGTACTTTCCTCTGAGCCTTAAAGGATCAACTTTATGTATTTTGACTATAAAAATAAAATAACAATAAATATTGATGTAGCTATAAATTTACTTAACTGAAGAACCTTTAGTACTATGTAATTTTGTCAATTCTAATATAGCTATATGTAATATGCATTGTGAATAAAGAGAGGCTTTGTTTACTGTTTAGATTGATTAAACGATTTGATATTGCTCGGGCTCTACTTCGTGAATATGACGCAGGAAAAATGTAACTTTGACTTGTTCCACATGCCGACATAGCTTCATGGCTAAACTCGTTCGCAGTTTCATATGCTGGGTAAGAGAGGGAAGATTCAGCAACAAGAACGCAAGACCATCAATTTCCTAATAAGAAAAGTATTATCAGCATGAGTTTTAAATTGCGATCGAAATTTTCATTAAGATACACGTATATACTCGCCTCTTCCTTAACGCGATACGCAAGATCTTTGCAGTCGTTTGTTTTTCTGAGATATCGGAACACATCGTCTACGCTCCAGTACAGTGGATTTGAATCCAGCTTTCGAGTCTTCGGTCGCCGTTGTGTCTTTTGCATCTTCACGTACTCGGCATCCGCCTCGGAACAATCGGATTCTATACTCGTGTCCCAATCTCTTTTAGTCCCTCTAGTGATCCCCGTGCCCTGACTGAACCTTGTGGAATGTTGCTTCGAAATCAAATTTGAGGGACTGGGCAGTTCTCGATCTTTAGCTTTCCTATCGTTGAACGAACTACCAGAATCCTCCGAAGCGTTGCTGGACGCTATTTCAGTTTTGAAGTCATCTGATTTGTCGGACTTCTCTAAGCCTTTCTGTATCATGATATCTATCTCTGAGAGCGGTTGCCTTCCGTCGAACGTATCTTCAACGTGATTCCCTGAAATATGCTTCGCCAGATCTAACGACATAAATGGCATCTCATCTTCCTGATCGTATTCTTCGTGAACCTCTTTATGCTTGTTTGCCCATCTGCCGCGTCGCCTCTTACGCCTTCTACCCCACGGTTTTGGTTTTTGCACCATGATACTTGTATATCCTTTCGGCTTTCCTCTTTTTCCAGTTCCAACTGATGCTGCTGAAAATTGAAAATGTCAATAGTGTGTGTACGCGTGCATTTTATACATTAATCGTGTATTACGAATAAGTTTTTTTAGTGTAATACATAATTCAAGAGATTCAGTTGCTTACTAAATTTCGTTTTTGATGATTTATAACACTCGTCCGGACATTCGGTTTCCGATATATGCAACGGACCAAATAAATTTGGGCACACCATTAACTTTTTACAAATACTTCTGCAAAAATCTGTTACCATGTCTCCCGACGTAACAATGGCCACGCTCGCACGATATGTGTTATTTTTGTGCTTTGCCTTCAAGACTTCTAAGTGGTAGCCAGGATCTGGTTTGGTATCGCATTGCAAAACCTTCAAAATTCTAGCACTCCTATACCCAACAGACACTATCATTGATAAAACTTCTCGCATGACCAGTATAACTGGTCCAGGTCCCACTGATTTTGGAAGAGTCGCTAATTTACCCTTTGATATCATGGGGCCTGTGAAGCACCGGTAATTAAAATAAATCTTTGGACACCATAGAGAAGAGCGTGGTTCAGATATCGGTATATCTAAAACATTCGTTTTCTTCTCATCCTTTGCAGACGTTTCTAGCTTTTTACAAATTTCTATGTAGTCGTGCGGAGGCTTTAATGGATAGTGATTAGACTCACACCATCCGACAGGGAATATTTGCAAGGAATGCATATCGACTATATGATCCGGTCGAAAATACTCATAGTTATCTAATTTTATCCACAATAGATTGTCAACGATTTTGTTAATCTGGGCAGCGCATATTACATGTTCGTGCTCGGGATCGACAGCCTCCAATCTCATGCCACATTCAAAGCCTGCTTCAATGGCACTCGCACGTTCACCAAATAGGTTTTCAGGCGCTGCGCTAGCATGGTATGCTTCCAAATATTCATTCCAATCAAAATTTCCCGTCTTTGAAGTCCAACCTTGTGGGTGGGTAATCCTGTAGTGATCAGATCGATATTTCAGCAGGAAAAATAATATAAACTCACAGAAATATGTATGAAAAAATACGGTATTTGTAAAAAATTAATATATATGCATATATTCCATATGATTATGTGGAACATCTTCAAGGAATTGTAATAAATAATTTTAAGGTCGACATTCCTTGTACCTATTTGATACTTACATAATATTATTCTTTTCCGCCCATCCAACTGGAAATATGTATGGTTGTTCCGCAGTGCACAGCCATGTATTATTTTCTGAGTTGTTCGAGACAACCGTATCGTTTGATTCGTTTATACATCCAGCGCGTACATCAATATTCACAAGAAAATATGTATCGTCAAATACTTTCGTTACGGTAGCAGGACAAATTTTCATCCGATCCGCTGGATTCAAAGCTTCCAGTTTCATTCCAACTTCAAAACTATGCTTTGAATGCTCTATGTTGTTATTAAACAACTCCTCTGCCAACTCACAATCTTTCGGTTTAGACTCTAGCAAATCCTTCCATTCTTCGTATGTGTGTAAATCGATTATTGAACTAGGTGGCTCCAGAAACCAAATGGAATTCGCTTTAGACGTAAACCCATACGAATGTAAACGCTCGGATGTACAGAACACCCAGAAGTCTTCGCGAGTGGAGTCCGGAGTGTCGTACTTTAATAGGAGACGTCCTCCAACGTTCTCCATAATCTTGAAAAAGAGTAACAGTTACATAACATCAATATTATAATTTTCTACTCAACAATAGAAATGTAATGTAACAAGCACCCAGTCAGCAAAATGCTAACAGATTGGCATCAGATTCATCAGAAATCCACACCAAAACCATAGCCATTTGTGTCCGCAATTGGCTTTCGTTTTGGCAACAGAGTCTGTAAAACATACGCTGTCAACAAATTGTCGGCAGAAAGCGAAAAGGTCCAGTTATGTGAGCAGATGTTGCATTTCTGCTGACACACTGGCAACATGTTGAACATATCAGTTCCTGCATGCAATCTGCAGTCTGTCTGCCTTCAAAATTTGCAGTGGGCATTTGACGAAATCTCTTCTGGCAGATTTGGCTATCTGGGCAAGTTAGATTACATCTACATTGTTGAGCGAGAAATTGTAATACTGATGTTACTCGGTGTTTAATTTCTATTCTTTTATTCAGGGATTTCTAGTTCTACAACTTGCTAATTCTGTTCTTACCGTGGCTACCCACAACTTGTACGGATGCAACACATCGCTTATCTCAATCTTCATACCCTGCTTTATCCTGTCCGCCATACTTAGGCCATCCTGTAAACAACGTCATGTTGTAAAGTACTGATAGTAACACCCAGTTGTAGAGACATTATCTTACCCCTGTCAACATCTCGGCCGGTAGTGTGCGTGCCGTAGTCAGAAATTCGTGCAGCTTGTCTACGCAGTCTGGTGATCTCTCTAGTATAACATCCGGCGGTTTTAATTTCTTATCGTTTTTCGCACTCCAGCCGAGCTCGTGGCCGGCTTCCTTCGTTAGATTGAACCAAAATTCTAAGGATCTGTCGTCACCGCCGAAGTAGCGCAGCCGCAGCAAGGGTCCGCAGGCCATGACGATGGAAGCCACCCAGTACGACAGTTCCCCCTTGTCGTCATTCTTTTGCACCGGCACCTCTAAGGACATGCCTATCTCAATGCTGTTCTGCAACGTCAACTCCACGTGAGGGAACATGATCTGCGGGACCTCCACGCTCTTTGTGGCATCGAGAAAGTCTTGCCAAACGAAGCCATATTCTAAAATATAAAATTTCACATGGTACAAATATTGTTCGATCTCAATTTCAATATGTGAACGCTAACAACAAATGCTATTTCACTTGAACCGACTCTCAAATGTAGTTGTGACAAAAACTTTATGCTATAATACATTTAATACATAAATAAATGTATTCCCTGCGAAAAAGAGACTCACTACATATTAAATGTAACAATGGAAATAGCAGAAATATTATAATATGATAAAATTATTTTTCCTTTAATTAAAAACTTTCGTCACTTTTATTCACTCACACTTATATTAATTACCCTTTTTTTTTATTAAGTTCGCATTGTATTAACGCGTACAAATTGTTATAAAAGGCAAAAATTTTAATTTACTAAATTAATAACTTTTTATCGCCGACATTTTTATCTGCTATTACTGACGCGCAAATCGCCATTTTCTGAATTGTTAACATAGGAACAGACAGAGAGAGGGGAACAGAAGTGCACTTGCAGAGAATCGAAAAACACGCGAATCTGCGCGAAAGCAACGCAACGCGTGCACTTTAGCAGTTACTCATCGCAACACGTGAATCTCTTCCCGTGCAGTGCACGCAACTCACTTCCCCAAAGTTTCATTTGAAAACGTGTTCAACTACCATGTTGCGTATACAATCCACCTTTATAAGTGAAGCGATAGCGCTCGAGTTGATCGTGCAACAAACAAACAAAAAAAACCCCCCGCCCCGCGCGCGATAACTCGGCAATCGCGCGCGACTACGGCACCCGTGGCAGCCAGGAGTTTCGCACGCGTGAAAACGGCGATTTCGTGCGTACGGGAAATTTAAAACGAGCGAGGTATAGTTAGGAAATTTTTTACCTCCATCCTGCGGCCTCTCCGGCGCTCGGCTCTCGTGCGTCTCCATATTTTATTTACACCGCCGGGCGCGCGAGCGAAATACACGGCGGGGGCATTTAATGGGTCTCGGGCGAGGGGCCGGCGATTTTGCCGTGCGAAATAAACCGTGGCGAGCCCTAAGAGTTAACACCTACGATTCACCGTGCGCAGACGAGTGAAGGGCAGTGATCCCAAATCGTAGGATTTTTCCACGCGCATGCTCAGCAGCGCAGCGCAGCGCCGTACGCGGCCGGCCGGGGGCCCCCGCGCCGAAACGCTCGAACCACGAGACCACGTGTCCTGCCCTCGGTCCGTAAAAAAAAGTCACCAGGCCCACTGTACACACGCCTCGAGTGAGAATCCTTGAATATAGACCTCGGAGGAACAAAAGATGCAGGCTCGCGCCCCTCACGCTTTTGCGGCACAGTCGCGTCGATTCTTCGCCGCCAACTTGGACGTTCTGCAAATAACGTTAATGTAATGCGATTGTTATTGATTTCGCGTAGTTGTAGCTCGTCACTTTCACCTCGTTCGAGGTTTCAATAATTTTTGCATCCCCGTTTCTATACCAAGGCAGATTAACTTTCATCTCGGTTCAACGTACTTTATATCCTTTTCTAGTTTTGAAAATCACGGATAAAGGTAAGAGGTAATTTAAACCGAGATGTCAATCTGCGTTGGCAGAAACGGGCATTAATATCGCGATAAGCGTTGTATTTATAATAATGAAAAGTTTTCGAAGGTAAGATGATCAGTAGCGATTAAAGTATAATTGCAGTTAACTTGTAGCGAATTCGGTACCTTGCGCTAGTGCACCACTAAGTTATTTTGATGCCATAAACAATACGTGTAAACTCACGAACGATACTCTCTAAAAGTCAATCAGTGCATTATCACTGCAAATTGTTATAATCGCAAATACACCACTACTTGTTTACAGTCAATTCTTATGCTCGAGGATCGTCTTAAATATTTTTCGAAAGACTTCTTAGCCAGTGAAATGATCTGTATGCATGAATGAAATGATCGTACAGTTCTAAATCGTACACTTGAGACTACGTTGTTTACACGCGCAAAATTTTACTGAAAACAATCTTACACATAAACTTTGACTGAATTGTATTCGATGAACGAACAGTTAATTATTAAAGTCAAACTTTTTTAATTTAAAATTATCTACCGTTTGATATTTAATAAATACTTAATTTAAAGAAATGCACGTTTTAATTCGTTTATTATTTTTAAATTTAAGTTAATAAGTTATTAGGAGCCAATGAACAATTTTCTTGAGTAAAGTAATATCTTTTGGATTGATATTTTTGTTATCAGTGTAACGATCATACAATCTAACAATGCATTTTCCAGTAAACAGATTTCACTCCAAGGGCAATAAATTCATGGTGGAATCACTAAATGATGCCTATTAATTTAACACGTGCCTTCTATCTTATCTTATGAACCTATCTCATAATAGGCGATTGTAACAATTTGCAGTGATAATGCACTGATTGACTTTTAGAGAGTATCATTCGTGAGTTTACACGGATATTGTTTATGGCATCAAAATAACAAATTCTATTCGTTTTCTGTCAATCATTACACTCCAAATAGCACAGGTGATCGTTGAATTAAAAAAGGATTTACTTTCTTGAATTCTTTATGAATTGGCGTAATTTAATCAAATCGAACTAAAAGAAATTTCTACAAAAGAATTCTTTTTGTATTAAAAAATCAACTTTATAGAATTGGTGACATAACAGTTTTTTAAGGCTGTTTTAACAGAAATGGGATGAAGAAAGAATCTTTTTGAATTCTCTGTACTATTTCAAATTATCATATACTCTACTATACTTTTGCTGGCATTCTGATAAAATTCTCGTAACAGATACTTTGCAAAATCTATTCTCGGATTTGGTTATCTGAGTAATAAAAAATAGCCTCGGGTTTGTCCAAAAATGCAAGTACCTCAATCTCTATTCAAATTGCGAATACAAATTCTTAGTCTCGCCACAATAATGAAATGAATTGTAAATACAGAGATTCCTATCAACTGAGTAATGTAATTACATAATATAAAAGTTAATAACATAAAGTATTATTATACAGGGTGAGAAAAAGTATGGAAAATTTAGGGGTTTCCATACCCTTTCCTCATTCTGTATATAAAAAAAATTGGAGTAACAGACACATGAAAAGGGAAGCCAAGATTAGGATCTGCAAGACCTACGTTCGACCGGTCACGACATACGAAAAAGACGAAAAGCCTAGTACGCACAACGGAGATGCAGACGGAGAGATCAGAGCTATAACAGGACACACGCTCGGAGACAGAGACACCCAACGCAATGATCAGGGGAACATGCGGGGTCAAGGACGTTATCCGCTGGATGAGGCAGATGAGGAGGGAATGTAATGATTACGTTTCCAGGATGAAAGAGGGAAGGACGGCGAGGATCGTGAGGGATGGGAAACCAAACTCAGGAAGACCCCCAGGAAGACCACCAAAACGATGGATGGACAGCTGGGCATTTGGGTAACAAGAGGCGGATTAATCGGAGAAATGGACTCAAGCCTACTTCAAGTGGAAGAACAAGTATTGTTAAAAAAGCTCGGTCTTATGTATAAATAATTTTAGAAAATAATATTAATATACTTTAATTAAGAAAGTCTGCTTATTAAATCTAAAGCTACCCAGCTAGCGAGCTGACGTTATTGACGATAAAACGACACTTCTGAGGACATTTCGATGCTAAAACGTGACAAATAACGTCAGCTCGCCTAGCAGTGCATTCCAACAACAACGTAATGTAACAAAGACACGATAAAAACCTTTACCAGGAATCCCGAGAATTGTCTTTGCGCAAGTTGGTCGAAAGATCGCTTTATTAACAAGTCATGCGATCGACCGCACGCTATACACGTGCACAAAAAAGAAACGGGGGGGAAATGCGCATGCGCCGGAAAATCTTGTAATACGGGATAACATAATTTCCGAAAGTGCACTGCACGTGCACGTAACTTGCTGCAATATATTTACCAACGAAGCGGTCGCACCTGACAAATACAGAACTCGGATTCCCGATATCTCACGCGCGTGTTACGAGTGATTTTCGGAGGAAAAAAAAAAGATATTGTCGCGCCGCGACGAAAGACACAAGTATACGAAAATGCAAATAAATCCAATCTACTCGAACGAACGTCGCAGGAATCGAAATCTACGGTGAGAGGAAAAGGAAAGATTCACCGCGCTGGCGAGTGCTAGTAAGGGCCCGGGCCCCGCTATCACGCCCCTGGCGCATGTAATAAAGACGTGCAAAATACAAAGCATTACGGTTCGTTCATTTTACTTGCACCTTCTGCACCTCTGGGCTCATCGTTCTCTCTCTCTCTCTCTCTCTCTCTCTCTCTCTCTCTCTCTCTTTCTCGCTCGCTCTCTTTTTCTTTGCCCAACACACATCCGAATAATAAACATCCATCTTGTTTTAAACGTAGAAAGTAATATGGAGTGCAAATGAAACAAACAGATCAATGCCTGTCGTAACTGACGAGACATATATACATTATGCTAAATAACATATATTATCGTAGCGGAAATCTACGTTAAACATATTGATGACGTAGGTGCTTACGTTATACGCTTTTGCACTTAAACAATTTCGCGTGTAATGATTTTTTGTGCGGACACGCGACTATCGCGAAAGCCCTGCCTCCCCACTTTAAATATAACCATTCCTTTTCAACCGTTTCGCTTTCCTTCGCTCCCTCGGATCACGTTATTTCGGCTATCGGCACGAGTAATCGATTGGAAAGGCGATGCTTATGTTACTCGGAGGCAGATCCCGTCGCACGGTCTCTCACTCCCTGCGAAAAAGGCGTCCAGCCCACGTGGATCTCTGCAGGGAGAGACCGTTCGAGAGCGCTCGGCTCTAAATAGACGCGTTATCGACACTTATATTCGACGGATTACGTACGTACACGTGTTGTCGCTCTCCCTTTTCAAACAATCGACACTGACGAGGTGGCCGTTAAAGAGGGTCAATTAAAAAAGCTGGCCCTCGACCAACCAGCGAGGACGAGTCGTAACGAGCGTCTACGGTGAACAAAAACGAGCGTAAACGCGAGCCGCGGGAGACACCGACGAGGTACTATTAAAGACGGGCTAGCCCCGGGTAAATTTTCATGATCAAGTTGGGCACGGGGATAATTGAAGAGTGCAGACATTATCGACCGTTTCGCCCGTTCGCTATGTAAATATATTCGAATGTTTGCGGGCACGAGGCTGAAAAATTTGCATTTATTCTTACGTAGGAGGCAATTCGTAAACGGGCATACATAATAAAATAACGTCATACGTGTCGCTGCGAAACTATTTTTTTCCCCCCCCTATGAATTCATTACGAATGACGTGCAGTTTAAACGAGAGTCGAATGTTAATAATTATGCATTCATAATTAAGTATATTGAATAAAATGTTAGCGAAAACACAGATTAAAGAATAAACAATAAATCGAAAATTAGCACATTAACTGATCGTCTAGATATTTTAATTCTAGCATTGCCAATAACTATCAGATAGCACAGGATTCGTTTTGAATTATCGAATTGTGAAATGACTGCCTTTTGCCAACCAATTTGTTTTAAAAAAAAACATTCTCGAGAGTTACAAAAGAATTCGTTCTTATGTCATCAATTCTGCGAGGTCTTTTTCGGGTGTAAAAGGAACTCATACCGGAAAGGAATTCTTTTATTTATTTTCAACCGATTAATTTATAAAGAATTTAAAAAGTGAATGTTTCTTAATTCATAACAATCACCTGTGGTATTTGGCTACTGTACAAAAAAACATGAAAAATATTGTAGCGGCAGATTTTTTGCAATTAAATTTCTTGTGCTTTTTGATGAATCTGACTATCTTTGAATTGTTACACCCGTATATGGTTTTAAAAATTCTTTATCTCGTAATACATTTTGTAAATTTCACAGTGAGATTTCACATTAAGATGTACGTCTAAGATATTTAAGCGTAAAATATAATTTATATAATATTTCTGATAGCTGACGCAATTTTTTTATATCCTTTTCCGTGTAAGCGAGATCTTTAAAAATTATCTTACACAAATGACTTTGTATTTGAAAGCTTGAAAATGTTGCTCTCTTTAAATATGCAAATCACTAATTAGAAAAATCAACTATCCTGCTAAAGATTTACAATTAATTTAAATATAAAATCCAAGTAGATTCCTAGGCAAGTCTTAGCTATTTATTCGAAATTTTGGAACAAATTTCGGAAATTATTTCTGTATGAAAATCGTATACAACTTCAAATAAAATTAATTTTTAATGAAAAAATTGCATTAATTTTTATAATTTATTTTGATAAAATTTGTAAACATATAGTTTACAAATATTTTGATAAAATTTGTAAAGATATAGTACACATTAATATAAGATTTTATTTTATTTCTCAAACAAATTACAAAAGTCATTGTGAAAATGGCTGAAGAATACAAATATGTATTTCAACAGAAAATAAAAGTGTCTAAAATGATGTTAATGAATTTTGCAAAATTACTGATTCAGCAAGCGTGATATCATAGATTCGGTTCAGAAGAAATCACATTATTGGAACCGCCAGATTGATATGAAAATGCAGAAAGCGATGGTGAAATAGTAGAATATGTAGTCGTGGGTGTAGGCGATCTTTGAGGAATCGAATCTTTGTATTTTCCCAATTCTGCTTCTATGAGAATCTCATTAATGTAATGTTTCGCCATTATACGCGAATAATTATCTAATTTTTTCAAAGTCAGCGCCACGTATTCGCCGTAAGTCTCATTTTCATCTCGTTGAGATTCTTTTTCTGCGACGGTAGCCTTTAAAATGTACATTTCACTTGGCTTGCTATCTTCATTGATCTTCTTCTTCTTCGGGCTACTTAATTCTGGAGAGTGAAATACTTTCAAATGCTTCTTTCGTAACGGGCTATTGCACGATCGTAAGCTCCTGTCTGATTCGTGTAATATAGCTTCTACTTTCGGGCGTGTCACTTCTATCTGATTAACACCTTCATGGTGCGTATGGTCGCTATTCTCTTCCTGTTGGCACGCTTCGGAAGTCTGAAAGAATTATAGAACATTATAATACCAAAAATTATTTGTAACTCCACTTAAGTAAGTCATATTACCATAACAATTCTTGATAACAATTCTTGCGCGAAAATTTTGCTTGTCTTGTGCATGCAAATTTGTATGAGTTTTGTCCGTAAGATGTGTTTAGTCTGTGCTTTTGCACGCAAGTGGCTAGCTCATGTATTAGCGTATAATTTTGGGCGCAAATATCTATCAACTCACGTACAAAAATAGCTCAACAACGCAAGCAAAATTCTATCCCGTTTTATATAAAAATTATATATTAAAATTATATACCGTTTTATATATACAATGATAAATAGCAAGATTTAAACGAACGCAATATCAGATCTTATCAGACTTCAACGCAAAAATTGACTTACACAATTGAATTGGGGGAAAATTACTTAAATTTACAAACGACAAATACACGTTCGGTTTACCTCACAAGTATTTCTCGCGCCTCTTGGTCTATAATGATCTCCCAAGAACATCATTGCACGATACGCGAACCATTTGGACAATACCTTCTTTTCGCTCCCCTTTGCAGAATCAATCACCTTGATTCTCTCTCTTCTATACGACGCCTAAAAAAGAAAAGACACGCGTTTATTGCCACTGATTACCCTCTAAAATTTTTGGAGCAAAAATGTCGCCACGGAGTGAAACATTTACTCCATTGGAGCAGAATAGGAGACGATTGTGTACAGCGATAATTCTACAAGCTGCAGTTACTTTTCATCGCAGTGTGTAACTTATAGGCACAATTTGTTTACGTATACCTGTAGCGAGAGCCACTTCTTCTTAACGTCCAGCACCGTCGTGCTGAATTTGTTAGCGAGGCTCTCCCACGCTTCGTTCTTTTTCCTGCTGATTTTGTAATACGGATCCGAGGAATCCCACAGAATCGGCAACCTCTCGATCTCATTGATAAATAACAAAGCTTTGTCGTTTGGCCACTCCATTGTTTCACTCCTAACAACCCCCTCCCACGCTCCTCACAATATATACATATGTGTGTCGTTCTTTAATATATTATCTCTCTTTTGTATTATACAATTTCAACGAGACAACGCGAGACTCGAGTCCTAGGACTCGAAAAAGCTGCATTAACCCGTTCGAATTGGTCGAGCACGAACGATCACGAACGAGTGCAGTTTTTCTGCCTTCCTGCCCCTGGAGCAAAGTACCATTGTTTACGGCGAGATTCGGTGTCTCGGATTGTTATTATTGTTGTTGTTTGTATCCCCGTTCCGTGAGGAACACGATATACCGGCGAGTCGCATCGAACTCGTGCGTCTATCAGAGCGATACCTCACCCTTCAAAGGTCCCTCTTGGCGCGAGGCGGCGGACTCGGGAATCGAATCTGTCCCTTCCACCTGACAGACGAATGCCTCGCCACTGAGCTATCCATGTCACCTCGCCGAGCGCTTTCCCTTTGATAAACATATCGACGAGAGACGGAACGTTCCCATTCGGGCTCGTTCGTACGTCGCTCGTCGAGAGTCAAGTGCGTTCGTAATTCTTCATTCGCGCTTGTTCGCGCTCGCCTCCGCTCGGCCCCGGACGTACCGACAGAGGCGGGACGCGCCGACCAGGGCCTAAATTCCGTACACGATTACCGACGACCATCGATACGTTAACGACGTTTGCGCAGCTTTTTCTACATGATAGAAAAGCTGCGCAAACGTCGTTAACGTATCGATGGTCGTCGGTAATCGTGTACGGAATTTAGGCCCAGGCACTTTCGCGGCCCAATTTTTTTTACCTTTTTAATTTTTTTTACCTAGAGTGAAGGGAGGTCCAGGTTCAAACCCTGGCTGAGGTAATGTTTTTCGCGATGAATTTTCTGTGTTGAAAACACACAGCCAGTCGTGGCCGATCAAATGCTTAATCGCGGTGAGGCGATATTCTTCGCAATACATTTAAAATACGACATATTTAGACACTGACACCCTGTCGCGGCTCTTGGTCCTTTATTCCTGCAAGTTTGTGTTCATTACATTTGAGCCATACGAATCACGAGACACGGTAGTGTCTCGCGCCAGGTATAAGCGTGGCTAGAACCGCGCGCGCGGGACCGACCGTGCAGTTTACGCGAGTACGCGAGTTGGCAGGCCCTCAGATCTTCGGATCTCAACAACGGTTGACCCGACGAACTTCTAAGTGCGCTCAATCGATAGCTTGGGCTCGATTTGCATAATAAAAGTGTTTTTAGTTTTTTCCTACGTGCCTCATGAATGGAGATATTGCAATGCAAAGTCCGAATTAATTACTTTAAACTTTAAGAAACGTCGTCGTCGTCCTGGTTTTTATTAATTATGTGGACGTAACACGCGTTTCTTACTTTCATTTAATTACTTGTTCAGGTAGGAGGGTAATAATGGGAATTCCTTTTTGAAGTTATTACTTTTAGGCCATTTTTGCCGCGGAGTCAAAAGCGAACGAGCGCGAACCAACTCGACTCGATGAACACGACGTGGAGTCAGCAACACGAGCGAGCCCAAATGTTCAAGAGATTTTGCTAGTGTAGCAAAAAAAAGGAATTTATTAAGCGAGGGACTCGGAATTATATTTCCCCACTTCTCTCGTTTCGTATGTTTAAATGTGGGAACGAATGAATCTATTAAGAAACACATTTTATGTTGAATGCTCGAAGGGTCTACCCAGACAAACTTGCATAGGTGCATTTGTCTGGATGGATCCTAAAAGTAGAAAGATACTTTATTATGCAGTTTTACCAATTTTTGTTATGCGATGAATATAAAAAACTATAGAAATATAATCACTAATATCTATTAAAAATTTTCTTATGAAGAAGACTGAGGATTATTGCCTCCCATATAGATATTTATGTATTAGAATACACTTTAATTCCACCTCAATCTTACTTGTAAGCCATAATACTCTAATTCCGAGATAGACCTGGTTTCACCAACGTCGCTTAACTTTAAGCTTAGCTCAATTCATTCTTTGTCTCTTTCTAACTGTTGACAGAGAAAAATTTCTGATTAAGTTTTCCGGGTGAATTATGGATACGTGCGATGAAATTTATCCGATAAAATTGCAGTTACCGATGAAATTTAATCGAAAAAGCAATTATATTTTTCACCGGATATACAATTTAATCGAATATATCCGCTTGTTGATATGTAATTGATTATACGATTAGACAGGCCAGGATATTTTTCTCGGTATTACTTTAGAAAGAGACAAACGTGAATCAAAATAAGATTAAGTTAAACGATGTTTGGTGAAACCGGGCCATAGCCTCGAAAACTGTACGAAGAAATTAAAATGCTCATCGTAGGTCCGTTCGTGATCGTTCGTTCTTGCTGGTCTAGATTCGTCTTAAGAAATCTTATAAGAATACATTTTTCGATATTTTACTTATTGTGGCAATAGTTCAATTATACAAAACACATGTACAATTGTATCAATCCGTTGTTATCACAAGCTATATACTTTTCAATTATTCAAGTACTGTTAAATGTTACTAATAAAGTATTATAGGACACTTTCGGTAGATTATTTCCTCTCACAATGTCCGTATTAACAAATATATTTTATTGGACTCAGATTGCATTCAAAAGAAAGCATTAAAATCTATAGGAAGTACAGCTAAAAATATAACAAGTCCAATTTTTTAAAATATAGCAAATCTAATTGCTCGTTCATACATTTGTATTTGTGTACGACGACATCCCGAAGATATTATAAAAACTTGGAAAGTAACACACATGTATATGAAAACTGGTACTGGCATAAACCTTCTTTTTTGCCGTTAAAATAAAAAAAAAGCTAGTATACACACAAGTTTAAAATACAGTTGTGCCTTATAAGATATGATATAATCTCAATTTTGACCATCCGTTAAATCCTCTCAAATGAAAGGAAAAAAATAAAAGAGGAAAAAGTTTGCATGACCTTATAGAAATTCAAAAAAGTACATCTCACTAGGCTGTGTTAAATTTGCGTTCTTTACGATCGAACAAGTTATGAGCATCACTAAATTATATAAATCGTAAGTCATCAATATCTCTTGTTATATTTACACCGTACATGTCATTCACATCCTTCCAATGGTCTCGCACGAGACTCTGGTCAGCGATATATTCCGTTCGTAATAAAAGAAACTTCAATCATATACGGTCAATTAACCAAATGTCACTGCAGCTGGCTTGGAGAACTATCTAACTTTATACAAACAACAGTTCCGATTGCGACTGCCCGTTGCACTCGCTCGCGACTGACAGCAGGGGATACAAGAAAGCCCAGATTACATGCCCAAGCGACTGAAGACATCCGGCTTCTTCACGGGCGACACCGTTGCCACTTTACTGAAAGTCACTTGTTTGGCAGTGGTCGTGCCCAGGCGTGCTTTGGCCGGTATCGAGATAAGTCGTTCCGAAGCTGCAAGAATAACAAGATCGAGAAAAACTCCTACACGGCCATTCCTATAGATCAACGAAACGCGTACGAACCTAATTTGCCAGATGAGACAGCAGGTTTGACGGCGACACCTTTGGCGCTCAGTTTAATATTACTCGGGGCTACCGCGGCCTTTTTCAGCTTCAGTATGCGGCTCGTGCTATTCAAGGTGATCTTCTTGCTGGCTTCGTGATCGGCGTGCATGGTGCCGGTGATCTTGGGCACGACTCTCTTCGTCGTTATGACCGACGTGCGTGTGCTGGGCAGCGTCCGGTTCTTCAGTATACCCGATAAACTGACGGTGCCAGAGCCATTCTTAAGTATCCCCGCGGTGGTCGCGTGGTCCTTCTTGTCGTCTATGTCGCCGAGACGCTTGAAAACGCTAGTCGATCTCTTGAACACGTCCTTCCCGACGGTGATGTTGAAAGTGGGCGTCGTGTCCGCTAGATTGGTCGTGCTCGTGACCGAGCTGTCGCCCAGTCTGTCAAACACCGTTCGTTTCTGTTCCGCGGGTTTCTTAAGTATCTGAGTTCTCACGGTCGTTGCCTTCGGGGCCGTGATAGTATATTCGACAGCACTGTCTTCGCTACCGTTTGTGACTACCTTTACTTTCTTTTCCAAGTTATTCCAATTGTCCTCGTCGTTGTCCTCGTACGCCTCCTCCGACACCAATTTCCTTTTGAGAGACCCCTGCTTCGGGCTTACGGCATTGGCGGTGACCGGGGGAGAAATTGGCTTCCTCACAGTCAAAATCTTCTTCGTCGTGGACACAGGCTTGACTATCTTCTTTACAGAATCTGCCTTGGATCCCATCAAGACCACCGTCTTGTTTCCAATTTCCTTGACTTTCTTCGCGACGGGTTTCGCGGGAGCCTTCGGAGCCGGGAGCACGTCCTCCGAATCGACCAAGAACCTCTCGCACGTCGTCTCCTCCACTACCTTCTTGGCGTATCTCAAAATAGCAATCATATCGCCCATTAGCGTGATGCCCATCTCCTTGAGACTAGGTTTGTCCAGGTCTGGCAACATATCCGGCTTGATACGATTGTTCGAGAACACCACCGCATGTTTGGTAGCCACGTCCAGAGGAAATCCAGCCCCTTTGAAGAACTTCACCCAATAAGCTACGAAAGAATCACGGCATACGATTATGTGCGCGTAGAAGACGTCTCCGGGCAGACAATTTACAAACGTATGAGGTGCGCTAGTTGCGCGTGCGAGTTTTACATTGTCGGGTAATTCGGAGCAAGTGGAGTATCGGGTATACATCGGGTTTATTTATTGTTTACGTATTTCTAGAATATTGTAAATTAACAGTCCTGAAGATTCGGGAGATCGTCGTACAAGTTGACGACTTACCTGACAAGGATGCAGCCATCTTAATAGTTGAAGTACGCGGCGAATTTATTCCTTTGTACTTCACGCAATAATCGAGCCGATCGAGAAGCCCGGACCTCTCAGGAACATATCTCCAACCGTTTTCGGTACATCCTTGCTAAGGGCCGCTAAAACTGATTTTCAAGTCTGCAATCGGCGCGAGCTATCGGCCGGACCGGAGACAGACAGTTCTACACGAGAGGCTCATTAACGGCCTCCAGTTGCCGCCGGTTCTAAATCGTTTCTGCCTCCGTTTCATATGACGCCGAGAGAAATTATTAATAAACACGAGAATTTCTCCGAGGCTCCACCGTGCCTATATATGTATACACGGTATGTATATACATATATATACGTACATATGTATACAAAAGCGAATTCACGTAAGCCGCGGACGACATGAACCAAGCGAAACATATGTAGGCAATTAGTAAATGTGGGGAATTTTGCGCGACTTGACAGATGCGATGCGACCGCCAATGGCGGTTCCCAAGATGGCGTCATCGTTCAGGCCATAGACATATAAAAGATAGACTGCTTATGAGGTAGTGGGGGATGTCCTCCTGAGAGAAAAGGACAACACCAATTTATTTGGGTATCTATAATCTTCTTCTAGTGTACGTGATCACGTGGGCATGATCACGTGATCGCCTTCAGATCACGTCCACTAAAGGAAGACAGATACCCAAATAAATTCATGTTGTCCTTTTTCCCTCAGGAGGATGCCCCCACCTAGGGTTCCACTGCCTCATAAGCAGTCTATCTTTTATATGTCTATGGTTCAGGCCGACTGGTATCGTGTACCGTGCGTTGGTATATGGGGTCTGTTCTTTATTGCTGCACTCCTGAACTATTAAGCCTGGTGCAGACTGCACGCAGCAAGCAGCAAGCGTCAAGCAGCGAGGATCCAACACTGCTGAATTTTGCGGAAGCGTCAGCAGTGGCGTAGAAAATATCTCTTCGTTGATTGGCTGCTGCTCGACGCTTGCTGCTTGCTGCGTGTAGTCTGTGGCAGGCTTTAGCCTAAGATAAGAGGTTCGTTCTTTTCAGTTAAACTGCCGCAGCTAGTTTAGATAAAAAGAACAGACCCGTAGCATTAAAAGTCCTACAATCATATGAATCTTAATTTGTGTTAACATTTAGTTATCTCTTGATGAGTGAAACTTGATCATTTATTATTATCCTGTTTCGTTAACGTATGCTCTTCTCGGCCGAGACGCCCGTGTTGCCCAACGACCTACGTATTGACGAGCGTCACTTCCGGAGAGGGCGTTCGGCCGGAACAGTCGCCGGCGGGGAGGGGGAAAAAAGGGGGTCCGTTCAACGAGACACCGAATCCGGTATCGGCCATTTTATCTGACCTGCCATTGTCGTCGTCGCGTAACATCGCGCAACGATTCATTCGCGCGCTCCTAATCACGAACGTTGCCCCCGAGCCGCTCGCATTTACGAGCGCGCACGTCGTCTGTACGTTGTAGCTCGATAGTCGGTAGTCCACGGTAACCGAGGAACCTGCCCGTAACTCACGTATCTCTCTCTTCTCTTGTCCCGCAAGCGGCGTGAAATTCTGTGGTCTGCTAATGCGTGGCGTTTCAGAGAGCTCCCCGACTCGCGCAATGGCGGAGGATTTGGATGTCGAGGCGATGCTGGAGGCGCCGTACAAGAAGGGGGTAAGCCTTGTTTCTCCGCCACTTTTATACCGCTCTGTTTCTTTACTACCTTTTCTCTCTCTCTCTCTCTCTCCCTCCCTCTCTCACTCTTTCTCTCTCTATTTGATCTCTGTATCTCGCCGCCGTTTCCGCCCTCGCTCACACTCGTGCGTCTCGTTGTACATACCGGATGGCAAGACGTGCCTTCCATTTATGCATTTTTTTTTTAATATACGCACTCGTCGCCCTGTGAGAGAAAGGGAACCCATCATTCCCGTCCGTCCCGCTGTTTCTCTCTCTATTTTTTTATTCACTCTCTCTCTGTGTGTGGTTTATGGATAGTTTTATGTACAAGTATATATGTATCTATATATATATATATATGTAGAACAAAGTACGCCCTTGTCTCTCATGTACCAACTATTGATCAACACCTCCGTTTTCTGTACTTATAGATGGTACGTAACATGTACCCTCGCGCTCATAGGATGTGCGCCAGCGAGTTCCTTGCACTTGAAAGACGACGAGGTATTAAGATACAGCAATCATCTCTAACATCATTTTCTACTTCTCTCTCTCTCTCTTTCTCTGTCCCTCCCCCTTTGTCTCTCTCTCTCTCTCTCTCTGTCTCTCCTTTTCTTCTAGTCTCTTTCTCTGTTCCTTCGTTTTTTATATTTAAAAATTTTTTTTCTTGCAAAGGTGTCAGGTTTCGTAAGATTAAAATGGAGATTACACGCGTCACGTCATGGCGGCACACGCTCGAATGCAGGCCGCTCTCCGACAGTGATAAACGATGATAACTTGTGGTAATCCATGGGAAGCCTCGTGCTGTGTTTGTACACGTGGTAACGACATCGATGTACCGTTAGGGTAACGTTTCGCTTGTCGCGCGACAAAGTTTTCGATCGTGTCGCTCGGCTGCGAAACGGAAGCTTCCCGGAAACTCGACGACTCTTCTCCTGCGACCAGTCGGCACGCTCGATGAGTTTGTCGTACGACAAATGAAATAGTGCCGTAAGGTTGGTATTACATTTGTCGTACGACAAAGTTTTTAAGCGTATTGATTGGCTGAAGGATAGTAAAATTCTCGAGTATCTAGAAACTTTCTATTCAGCGGCCAATCGACACGCTTGAAAAATTTGTCGTACGACAAATGTAATAGTACCCTAAGGCTGATGTAACGTTTGTCATGCGACCAATTTTTTAAGTGCGTTGATTGACTGCAGGACAGTGAAGTACTCGGGTATCTAGAGGTTTTCTATTCAGCGGCCAGTCAACACGCTTGAAAAATTTGTCGCACGACAAATGTGATATTGGCCTTGGGCTGATGGCAGAGAACGATCTGTAAACGCTTAAGACCCGGTTTCACCAACGTTGCTTAACTTTAAGCTTAACTTGATTCGTTCTTCGTCTCTTTCCGACTGTTACTTTAGAAAAAGACAAACCTGAATTAAACTAGGATTAAAGTTGCGCGACTTATAGTGAAACTAGGCCTAAGTCTGCTTATGCCCGTTTTCACCAATGTCGTTTAACTTTGATATTAATTTAATTCAACCTTTCTCTTTTGAAGGTGATTAGATCGACGAAAGATGATGTAAACTAAGATCAAAGTTAAACGACGTTGATGAAAACCGGGGTTAGTCGTAAGGCAAGGCAGTGATTCAAGACCCAAGTTTTTCTCTACCTTGCCTTACGTCTACGACTTAAGTGTTCACGGATAGTTCTCTGCCACGAGCCTTAAAGCCCGTCTACAATGCTCTTTGCGTCTAGAAACATTCCATTCTGTAGCCAATAAATACAGAAGTATAACAAGATGATCCCAAATAAGGATCGAAACGTTCAAGATTAAATACAATTATCGACTACAATGAAGTGTTGATTTCTGCGCACCACCTACAGCGCTTGGTTCTCAAGTAGCCCGTTACCTGCCTTCTTTTACAAGAGTATAATTAATAAAATTCATAAGGCTCTAATGTGAAAACACAAATACGAAGTAATAAAGGAGCGAGAGCCAAGACAGGATGTTAGTGTCTAAATAATTTAAATTGAATAGGTCCATTGCGAAAAGTAATACTTCAGCCAGGGATTGAACTTGGACCTTCCTCTTACTAGGCGAGCGTCTTACCAAAAGTACACTTAAAAAATTGGCGCGAGTTGACAAATCGATACATTGTGAACAAATTTTTTACACGTATTCTTTTGCTTGTACAAAATGTCTCTAATCGCAAAGAGCGCATTGTGGATTAATCTTTAGAGGTCTTTGCGCCAAAGTCGAGTGAATGTGCGTGAGCGTGTCCGGGTGCAAGAACTTGCGACTGACAATGAGAGAACTTGCTGAAGCGTAATGTACTTCGGGGAATCCCCTCTGTCACTTTCGTGGGTTTACAACGAGTCTACCGTCTCGAGCGCATTAGGGATTCACGAGTTCGTGGAGTTTGTCAACTCTTGAGCGCGGACCTTGCGACTCAAAAACAAGTACACGCGTACGGAAGTCGATTAAATGCCCGCATGGATAAGTGAAATTCTTGCACTTTTTTTTTTCCGCACAACGTAATCCTCGCTCGAGTAACGGGTAGCGTTATTTTGCCGAGATAAAGTGTATCTTATCTGTAGATATGAGAAGAATACTTGACATTTAACAATATTCTGATATACATATATCCTTTTATCTGGAAATTAATTTTACAAAACACTCGTTTTCACTGTCCTTAAATAATCCAAGTACATCTTTGTTTCTTACTGCTGTAATCATATCTTATTTTTATATAATTATCTTACGTAATAACTGTACGTCTAATTAGTTTAATATTAATACATTACCATACATGAACAGAGCTTGTCGATTGAACTTTATCGCGGTTTATAAGTTGAAAATTGTTTATAGTGTCATTTTCGTTTGTCAACTCACTGAATTATGTTATACTTCTCTCTATGTATCGTAAGGTAATTGATTCTCTTTGGTTTTTATTAAAAATGTCATGTCCAAAGTGCTGTAGTCGTCAGATGTTTTTCCAGGGAGAACGTTTAAAACGTCTTAAAAACAAAGGTTCATGAACGAGCTCATTTTACAAAATATCTAAACCCCGCCCACTGTTTTGTGTACAACTTGTAATGATAGCAATTTGCCTTCTAGGTAGTGGCACCGATCAGGTATCGCAACACTTAATCGCAGTGCGACAGAAGACACGTCAGGCTTACCGAAATTCTTACCTTGCTTCTAGCGCTTACTATTATTCTCTGTTAAAAACTTGGACGTTCCGTAATTGTTTACAAAATGCCTATCCACCTTATCGACCTGTTCTCAGAGTAGTTTGAGCGTTTGAGGCAAACGACGTTGTGAGTTACGTGCCTGCGTGCAGTGGCGTCCGCAGGATTCTTCCCAAGGAGCGGGTATGATTCAAACTTCCAAAATTAAGATACTTACGAATTCAACATTTTTATACCTTTTGATATAATAAATTTCTTTATCGAAGGAACAGCAAATGTTTCAGTTTTTGCTGGTTCCAGGAGGAAGGGACAAATGCCTGCCTCTTGCTCTTTCCCGCAGACACCACTGCCTGTTGAGAGCGCCAACTCTTTGGAGTGCAATTATTCAAAGAACCACACGCAGACAATTTTCTCTTAATATTTATCCTGAAAATCAATGTAATCGTGGGACAACACGGCATTTCGAAGAATTTTATGAGGGATGTTTGAAATGTTACCATACATTTTACTAGTAATTATACTTGGTACACATTTTACTTAGTAAATTTATTCTTAGCCAATAATATGATCTGTATAGCATCCATACGGATCATTTGTTGGCTACTCTTTGAACGTGTATTTTTAAGACAGTTAAATATAAAAATGGACTATAAACAGGCCTTTAATGTGCACTCGGTGCGCACTAGTGCAGGCAATCAAATTCGCTATTAGTAAAATGTATACTAACAGGGTGTCCAGTGGTCAGGGAAGTCTGGAAAACCGGGAATTGTCAGGGAATTTTAGAAATCTGGAAAAGTCGGGAAATTTTACGATTTATCTGGATTTTTTTTACATCGTTTCACATTTTTTTCAGAATAATTTAAAGATCTTAGAAAATAAACTTTTCTTTGGCTCTCAGTACATTAATTTTCTGTTTTGCTAAACATCAATTTATTTATAAGCGTGGTCGGTAATTTATATTTTCATCGTCGTGTTATCTTATTTCAATGTGTTCAACTGAGACAAAACTATAAAAAGAGATGAATTCACAATGCATTACACATAGATGGAATAATTGCTTTAATTTAAATTTTTACCTCTTTAAATTCCGGACTTTTCTTCCCCGAGAAAAATATTTCAAGGACTTGGTCATTTAACATTTACTTGATTTACCGTACAGATGTACGCAAATTATGCATCTTGAAAAAAGTTACACTGAACGGCCAGGGAAAAATTAATTCCGGCACCTGGAAAACCTGAAAAAGTCTGAGAATTTACGAATTTTTTTCATTGAGTTTGCTGGACACCCTGCTGAGTAAAATTCAATGCCATGCCATGTTGTCCCACGATTACATGATTCTCAAGGTAAGTTTTAAAAGAAAATTCCCTCCGTGCGTAAATAATGAACATTCAAGCGCGCAGTAATATTATAATCTCTAACAACGTACTGCAGATGTAAAGACATTGTTACATCGTACATCCATACGTAACGTTTTTTCCCCTTTAAAATGCTTTGTCTGAGAAACTGGATAGGAACTTTGTAAGCATCCGGCGTTGCATCTCGAGTTTGCAACCGCGTCAGAGTACAGTAAACTGGCCAGCAAACTGAAACAAGCCATTTACGTTAATTCGAGAAAATGTTTCAGAAGCTCGCTCTTGTTCCTCGTCAGAATACCTCGTCCGTCGTGTCCCTGAATAAAGTTTTACGAATTTAACGAGCGAATTGATTCGAGTTGTAAAGAAAAGAAACGTTGCTCGCGCGTTGTCGTAGAACGTGCGCGTTACGGCGAGAACGAAAGAAACATTTTCTGGATCGGGATTCTCCGCGCGAGTCGCCGCAGACTCTCGGTTCACGGGCTCGACCTCTTCCCCGTGTCGGAAGAGTTGGGGGAGAGAACAGTAGTCTAAAAACGATTAACGAGAGACACGCTCCCTAATCGGCATACGCGCGCTGGCTAATCGTAGGCTTTTAGCGATTAGGGCTGCTCGCCCGCGTCTCGCGCGTTCGCATCCCCCGTTTGAAAAATCGTGCTGTCTTTGATGAGGGCTCTCTTTTGCAGAAGAAAAAGGATGTGTGGTTGGCCATTGGTAGTTGTAAACACCAAGGCATGCTCAACCCAAGATTGCAATGCTTTCCTAATACCCGATAAAGCGATTGGTAAGTTGGAGCCGGGTGCATGCGACCGTGTCGCATCGCTACGCTCGCCCCGTCTTTCTCTCTCTCTTTCTCTCTCTTTCTCTGTCTCACACACATGCTCTCTCTCACGCTCGCTCTCTCTTCTCTTGTACCTTCCCCTCCCTCAGCGCTCTCGGAGAGTTCCATAAAGTCCTGGAAATGATAATGAACAGAAAAGATGAGAAAGAGCACGAGAACTGACGCCGACGTCTGTCTCTGTCATCCAGCATCCAAAAACAGCAAAAAAAAAAGCGTTGCTTTTCCGCAGCAAGGGAAGGTTGCTACCGTAGCTACTGACAGGCGATACGAAAAAGAATTTAAATAAAGCCAAAAAAAGAACAGATTCTCTCGTTCGTAGTTTCTCGTTGAATTTGACGCTTGACAATAAGACAAAAAGACGTAAAGAGATATATACGTATATATAATGTTATTGTTATATTTATTACGTATTTATAGCGAAAAGACTGTCGTTATGAAATTTACTAACGTTCTACGATTTGCTTTTTGTCCCCTTGTTCGCGCGTCCCCGCCACATCGGCTGGCTGGCATGGCATTCAACTGTTTGCTGTTCGTAGGAGCAGGACTCCTCTTCCAAAGACAAGTCCTCCAAGGAGAATGGGTCTAGTCGCAAATCGTCTGGGTGAGTACAATCTTCCCTTTTCGCCCCCCTTTTTTTTTTACCATACGATAACAGTTTAAGTGGAGACTGTAGATCAGGATTATAAGACTTGATTGCACGACCCTTGTATTTAACTTTGACGCTAACAAAGCGAGACTTAGGTGACCCTACGTCACACATTGAAGCTTATTGCCATAGAATTTGGAGGTCTTGTTGAGACGCATCGACTCGCCATCGTCTTACTTTCGTTTTGTTCCGAGAGTGTTTCACTTGGGTCACTCTCGAGAGATTTTTTTACGCGTATCGGCGTTGAATACGACGCGATGAAGGGCCAATGATAATGGAATAATATCGATTAAAGAGTTTCTAATTTATTCGAATTTCGAAAGCGCAGTTAAAGTCGAAAACAGTCGCGAGAGTATCATCGGACCGCGTATTGCGAGAAGTATTACCACGTGTCTCGGTGGTCGAATCGAGACGCCTCGTCACGGTACGAGGGTCAGGGTGTCCAGTGGTCAGGGAAGTCTGGAAAACCGGGAATTGGCAGGGAATTTTAGAAATCTGGAAATGTCAGGGAAAAGTCAGGAAATTTTACGATTTATCTGATTTTTTTTACATCGTTTCACATTTTTTCTGAACAATTTAGAGATTTTAGAAAGTAAACTTTTCTTTGGCTCTCGGTGCATTAATTTTCTGTTTTGCTAAACATCAATTTATAAGCGTGGTCGGTAATTTATATTTTCATCGTCGTGTTATCTTATTTCAATTCAATGTGTTCAACTGAGATAAAACTGTAAAAAAAGATGAATTACTAAACAGTACAAGTAAGTTACTATCTAGTAAGTTGCAAACAAAATGCAGTTAAGCAAAACGAAAGCATCATATATGATTGCGTACGGTATCACAAATGATTTGAATGGTTTGTAACGATATGTTCGTTTCTATTACACATTGTATTATATAATACATAGATGGTATAATTACTTTAATTTAAAGTTTTACCTTTTTAAATTCCGGACTTGTGTTTCCCGAGAAAAATATTTCAGGGACTTCGTCATTTAACATTTACTTGATTTACCATACAGATGTACGTAAATTATGCATCTCGAAAAAAGTTACACCAAACGGTCAGGGAAAAATTAATTCCGGCTCCTGGAGAATCTGAAAAAGTCAGGGAATTTTTTTCATTCAGTTTGCTGGACACCCTGGAGGGTGGTCCGGATTCAAATACTGGGTCGAGGTAATGATTTTTGCAACAAGCTTTTCTAGTTAAAATCATAGCCAGTCGAGTAATATTCTGTATATCCTGTTATTCGAATTTGTCTGAACGTGGAATACGAAAAAAATTCGGGCTGCGTAAAGTCATTTTATTCAAACCGTGAAATTCATAAGGCTCTGACGTGTGAGCACAATTCGAAGAATTAAAGGATATAAGAGCCAAGACAGGATGTTGGTGTCCAAATGCTTTTAACTTTTCAATTTATTGCGAGAAATTTGGAGGTTCAGGTTGAAACCCTGGCTAAGGTAAATTTTTCGCAAGAAAATTTCGAAATTAACATCATTTAGACACTAACGTCCTGTCTTGGTTCTCATATCCTGTATTCCTTCGAATTGTCATTTTATTCAGTTTTCTCGTGCCTGCCTTATCGCGAAACAATCCCTCGCGGTTGCGCAGGTCGCCAAAATTGTCGAGGAGTCGGTCGTTATATGTCGACTGTTGTACTCGAGTATTACGTTAGCATGTCGTTAATCCCCCCGATGTACGCCGTCGATTTTTAACTTGTTAGAGTAATAAAAAGAAAAGGCTATATTACTGTGTCATTTCCCGCAACGCCTTGTGATATATCTTTGCGCCATAATTGAAGCAGCATTAGTCACTCGCCTAATAGACCCATCTGAAGTTTTATTCTCTTTGTTATAGACCCCATACAATTAGTAAATGCCGGTTAATTTCATAATTCCAAAGGTTAAACCCGATGATGGTAAGTATATAGGAAGATAATCTGTACTACAGATTCTCCTTTCGAAATCGAAATCGTACTTCCTTACGTAGCTCTGTACAAAAAGATGAGATCAAATTATCAAATTGCGTTGTGCCTGCCTTGACGACACCGAGTCTTAGGAAACTCGGTGCTAAAGAATATACCAAAAGAATTCGGTAACGCAGCTTTCCTTTTACGGCAGAATCAACAATATCGTGGAACTTGAAGATGCAATTTTCCAGCATCTCGGTATACTCATATCATTTTAGCATCATTCATTTCAATTACTTGCAGAAACGATGTACTTCAATTCGATATATTCCATGTTAACAGTGTAATTTTATAACAATTGTAATAACTATATAAAAATCGATGCACAGATGCGAAAAGAAATCATTCAAAGATTAGCCGTTACTTTACGGTAGGGACTTCTCTCCAACAGAATCGTTCAAGCCAAACGCTTTTCGTGGTAATGTTACACCTTTATTTTTTCTTACTTTTTAAAATGGCTTTTTTTATCAGTATACCTTGGCTTCAAAAATGACAACCGTTCCTCTTAATTTGACATAAGTACGATACACATGTGTAAGAGTATAATCCGAAATAACAATTTCGTACACGTGGGTACCTAGAATATCCGTCATTTAAAGGAACATTACTCAATTCGCTTCACTTCGAGCGGATCATTTTAATTGAAGTATTTTTCTTTCGTAGGAAGAGCAAACATCGCTCGCGTTCTCGTTCACGATCCCGGGATCGCGATCGCCGGGACAAAGATCGGCGGGATCGCGACAGAGACAGGGACCGGGACCGCGATCGCGGCGGCGAGAGGGATCGCGATCGCGGCGACCGCGAACGTCGGCGCAGGTCACGGTCGCGCGACAGACGAGATCGGGAAAGGGATCGGGATAGCGATCGGGACAGGGATAGGCGGGACAGAGATCGGGACAGGGACAGAAGGAGAAAGAGATCGCTAACACCGCTGACCCTTCCTAGAGCTCGACCGCCGTTCGGCAAGGGCCACAGTCCGCTTGGAATGTAAGTGCAACATATCTCTTTACAGGACTTTTGTGCTAATAAAATCCGAGTGTTTTTACATTAATTAAAGAGTGCTACCGTTGTGTCGAAATATTTCATTTTATAAAAGTATTCTTTTTCATATAAAAACGTGTTTAATTTTACCACAGTGGTAAAATCTTTGATAATAGAGTTTCTATTTGCTTCAGGTCCTTTCCTAGCTATTTATCAAAAACATTGACAAAGAACAAGGAAAGTCGCAGTGTCACAGTGTCACAGTTCAAAAATTTTTATTTTTCTGTTATAGAAGATTAATAAATAATGATGTCCCCTAAAAACATAAGAATCGACACAACATTCTTTTTTTCTCTATCTGATTGCGTATCAGACTTTTAAAGCAAGCACTATGGATTTATGCGAATCTTAGATTTGTTTTGTGTAAAGAATGTATATAGCAAAATTATTATAAGTATAAAAGTAAACTTCGATTATAGCATAATTCTAAAATGTCAAAAGCAAAAATTAAATTTGAATCAAAGAAGGATGTTGACAATAAATTATATAAATTTGTTAAAGTTTACACAATTGCTTAGGATAAAGAGTACAAGACACTTAGATAAAAATCTTTCTATATTCACGTACTTCTCAAAATGCATAATTGACTAGACCCAGTCATGGAATTGCAATCTGTGATTTTGGGGGATATGTTTGTGCTAGATCAATATGAATATTAATTTTCTTTCGTTACTATTACATTTAGTAACAGAAATTAATGTGCAACAATATCAAACTAATTAAAATCAGCTTTTCCAATTTTCAAGTTACTGTTTCCTTTTTTAATATTTAATGAAAATGTATCTTCAGAAACGACGAATTGACACCAGAGGAACGAGATGCCCGGACTGTCTTTTGTATGCAGTTAAGCCAGCGAATTCGTGCGCGCGATTTGGAAGAATTCTTCTCAAGCGTCGGCAAGGTGCAGGATGTCAGACTTATTACATGCAACAAAACTCGAAGATTCAAAGGCATTGCCTATGTTGAGTTTAAAGACCCAGAGAGTGTGACACTTGTGAGTATATCAGAGATAACAATTAATTGGTATTTTTATGAGATGCTTCCCGAGCGTTTTTCTCATTTAGAGAAATCCTTTACGTGCTGAAGACATTTCCTTCATTTTCACAATACTTTGTAGGCTCTTGGTTTATCGGGTCAAAAGCTTCTTGGAGTGCCTATCGTAGTACAACATACACAGGCTGAGAAGAATCGCATGGGTAATTCGATGCCGAATCTAATGCCTAAGGGACAAACAGGACCTATGCGACTATACGTAGGATCTCTGCACTTTAACATAACGGAAGATATGCTTCGCGGGATCTTTGAGCCGTTTGGAAAGATTGATAACATACAGTTGATTATGGATCCTGAAACGGGACGCAGCAAGGGTTACGGTTTCCTGACTGTAAGCTCTTATTGCATTATTCGTACCCAAACAACACGTATGTCTGAAAGACATCTTTTAGACATGCGTGCTGTATGGAAATGTTTCTCGCTAAATATGTGTCAAGATATTATTTCTCCATACAATTGGAATTAATATTCTTCATTCATAATTCATAATTATTGATATCGTGTACATATTTTGTTATATTTACGTGAAACTCAAGATCTTCATTAATTTTTTCAGTTCAGAAATGCAGACGACGCGAAGAAAGCGTTGGAGCAACTGAATGGATTCGAACTCGCTGGTAGACCTATGAAAGTTGGAAACGTAACGGAACGAACTGACCTGATTCAAGGACCTTCCTTACTCGATACCGATGAGCTAGATCGTAGTGGAATTGATCTCGGGGCGACTGGAAGGTACGTAAAGAAAATAATAGCAAAGATCCACAAAAAAAAAGAAACGGAATAAATGTACGAACTAACGTCCCCTCGTTAACAGCTTCGTTAAAAAATCTATACGATGTTATTTGTGCAGGTTACAATTAATGTTCAAATTGGCGGAGGGTACCGGCCTGGAAATTCCTCCTGCTGCAGCGAACGCTTTAAATATGGCACCAGTGATGGCGCAGCCGCAACCACCACCTCAGGCTGCGCCTCCTATTGCGACACAGTGCTTCATGTTATCGAACATGTTTGATCCGCAAAAGTAAGTCACGTTTTTCTTTGTGTCGAATAAGCACTTTATGCGTTGCATATTTGTAGACCTAGTGTTACGTATGCCGTACTTTCACTAGGGGGAATATATATGCTAGATAAAAATGTTATCATTGATTCGTAGTACAAATGCGAGCAGTCGCATGCAAAACTAATGATAACATGACATGCTTATAGTAAGAACAAATCTTTTAAAGCAAGTTAATTATTGTATATCAATCTTAAACTTGCGAATAAGGTATTGCTCGCAGCTACTGCGTTTCTATCGAGATCAATTAGAAATTGATAATTTGTATCGTCATTGTTTCCAGCGAGACGAATCCTAATTGGGCAAAAGAGATCCGCGACGATGTGATCGAAGAATGTAACAAGCACGGCGGCGTTCTGCACGTATACGTGGACCAAGCATCACCGCAGGGCAATGTTTACGTCAAGTGCCCGTCGATCGCGACCGCGGTGGCGGCGGTGAACTCGTTGCACGGTCGATGGTTCGCTGGCCGAGTCATAACCGCAGCCTACGTGCCGGTGGTGAATTATCACTCGTTATTCCCCGACGCGATGACTGCGTTGCAACTGTTGGTACCAAGTGCGCCGCGAAGAGGAATGTGATGATCTTAAATGATCGAGCGAGCGAGCGAGCAAACAAGCGAGCAACAATCGTCGTCGGCTGATGTGTAAATTCTTGCGTAGTATTGCGTTCTCTCTCTATCTCACATACTCTTGTTGCTGTCCGGTGAAATCGCATTTTTTATTTCTTGATAAGACGGGGAAAGGAGGCGCACCTAAGCAACAGGTTTCAACGATACGTTGTCACTTGTGTCACGTTGCATAAATTCATTGTAGCAGTCTAAACGTGCGATAAGTTCGATTTGTTTCAAGGCACAGCCATTATTTACGTGATAGCAATCAAAATTTGCGACAGTTGAAGGTTGTGACAGTCGAGTTTGACATTTTGCATCTGACTACATGCGAATTAAAGGATCTATGGACTCCAAAATATATGATTTTTATGCCACGTTGTGTATATATATTTATATTATTTCATAATTTTTTTATTTAGTTTTCCCTTGTAATATGAAGCAATATAATATAAAGCAAATATTGATTGTTCTGATTTTTTTGGCGATACTACAATGTATTACAAGTATGAAATTGATGTCCGTAAAGGCAATATGAGTTTGAAATCAAATCTTTTTCTTTGCCAAAAAAAAACCCAAATGAAAATATTCGTATCGCGTAAAATAACTAAAAGTCATAAGGATGTCAAGTTAGAATCGAAGTATTAACAGTTAAGAAAATAATTCGTGTAACTTTGATTTGACAATTTTCTTCTTTTCCTAATTACAGACTTAAATGTTAGCGCGATGCGGATTTTTCACCTTATGTATCAATGTATTATGTTCCACAGTTGAAGTAACATGTTTCAAGTCGATCGTTCATAGCAGTTACGTTGAATAAAGAAGAGAAAGGCCTTAATCCTTTCATTCTAGTTCACGTATTAAGTTTGTAAAATACGAGAAATATCTTAATTAAAAGAATAAAAAATCTTGTCAATTTTGTATCGCCTAATTAATCAATTCTATACAATTCCTGTATTATTTTTTTTAGCTTGTGTCCTTCCCGACTTATATCCACGCAATTGTGATAATATTAAGTAGAAAGAGAAAATCTAATTTGAATCTTTTTCTATTCTCGTCTTAGCTAAGATTATAAAAAGTGAATATTTTCTTCAGTTATGTGTTATTACACGTTTGTATTTGGGGAGGAAAGGATTAAGGTGTGATGGTTACAACAGGTCTTAGTGGCGAGAATTACTTTAGATACACATTAGATTTGTTACATTTATACAGAAGTGGAAGCAAAGTGTGATAGAAAAAATAGAGGTCTGCAGGTACTAGAAACTTTTCACTCGAATGGTTATTTCTCACGATCAAGTACTCTTCTACAATTTAGAATATTACATTAGAATAAGATGTGATTTTAATAAACAATACAATTGTGTTATGTGATCAAGATATATATAAAGAAATATAATCCTTACTATAAAGTTTTACTCTCTTCAACCAATAACATACAATTTTTAGTATCGACATCGGTTATTGTACCGAATAATGGACCAATTGAAGTGGATTACTTGATGTCGCTTTTGAAGCCGGAAATAAATCTCGTTAAAGTGCTCCTATATTAAACAGATGAGAAAAAAACAGCTATTGAATTAGTATCGAGTAGAACGATTCATTAAAGAACAAAGCAATTACTAAGATTGCTATGTAACAAACAGCAATCTTTCTCATTTGCGTATAACGCTTTTCTTTTTCTGATTGATAAATAGCTGTGTTTAAATCTAGGGCTCTACAAAGGATATCAAAATTAAAATTTTTAAGATATCGAAACAAGACTGACTATTTAATTCGCAAAATAGAGCTGTAGAAATTTTACTTATGATTAAATTTACTCATTTCATCTGTGTGACATGATTGGTCATTGAATAATTTATAATTCTCGATCAGATTTTCAATTAGAGAAAGACTTACATGTCCAGATTTTGCAATCATCTATTTGTGGAATACCAACATCATTAAATATATACGAAGTGTTTCATGTAAAGCAATATAATCATGTAATAACTTTTACAAATCTACGATAGAAAAGAGCATAAATGAGACAAAAAGAAAATTAATCGAATAAGAACCGAGAACACCAATATAAAAAGGGTATATGTTTTAATTATCGAATATTCATGGAAGCAAAATAATTTTTCCTGTTTTTCCATGATATCACCATTTCTTTTTACGTGAAATGCTTTGTAATTTAGGAGTCAAATAGCTGCAAGCCATAGAATTTCTATTCGTCACACGTAAGTGTAGACTGTTAAAATAAAAAAATTTCGAGTTTTCTCTTAAAATAGAAGGCACTAAAACCGATTTTGCATATTGCAGTAGAAAGTATTTCAAGTTCGTTATCTGCAGACCTTTAGTCGAGCCGAGCCGTCGAAGAAAGAAACGATTAATCTGTAAATTTTTGTAAATTAACTCTATAGCTGTAGACATAAGCAACCGTCATTTTATTGTACCTTCGTACTACTGAAATATGAATGTACACTTTGATGAGATAAATGAAATTAATGTGATGCACCTGGAATGAAGGATCTGTTCTAGATTACGGGAACTAATTGCATTTTTGAACAATACATTTCTCCTAATCAATAGTGTTCCTTATAGTCTGTTTATTGTTCGAGAACAAGTTTGCTATGTGCCGACTGATATGAACAACTTATTATAAAATTACGCAGCATGTATCCGTTGCAAAAAATGATATTTTCTCGATTAGTCAAGATTATATGACTTTCTAATCGTGACATTGCAATGATTGAATGATACTTCAATATCTCTGTAATGCCAAAAGAAGCCTAATCTCTAAATTGTAACAAACTTTCACTTGATCTTTGATGCGCAATATACAATAAATTAATCTGTAAATACAAAATTCATTCTTAAATTATGTAAAGATATAAAGTTGTATAAAGATGAAATAAACAATTTAAACATCGAATTATTCCAAACTGGAAAAGCACTTAAGAACAATGAGTTTGAGTGATTGCAATGAAGATTTCACGTTAGCGCTCCATGATTAAAAGCCCTTTTATTTGCACAAATTCTCAAAATATGTTCACGAAATATTAGAAGTAGCGCTTTTGTCATTTTCAACATTAATTATCCTTTAAATTTTAAATCGGCGCATAAAGATATATGATCACTGGGAAACACCACGGACGGCAAACCCGTGTGAAGGGTAAGCTCCTCCTTACTGGGCATCGGGACCACTTGTTCCACCTCGAGCTTGTCTCTCTCATAAAATATATAATCCAGACAGGCAGAGAACTCTGGCGTGTAGTTTGTATATTCCGGCGTGCCGCAAGCGCTAGACATGCAAAGGTCCTGCGTTAAAGATACGTTTTTTACAACTTCCTCAGCATCTGAAAGAGAAACAAGTTTTCTTCTTATCGCGAGGTACAGTCGCTTTGATCGCGTCACGTTACATAACAAGACAGATTAGAGGGAAAGGATCTATCGTAAACTGATGATCCTGAAGAAAGTCACTCACTGCTTTTCCAATCTTCGCACGTTTCCGGAACGTAATTCTCAGTCATCAGTTGATAAATGCCGCATTCCGGCACACTGTTAAAATCTCCGCAAAGTATCACGCTCACGTTACATTCGGGATTCTGTCAACAGAATATATGGCGTTTGTCAGTAAATTGTAATACAAGTGGTACAAACTCTCTCGAAACGCGTAAGATAATTCGCGAAAGTGTCAAAATATTTCTAAATATTTTTCTACCTCTTCCTGAATTCTTCTCGCGACAGCATGTACATATGTAACCGTATAATATCCTTGCAATAGACGTATATGATCCGCATCAGGTTTAAAGTATAAATGCGTGTTGCCGACGATCAAGATCTCAGATCGGTTCTCTTTCGATCGTAACGTCGTCACCTAAATCATCGCTATCTGAGTACACGACCTCTGGATAATATCCCAATTGTATCAAACGCGATTACCTGAACGGTCGTATTTCTGCCCAAAAATCTTTCCTTTATCTTGTCATTGTCGATTTTGGACCAGATGTCAGCAAATTTAGGAAAATCAACGTTTTGAGCTATTGTACTGTATTCAAATCCCATCTTCTCAAATCTGTCCTGATTGAAAAACGTGGCGAGCCCTTCGCTAATTTCATGCTTCGTAACGAACATGCCGTCGTAATTCAGCATGTACAGAGAAGGCAATAAATCATGTTCGTACATACTTCTATCCACTTCTTGCAAACAAATTATATCACCGTTAAAACCTAAAATAAAATCATCGTGTTCAGATATTAAAGTGGTGCAAACGATTACAAACTGCTGCTACTGTTTCACTCGTTAATCTAAAAACACTGTTTTAATATTTAAACAATTAACAAAATGCATAAGGCTTGATCCAAGTTCTAGTTTTGAGAAATGTGTAGCCAATCGGTTATTCCATAAAAGCTGCGTGTTGATTGGCTACACATTTCTCGGAGCTAGAACTTGGACCAAATTCTATCATCGTGGGCATAGGCCTTAAGAGCCAAGACAGGATGTTAGTGTCTAAATAATTTTTTAATTTTAAGTCCATTGCAAAAATAACACCCCAGTCAGGGCTTGGACCTGGACCTTAAAACTTTTAGTATATAAAATCGTATTCTATAATGATTGGACATAACATTTTAATACAATTTTTATAGTTGGTACAATTTTTTTTTATATCATTCCTTTTGTAGAGAAGATAGATTTGAGTACTTTTTTAATCAAAATTTTGCTCATTATATATTTGTTCTTTCTACGCGTATACTTGGCCTTTTTTGTACCTTTTTTAAAAAGGTAATTATATTCACCACTCACCTATTATTTCTTTAAGTATCAATTGCTTTCTGTAGTCCATGTCTAACGCATATTGTGGGCAGTACGGAAACAATACATCTTTAGAAAAATCAGAATCTGCGTACGTATCTGCCAGTATATTATAACATATTACCCTGAAACTGTGATTTCCTTCTTGAGACAAATGCAGATTGCAAGTAAAACGTACATTTAATACCTCATTCATTTGTATCTATTAGTTTGTGCGAGCACCGTACCTTCTGCCCGATAATTTGTGTTTCGTGAACTGATGCCGGATGTCGAACGGGCATAGTCCAGGCCCGGCTTCCACGGCATTCTTCGACTCTACTTCCATCCTGCAGCCGGAATCAGATTCGTTCCACGGTTCGCAACTGATCTTCAAATGGCAGCCAATGTCGGCCACGCTGGGTACATATAGGTATCCACTGCCTACGTGTGTCCACATGTTCAGTTTCTTGTTAGCAGCGTCGGATTTGTACCAGTCGAACGTCGATTGCTTCGTGTCGGTGTACAATGACTCGAACTTGGCTGGATAGGCAGGAAAACCTGCCAGTATGCTCGAGGGCAACGAAATACTGATAATGTAAGGCGCGTTCAGCTTCACCAAGAAGGTCTTCTCGAAAATGACCAGTTTTAACTCCGCGGGGTCCTGCAGAAGGCTCGCGCATAACGTTTCGCCATCAACTTTGACGTCATTCTTGAGAAGCATGATCTTCCCGGTCTGCACATTATCCTTTACCAAATCGGGCGACTCCACAGCAGGATTTTTCTTCCTCTTTCTGTCTATCTAAAGAGAAACCCTTTTATTTCTCCCAGTTCTAGAAATATTAATTCTTCCGAATTATGAAATGATTTCTCACAAGTTACAAGTTACAAAGGATTCTACTTTATATTTGTACATTGTCCTTTTAGAAAAATCCCTTTCCTTGCGACTACAGTACATTCTTTGTGTCTATGTTACAAAGTAATAATATAACGCGAGGACGGTTGGAAATGTAATGATAAAAAAAGAGAGAAAGTTCGTATCTCTCACCTTCTTGGTTATAATTTTGCAAACATTCGTGTCGACCCTTTTGAGGAAATTGTTGACGCTTTCCGCGGCTTGCCGGGAAAAGTTGAACTGACGGTCGAGCTTCGCCGTCTCGTCCACATAGCGAAACGAGATGTCGAACGTATCGTTGCCGCTCTCGTAGCGGAGAAATGCCTCGTTCATCTTCAGCACGTGCCTAGGTATGTGCGAGTACTTACTGCGACACGGCGTGAGGATCGATGAGATCAGGTAAATTCGGCGTGCGAGCAATTTAGCCGCGAGCGTATTTCGCATTATAATCGATCGCGGTTCGTTCAGTCCGAAAGCATTGCGAGATCTTCAGGTGGGAATTGGTCAACTGGCAACAATTTTTTAACAATTTAATTAATTCCAAAAAATGTGTTACATGTACTCGACATGCAGTAAACGTCTAGGAAGATGCGTTTGAGGTTATAAATACCTTCACGGTATCCTCTTGCAGGTTACACACGTGCGATAATTAGACGTAACCCCGGCGGCGTTTTACTACGCCTGTATCATTCCGGAGTAATTGCTGGAGTTTACCGACGGTGTCGTTCTGTGTTGACGACGATCGGTATTAGAAGGAAAAGTGGAGTATTTCGGACCGCTTTCGCGAGAAAATCACAAAATTGTCACGTTCACCACAGATTAATAGACACCATTAATAAACTTCACTACACACTTTGCCTTATTTACAATTTTGGCCTTTTGGTGCGAGTCCAGGCTAAATTTAGTCAATTCTATCGATAAAATCGGATTGTATTTAGTACAGACTCGCTTCTAGGGGCAGCGCTGGCGGTAAGGGGCAAAGTGTGCAGGTGGTCTCGTCTTCACCCGGGCCTTTGGCGATCTGTCTATTAATCTGTGCCCTCACTGTATCCAAATTCCACTTTTTCGGTTTTCACTGTGTCCGATTGTCACTGACAATGAGTTCGATTGCGCACTGCGAACTGTTCGATTATATCGTCGCACTGACACCCGCACAAATCACTGACACAAATCACGGGAATTCAACGATCGCGCACGATGATATCGATCATTGATTGTTCGCAGAGAGCGACCGCGATTTCTTCCCGCACTTGTCGCGAACGCGTACGAAGAAAGAATAATACGATATGCGAAGCGATCAATTCGACTGTCGCCGCGTGAATGTTCCTGCGTACGGCGGCGTAAACATCGTAAAAACCGAGCGCGGATTCCAAGAAGTGACGTAGCGCCGTGAACACCTCGGTCGAAAACAATCTATTGGAATCCGCCCGCGGTTTTTCTACTGTGTTTACGGCGCCGTAGTACGAGGGCGGATTCCAATAGATTGTTTTTCGACCGAGGTGTTGACGGCGCTACGTCATTTCTTGGAATCCGCGCTCGGTGTTTACGCCGCCGTACGCAGGATCATTCACGCGGCGACAGTCGAATTGATCGGTTGTGCCCGCGCCGCTTCGCATATCGTATTATTCTTTCTTCATACGCGTTCGCGACAAGTGCGGGAAGAAACCGCGGTCGCTCTCTGCGAATAATCAATGATCGATATCATCGTGCGATCGTTGCATTCGCGCGATTTGTGTCAGTGAGTTGTGCGGGTATCAGTGCCACGATGTAATCGAACAGTTCGTAGTGCGCAATCGAACTCGGTGACAAATGGGACTCGGTGACAATCGGACACAGTGAAAACCGAAAAAGTGGAATTTGGATACAG